GTGTGTGTGTGTTGGTTCACTGACGTGGGTGTGACAAACACAGTGCCGCTGAAGGAGAAGTGCGTGGAGTTCATCTGCACGGATGAGAGCTGGAAGGCGCCCCACATTGCCAGAAAGCTGCCCGCACTGCCCATTGGTAAGCATTCCCCACCCCGCACTTGCACCACCCTGCCTGTTCGAGCGTTCAATGGTGCACGTGTTGTTGTTGTTGTTGTTGTGTGTGTGTGTGTGTGTGTGTGTGTGTGTGGACAGAGGTGATCGAGCGCATCTTGCTGTACCTACATCGCACGGAGCGGCTCACGCTCGAAGCCCTGGAATTCTTCAAAGCATTCCCCGTAGAGACGCTGTTCCTCTCCAACATCAGGGTACGACCCTGCCCGGCATTATTCACTTTGATGTTTCGAGTCTTGTGTGCATTCCTCAGAGTTTTCTTTATCAAGGCGGTCGAGGACACCTGGCTGGACGTGCTCAAGGGCTACTCGTCGCTCACCTATCTGGACCTCTCCAACTCCTATCGCATCACAGACACGTACGCACACATACACGCACACGCACACGTACCACCGCACACGCACCACCGCACACGCACACGCACACGGAGAGGGTCTAACGCCTTCGGTCTTGGTTATGTCCAGTGGACTGGCAGAATGTCTGAAGTGCATGCCGCAGTTGCGTTCTCTGTTCGTCGATCGATGCAAGCGGATCACCGATGCGGGCCTCGCCCCTCTCGTACGCCGCCCTGCGGAGGACGTCGTGGGTCTATCGTGGAATCATCTCTGACTCCACGCCCCACACCGCACGCTGTGCGCATCAGGGTACCCACTGCCCCAACTTGCGTAGGGTCCACGTCGGCGGCACCATGATCACCTACTACGCCCTCGCCGCCCTCAACTCCCTCGAAGACCTCCAGGACGTCTCCGGTACGTGATCATTTTTATTTTGTATTTTGTTTCATATTATTATGAAATCAGGAATAATAACAATTGTGGTGTGCGGCAGTGAATGGCACGCGATTCCCGGACAAGGCGCTCTACACGCTGCTCAAGCGCAAGGAGGCGCCGGACTCGTGGGCGGAGGAGGACTACGGTGAGGTGCGCCAGTTGACCGACTTCCAGGCCTCGAGGACGCTCGTGCGCGATGACGGCGTGCGGCTGCTCAAGGGCCTCGGCGCGTCGCTTCACACGCTCAACCTGGCCTTCAACCCGGGCATCGCCGACTGGTCCTTCCTCGGCTCCCTCGCCTCGCTCACCCACCTCGACATCTCGCTCAACGTCGGCTTCACCGATCAGGTGCGTTCGTGCGTGCGCGTGCGTCAGTGTGTGTCGTGTGTGTGTGTGTCGTGTGTGCGTGCGTGGGTGACTGACCAAGTTATTTTGTCTACAGTTCGCGGCTGACGTGGGCAAGCTGTCGTCGCTGACGCTGCTCAACCTCTCCAAGACCGAGCTCACTGATGAAGGCATCCCAGCGCTGATGGAGCTGTCTCAGCTGCGTTCGCTCGACGTGGGCAAGACCGCCATCACCCACCGCGCGCTCGGTACGTACCACACCACGCCGAGCCATCTTTGCCCCATTTCTGCATTACAGACAGGCGTGTGCGTGTGCGTGTGCGGTGGTGTGGGCGCGTGTGTGCGTCGCGCAGGGCCGGGACTGGCAAAGCTGCCGAATCTGACTGCGCTTTCGCTGCCCTACACCAACGTCGGGGGGAAGTTCTCGCGCTACTTGACGGTCCTCCACCGGCTCACCTCCTTCAAGACCACCGGTTGCCCACGCTTCGGCAACAAAGGCACGTCCTCCTCTGCTCACGCGGCACGCGGCACACGGCACACACGGCACACACGCACACACTCGATTGAGTTGTTCTTGAATGACCAAGAGCTGTGCAGGCCTCCTGGAGCTGGCCAAGGGCCGCTATCCGCACCTCACGGCGCTCGACGTGGGCTGCGACCAGCTCACCGATTCGGGTCTCGCCCACATCGGGGTACAAACTCGCCTCCAGTCCCACATTTGCCTCTGGCCGCTCATTTTTTGTTTATCTTGTGTGTGTCGTGTTGTGTCGTGTGTCGTGTGTGTCGTGTGTGTCGTGTGTCATGTGTGTGGCTGGGCTGATGCGTGCCGTGACATGTGTGTGTGTCGTGTGTGTGTGCAGGAGCTGGCGGCGTTGCGTAACTTCAACATGTGGAACACCAAGGTGACCAACCAGGGAGCGGAGCTGGTGCAGCAGCTGACCGGGCTGGTTCTGGACGACCTCATGAACACCTCCCAGGGCACCTACCTCTTCGTACGCAAGTAGTCGAACCCTCCCAGGACTGTGACTGTGTCCAGCTACATGACCCGTTTGTTTAGAAATAAAAAACTATGTACACACAATGTTACACATGCTCGTGTCGTGTCGTGTCGTGTCGTGAGTGTCACGCTACACACGAGCGCGTGGTTGGTTATTGCTTGCGGGAAAGGTTGAGCAGGGCGCGAGGACAAAGGCCGGCCTGGCTCGCGCTCACGCGCATGTCGGTGAACGCGCGCCGCGGGAAATCCGTCACAAGGTCATAGCCGCCCACCAGATACGACCCGGCCTGGGTCCGCACCACTGCCACCGCCTCGCCCTCTTCGTTGTCGTTGTCGTTGTCGTCGTCGTTGACAATGCTCAGCTTGTCGAGCTCGGTCTGGTGCGACTTGGCCAGCTCGACGTCGACCCAGTCCTTGATGGCCTGCAGGGTGGCGTCGGGCGGGAAACGCCTGCGCGTACGCCCGCCATCCGGCATCCGCACCACCAGCTCCGTTGCGCCCTCCGTGCCTGTGTGTTGACACTTCACATGAGTCCGTGTGTGTGTGTGTGTGTGTCGTGTGTGTGTGCGTGCGTGTGTGTGTGTTACACACCTGTGGGCGGTTCGGGCAGGAGTGCAGCTTCTTTGTTTCGAGCGCGTGCGATTAGCGCGAGGGCGCGGTCGCGCTCGATCTGTTCCTGGAGCTTCTGGTCCTCCTTCACCATGTCTGTCCGCTGTGACTCCTGAAACTCTCGATTCTGTGTGTCGTGTGGTGTCGTGTCGTCTGGTGAGCGTGTGTGGTGCGTGATGCGTGCGTCACAAACACGAATGCAAACCTGTTCGTTGATGAGCGCTGCGCGGTAGATGGCCTGCTCCTCCCGAGCACGCGCCTCCGGCGGCAAGTGCACCAGCTGAGACAGCCGCAGGGCCAGTTCGCGCTCATCATCCGCGCCTCCGTCCTCCTTTTCATCGTCATCGACCACCTTCTCCTTCCCCTTCCGTCGGTCGTAGGCCTCGTGGTGGCCGCCATGATCGAAGAAGTGGTGCGATGGCTCGTCGTCAGCGAAGCCCTCGGCCCGCAGGCCGTCCCAGGTCTGCTGCTGCTGTGGACGGGCTCGAAGCTTCTGCTCGGCCAGGGAGAGCTGGAGGGCGAGCTGGACCTGCTTGGCTTCTTCCAGCGCTGCCCGGCGCGCTTCGTCATCTTCTTCATCTTCTTCTTCGTCTTCTTGATGCTCGACGTCGTGGATGAAGGCAGTTTGTCGTTGCTGCATCCTGTAGAACTCCTCTTCGCTTTCTCGCTGCCGCTGGGCGATCGCCCTTCGTTCTTCCTCTTCGGCCGCCGCCTGCCTTCGCTTTCGCTCTTCCTCCTCGCGCCGCGACTCCTCCAGCGCCCGTTGCACCTGAACCTCCTCGTCGGCCACGTTCGGAGTTAAACTCGCCATCGGCTGGGCGTAGGGACCCGGGGCCGCCGCTCCAGTCCACTGCGGTATCCCCGTCGCCTGGTTTACGTAGGCCGCGTAGTTCGGAGCTAAAAATGGAGGGGTTGCTGGTGCCATCGATGCAGCGGCGAGGGCCGCCTGGTGCTGGGCCTCTGCTTCTGCGAAGGCCAAGCGTTGCCACCTCTCCTGCTCCTCCTGTCGGGCCAGAGCGTGCTGCAGAAGCACCTGTCGCATGGCCTCCTCCTCGCTGAGATGCTGATGGTGGCCGTTCAACGACAGCTCTCGCCTCAGCTTTCGCATCAGTCTGTGCATTCTCACCGTGATGTTGTTTGTTTGGGGAGTGTTGGTTGCTTGAGGTGTGTGTGGAGCTAGCACCTGCGGATGGGGCTTTACTGAGAAGGGATGTTTGAGACGTTCCGCGTTCATGCTTAGACGAGACAGACGCCGGCGAAACGGATCAGGAAAGGAGCAGAAATTCCCGTGCAACTTGGCTGAGGTGGAACAGAAAGTAGAATTTTCGATGGAAATGCAATGACTTTGCTTCGGATTGCTTGGTACTCAAGCCATGCCCACCCAACAAAAGGGAGGAGCGACAGCGGAGGGTGGGGGGGGGGTTGATGATCAAGTTCTGTTGGCGACAATATATCGAAGTAACACCCTTCCTTCGGCGCTCCTCCGTACCCAGAATGCAGGCCCCTCCTCCATTCCTGTCCTGTTGCCAGCCACCAACCCACCCCTTGTGGTTCTCATCAGGAATAAAGGGAGAATGGGCTTGCCGCCCGGCGCAGTTGTGCCCCAGCCCACAGAAAAAGCTCGATTTCTGCCCTTCCCACAAGCTTGGGCTCATCAACTCGGCTGACCATCAAGAGGGACGGACCAATCTACGCAAAGAATGGAGGAGCGCCGAAGGAAGGGTGTTACTTCGGATGCACTCCACTACCCCCCTCCCCCCAAAACCTCGTCACACCATCCGCGATCGCTCCTCTCTTTTTGTTGTTGCTGTTGCTCCTCCAGCACTACAGGCAAGTAGTTACGTTGTGGTCTGTCTATGGAGAGTCGAACCGGAGGAAGTCGGAGAGGTCCTCAATCGGGCTCCAATCCCGTGTGTACGAGTTCCATTGGTACCTGCGCGCATTGTCAGCCACCAACGACAATCGCACACGACCGCACACGCACGACTACACACACACGCAACCAACCAAACACACGCATAACGGACCTGGGCCCGCCGAGAGGTCGCGTGGGCGGAGTGGTGGTGTACACAGGCCTGACGGCTCGTGCGGTTCTTCCGCGGGCGATCTGGGACGGGAGAAGGACCACCTCAGGAGGAGATGCGGAGGGCGCTAGTGGCGTCCCGCCGTAGTACGGCCCGTGGTGGGGCGGACTGACTGCCGACGGGCTGGCCAGCAGCGGGGCGGGCGACGGCGGAATGAAGTACACCGGCGGAGTGAATGACGCTGCCGCCAGCGACGACGAGGTCGGCTGCGCAAAATGAAGCGTGGGTGAGGGACCTGCGTAGGCCCCCAACGTGCCGTGCGGCGGCGATCGTCCGCCGTCGATGACTGCGTCGGTCGGGCGCGGCGGGAGACTCGGCGGGCTAGGGCTTGGCTTCGTGGCCTTGGCCCTCTGGCGGTCGGCGTGGTGGAGGAGGGTGATGGCCTCGAGCGTGTTCTTGAGTCCGCTCAGCACGCTCAGCACGAGGTCGGCCTCCATCATCTGGGCGGCCTGCATGCCGACCCGGTGCTTCTGCGCGGACTTGACGGCCGCCTCGTAGTGCTTCATTCGGTCGATGAGCCGGCCGCGCTGGAGCTTGAGGTCCGTCGTGTGGTGGGTCAGCTCGCCGAGCCGCCGGCGCGCCGAGACCGCCGCATCGTCGACCTCGGTCAGCGAGTAAGCCCAGTCGCTCCCGTGCTTCTGTTCCTGCGAGGCACGCCGCCGCTCGAACGCGTCCACGATCTCGTTGATGTTGCCCAGCAGGCTGGTGGCCGTCACCAACAGAATCTCCAGATCTGGTAGACTACGGGTGAGAGCTCTGCGCTGGCGACGTTGGGGGAGAGGGAAGGTTGACGTACCGACTTGCAGCGGAGGCGACGAGACCATTTCGATGAGCGTGATGACGTCGACCAGGCAGTCCTTGAGATACCGCTTGGTCTGCTTGTACTCGGGGTCGGGGTCGGGTTTAGAATTCGTGATGGGGATCGGGCGGGCGTGGTTATTATCAGCTGCTTTGCGCTGGACTGGAGCCGTGTTCCCTCCCTCCTTGTTGGGTTCGTCGAAGTTGAGGTCGACCAGTGGCTACCAGGTAACAATAATATCGTCTCAGTGAGTGCGCCCACCACACCACACAAACACACACACACACACACGAGCAATACCTGGTCAAGCGTCATTGCGGGTTTCGGGGCGGACTCGGCAGCTGGCTTCTTTTTCTCCTCGATGGCCGCTCCCTCGTAGAAGAGGATCGAAGGCTGAAAGTGGCCCAGCCGGCACTTGTTGATCACATCGTCGAAGGACGGGCCCACTTCCTTCACGGTGGCATCGTCGAACACGACCCATCGGCCGCGTTGAGGATTGTAGAAGTAGGCGTCATAGTGTTTGCCTGTAGTGGGTGCAGGCTCTTGATTAGGAGCGTTCACGTAACGATGCGGGCGGTGAGTACCATAGTAGCAGATCATGCCCTTCAGGCGGTAGCGGCGCGGAGATGCGCCGCCGTTGAAGACGCGGTCGAGTACGAGGGTCGTTGAGATGCTCGAGAGCACGTCGACAATGACCGCGGGCGAAGGCGCGTCGCTGTCCCACACGAGGTCTAGTATTAAAAATATTATTAGTATTATTTTTATATATATATTTTATTAGTATCACCGTTTGAACGGAAAAAGGAGGATACACGCACCCAATGTAAATATGTCAGGCTCACGCAGCAAGTACCGCTTGACAGGGCAGGCTTCCTGTTTACACCGCTGCAGTGGTGTAAGCAACGGAACCACCAACGTTGCGAGCGACAGCAACGCTTCGTTGGCGTGAGTGGGCAGCGTACTTCATTGGGACAGGTTCGTCGGTCCTGATCGGCGATCGTGTGCAGGATTTCGCCGAATGACATGCTCGAATGGCTCTCGCGCAGCTTTCTGCACGTTCGGAGACGCGACAAACAGGGAGTCAGGCATCTACCGCGATTACCATTTTTCCAACGAAGCCGCGACGCACACATGCCGTGTACGCACCTTATACTCGAGCTATATACATAGTAAAGCCACGACGAGGACACAAGAGGCTCGGAATCTTCCTGGCAGCGAGGGCACGAGATTTGCTCCAACACGTCAATGCCTGAGACGACCGCAGTGCGGACCGCGATCAGCAGTGCATTCAGTACTCAGGCCATTGAGAGCTGCGGGTGTGGCGTGGTACCGAAGGCCTGGTGGGCGACGCAGGGAGGCTGGCACCCCTTGTCGACGTCGGCGTCTTTGTTCGTTTGCTCCAGGTGGCCGGGCGGTGCCTGCTGATCGGCCGCTATACATTCGTGCAGGTTTTCGAGGATGGCTTCCAACGTTTCGGCCGCGTCTTCCTGCGTTTGAGAAGTCCAGTACAGTGGCGCAGGTGAGTACCAAAAACGACGCACACACCGACACGACACGACGCGACGCGACGCGACACGACACGACGCGAGATCGGAGAGAATAGTACGATCTCGCCAAGCTTGAACTTGCCCTCGGCTCTGTACAGAGAATCCAGCGTTATCCGCAGCACTTGCGGAGGCAGCACCGCCTCTTCGCTGAACTCGAAGTTGGTAAGGATCACCTAGACGGACATAGACACGAGCGCGAACTTAGGTCCTCCGGCTTCTACTCGTTTGGGTGCGATCGCCAAGAGAGCCTACATACCTTGAGGGCGCAGAAGACGCAGTGCTCTCGGTGCTGGTGGTGCTCGCAGTTGGCAAAGCGCGAGGTGAAGGGCAGCAGGTGCCACAGGCTCTGGATGGCCACGTTGAGAAAGCAGTTGTTCTGGCCCTCCTTGTTCTCCAGGCCCTTGCCCACCTCACCCGGCGCGGGTGGTGGAGACGGCCTGGGGGGCGAGCCCTGCCTTGTACGCCCGGCTGCAGATTAGGCGAAGTAGAGGAGAGCCAACTCATCAGATTTCTACCATCTCAATCATATCCACCAAGGTAAGTTGCAACGTACGTTGGTCCCACTCGGAAAATATGCGTCCTAGCATAGATGAGCTCTGGACGATCGCAGACTTCAGGTGTGGATAGATGAGCCCTGCCGCGCGTATTTGATGAAAGGTGAAATAGAAACAGGAAACGACAAACACCAACGCAAATTTATTTTGATATATTTTTATTTATTTTGGTGCCGTTATTGTGCCGGTATTCCCCAAAAGGGCATGGACTCTGCATCAACACTCACGGACTCGAAAAATATGGAACTGGCCAAGCGCAAGGGTGAGTGAAAACAACAGTGCAGTCTTCACGTTGTGTCGTGTCTTGTTGCGTGTTGCGTGTCGCGTACACAGTGAGTTCGCCAGAGTCGGAGATGAGCAGCACCGCGCCCTTGTTCCCGCACCGCCGCACGTAGTTGGGTGAGCTGCACAGCGTCAACACTGTCTTGTCGTGATGCCACTCGTAGCCCTATATAAAAACGAGTGTCACACGTGGGAGTTGCTCGTCGTTGTGGATGGCCAGCTTGACCTCCACCAGTACCTCCATGGTGAACTGTGCGCGCACTATCTTCTCCAGGCGGTTTTGAGCGCACCAAGTCGCAGTGATGTCCGGACCCCACTCATATCCAGCACCTGGTCGACCAGACGCTGTGGAGTCAGCGAGGTGAGCCCCACCAACCTCTCGGTGATGTATGTCAGACGTACCCGCGGGATTGATTCCCCATCCTTCGTCAGGGTTTGGGTGCGACCACACAAGGTCGACCATTATTCCCTCCGTCTCATCATTTTGGCTGAATCTGGTGTTATGTGGGGCGGAAAGCAAAAGGTAAGGGCAACTACACACCACGGCAAGTTAGTAAATGAGGGATTGCTGTACCGATCGATGTGAGCCAGATCCTCGATTGTGCTTGCGGAGGGACTAAGCCCGCTGTGAACGCAGAAGATCTTCGTGTAACGAAAGTGTAGGAGATCACCACTTAGTTGGTGCAGCGAGTATGTGGAGAGGGGTGCGCCTACTGTCTCGTTGACCACGGCTGCCAACGGGAGGCAACGGAAGACCTCGAACAAAAGTTCCAGGGCCACGCCAGTACCGTACGTCCCCGGACATTCCTCGTGGAGACTGTATCTGTCGATTCGCAAGAGTGGCGACGAAATGAAGGTGAGGCCACGCAGCAGAAGAGAGGTAGAGAGAGGTGCAGGAAGGAGGAGGTGTGAGCACTGGTAAGCCATTCCCTTGGACTCGTGGTTGCCCCTGAGGAGATGCACATGAGCCGGGTAGCGCACCTGAGAAGGCATGAGTACAGAAAGAGAATGATGGCTAGGAGGAAGCGAAGTCGGAGATCAGTTGGTACTTTGAGCGCCAGCAAGAGGGACAAGGTGAGGATGCTGTGTTCCCCGCGGTTCACGTAGTCGCCCAAGAAGAGGTACCTCGTTTCCGGCGGTTCGCCATCTAAGTAGGGAAGGGGAATGAGTTGTAAGATTGTGCGTGTGGAGAGAGAATGAGAGGTGGCAACGCACTCGACACTAGAATCTGAAGCAGGTCGACATATTGGGCCATGATGTTGCCCACGACCACAATCGGGCCTTTGATATGCAACACATTGCGTTCGGTTTTCACCACCCGGACCGCCTGCACCATATGATCACATGCACACATTGGTTCAGCGGGTGTGGCGGCAGCGAGGGTGGGTGAATGGTGCTCACCTGCTGGCAGAGCGCAAACAGGGAGAACAAGGACGGCAGGTGCCCGCGCTGCAGGCCGGCCAGGCGTTCTGGATTGCTGGCATCCAACAACTCGCGGCAGTGCCACCGGTAACATTCCTTCCACGTCACGAAAGAGCGCACTGCATCACGTGCGAGAGTGAGCGCAACAGACAAAGAGACCTGTGCACAATCACTCGGCACTGTGCGGAGTGCACATGTGTGTACCTCGAGACGGAGGAAAGGGCTGCACACCTTTCCGCTCGCAGTGCCAAGCGAACACCTGTGCCAACGTCGCTCCTGCACAAGGACATTCGGCTAGGTGAGTAGCATGAAGAACAGAAACTTCCGGCACGACTGCGGTGGGCGTAAGTTTACGCACCAGCCAAAGGCAAGGCCTCAAGGCTGCTTTCGGTGCTGATGGCCACCTGGCCGAACACAGAAACAGCCCCCATGTTGCCACCACTGCTGGCCTGGTCGTTCTCCTCTTCCTCGAGCACCTTGAGGCAATCGGGCGGCAGCCAACTTCGCGCCTTGGCCATCGCGAGCGAGAAGAGGCCCGCCCAGAGGGCGGGTTCGTTGGTCAGGTGGAGGAAGCGGCTGCAGGTCGAGGCCCAAGCGACCAAGTCTCGCACGGACGTTCGCAGCCACTTCCTCACCTCCAACACCAGCTCGTCTGGCAACTCTTCCCACAAGTCCCCTCCGTTGTCCATCTTCTGGCCCACAAAAAGATATGAAAAACAGCTTTTTTTGCTGACGTCATCAATTCGGGGAAAGAATTGGAGGGAAAGACTGAATTGGTGAAGCTGGGATATTGTGGGATTTGGCCTGGCTACGCGAACGAGACATGAAGCGTGCCCACAGCGACACTCACCCGATTGAACAAGCGAGGAAGGCCGAACAGCAAGACGATCACGACCCTCACGGAGAGGAGGAAGCTGAAGAGAAGGACCGTCACTTCGTAAGGGCTACGAAGAAAAGCAGGAAAGACACTCACTCGCCAATTGGCACCTCATTTACCACATCTTCATCTTCTTCTTCGACATCGGGTCGTAGCGTAGAAAATATGGAAGTCGTGCCAACGGGACCCGCTTCGTTCGATGTGCCCGAGGAGGCCAAGAACATCGACATGGACCTCTACTCGCGCCAGTACTACGTCTACGGCGGGAAGGCCATGACCAAGATGGCCGACTCCAACGTGTTCTTGAGCGGCCTTGGTGGTCTGGGCGTTGAAATCGGTACTGCCCCCTTCATGCATATAAGTCCATCCTTTTTATTAATTTCAATTTTATTGCCATTTGAATGATGACCCGTGAGGTTCAGCCTGGTAGCAACTTTTCACCACTTCTCTTTCTTTGTGGCGTGGTCCAGCCAAGAACATCGCCCTGGCAGGCGTGAAGGCTCTGACCCTGCACGACACGCGTGTAGCAACGACGTTCGACCAGGCCTCGCAGTTCTTCGTGAGCGACAGCAGCCTGGGCAAGAACAGGGCCGAGCTCAGCGCGCCGCACGTGATCGAGCTCAACCCCTACGTCAAGATCAGCACCTCGACGGCCAACCTCGAGGAGGAGGACCTCGCCTTCTTCGATCAGTTCAAGTGCGTCATTCTGACCGAGACCCCGCTGCACCTGCAGAAGAAGATCAACGCGTACTGCCATGCGCGCGGCATCGCCTTCATCTCGGCCGACGTGCGCGGCGTGTTCTGCTGGGCCTTCTGCGACTTTGGCGACAAGTTCGAGGTGCACGACATCAACGGCGAGGAGCCGCTGGAGATCATGATCGAACACGTGACCAAGGCCAACCCGGGCGTGGTGCGCACGCTGGACAAGTCCAAGCACGGCCTGGAGGACGGCATGCTGGTGCAGTTCAAGGAGGTCAAGGGCATGAACGAGCTGAACGAGGGCAAGGTGTTCGAGGTGAAGACCATCAACCCCTACGAGTTCAGCATCGGCGATACTTCGAGCTTCGGCGACTACGTCAGCGGAGGCATCGCCACCGAGGTCAAGAAGACCGTCGAGATGTCCTTCGTACGCCTTTCTCCTATTGTTTCTATGATATCAGAACTGCTTTGCTGACCCGAGTCGTGCGCATTGTAGCTCCCTCTGGCAGAGGCCATCGAGAAGCCCGACATCGTGATCGCGGATTGGGCCAAGATGGAGAACCCGATGCAGCTGCATCTCGGCGCGCAGGCCTTGGACGCCTTTGCGGAGAAGAACAAGCGTCTGCCGGCGCCCTGGAACAAGGAGGACGCCGCCGCGCTTGTGGCGCTGGCCAAGGAACTGAACGAACAGAAGAGCGACAAGATCACCGTCGACGAGAAGCTGCTCGAGAAGCTGGCCTTCACCTCGCAGGGCAGCCTGGTAGGCATCACCGCCTTCTTGGGCGGCGTTGTGGCGCAGGAGGGTATCAAGTCGATCACCGGCAAGTTCGCTCCTCTCCACCAATGGGTACGCTGCTCCTCTTCTTCTTTATACCATGTCACGTAACCGTTGTCAACCGATTCTCTCTGTGTTCATCCGTTCCTATCGCCACAGCTGTACATGGACGTGCTCGAGGTGCTCCCTGGCGAGGACGTCGATGCCGCGCAGTGCCAACCCGAGGGCAACAGATACGACGCTCAGGTCGTGTGTCTGGGCAAGGACGTCAACGCCCAACTCCAGCAGCTGAGAATCTTCATGGTACACAGTCAGACCGTCCACGCGTTTGCAGTATGTTCTGGATCGCTGCAGTACTAACACACTATGGTGGCGGCTCTGGCGTGTGTGCAGATTGGTGCTGGCGCCATCGGCTGTGAGATGCTGAAGAACTTTGCCATGCTCGGCGTGGGCGGTGGTGACGGTCTCATCACGGTCACCGACAACGATCTGATCGAGAAGAGCAACCTGAACAGGCAGTTCCTCTTCAGGCCCAAGGACATCCAGAAGCCCAAGTCCACCAGCGCGGCCAACGCGGCGATCGCCATGAACCCGTCCCTCAAGGTCGACGCCCACCTCAACAAGGTGGGCCAAGAGTCCGAGAACCTCTACACCGATGGCTTCTTCAAGAGTACTCGCTCCTCCTTCTTGAGCCTTTTCTCTCTGCGTTGCGACTGTTAGCCGGCATAGCGTTGCCTAACTCGTTTGCGTGCCGACAGCGCTGGACATCGTGGTGAACGCTCTGGACAACGTGCAGGCTCGTTTGTACGTCGATGGTCGGTGTGTGACCAACCAGCGACCCCTGCTTGAGTCTGGTACCCTCAGCACCAAGGGCCACGTTCAAGTACGCCATACCTCCCCTCTTTTTATGATTATGTGCGGTGTATGCTCATGACTACCCGCCTGCGCAGGTGATCGTGCCCTTCCTCACCGAGTCGTACGGCTCGCGTAGGGACCCGCCGGAGAAGGACGTGCCCTTCTGTACATTGAAGAGCTTCCCCAACCAGATCCAGCACACCATCCAGTGGGCCAGGGACAAGTTCGCGAACCTGTTCTCCCTCAAGCCGCAGGAGCTGAACAAGCTGCTCGCCGAAAGCGACGTGATCGAGGAACTGCGCACGCAGCCCGGCAACAAGCTCAAGAACGCGCAACACGCGCTGAAGATGCTCGAGAGCCGGCCCAACAGCTTCGAGGAGTGCATCGCCTACGGCAGGCTCAAGTTCGACAAATACTTCCGCAACAAGATCCTCCAGCTCCTCCACAACTTCCCTCTCGACATGACCACCAAGGAGGGCACTCCGTTCTGGTCCGGCGCCAAGAGGTGCGTTAGCCTAAAACTCGGCACATGTGTTCCTGGAACCACCGTGACGCGCGGGGACTGATGGCGGTGTTGTGGTGCATGGTGGGCGCAGGCCGCCTACGCCGGTGCAGTTTGATCCCAAGAACTCGCTCCACCTGGACTACGTGCGCTACTCGGCGTGCCTGTGGGCCAAGGTCTGGGGCGTGGTGCCCACTCACCACGATCCCAGGAACGAAGCCGACAACGACTACCTCCGTAAGATCTGCGAAGAGGTGCCGGTCCCGGCCTTCCAGCCCAAGCAGAACAAGGTGATCGAGACCGACGAGAACGCCAAGAAGGAGGACATCGAAGCCAAGATCCAGCAGGCCGCCGAGTTTGACGAGGCCGCCTTCAATGCGGCCATCGACAGGATCAAGGAGCTGCTCGTCCACAAGGAGAAGTACCAGATGTTCCCCGAGGAGTTTGAGAAGGTAACGTACATCGCACAGACGAAGAGCTCGAGCCTTTTATATTGGCCTGACCGTGTTCGCCACACAACCAACAGGACAACGATGCCAACTTCCACATCGATTTCATCACGGCGACGTCCAACCTGCGCGCCTACAACTACGCCATTGCGCCGGCCGACAGGCTCAAGACAAAGCGCATTGCCGGTCGCATCATGCCTGCCATCGCCACCACCACGGCCGCCGTTTCCGGCCTCGTACGTCCACCAGACAGCGTACATTCTAGTCATTCTCGAGTTCGCGCGCTAATGCGGCAGAGGACGTCTAGGTGTCGATCGAGTTGATCAAGATCGTGAAGAAGGTGAAGATGGAGGACTACAAGAACGCCTTCATGAACCTCGGCCTGCCCATGTTCCAGTTCGCCGAGCCGTCGCCGGCCGAGAAGACCAAGATCACCGATTCGGTGAGCGTGACCATCTGGGACCAATGGGATCTCAAGATGGGCGACATCACCCTCTCCGATTTCTGCAATCACTTCAAGGTTCGCTCTTCCCCCCCTCGTTCCAAACTTCTCCACTTCACTAACACCAAACTTTCTTTTTCAAACGTTCACCGACAGAAAAAGTACGGCTTGACCGTTACGGGCGTCTTCCAGGGCGTGCAGATGGTCTACGTGCCCTTGATGCCCGGCCACGATTCGCGACTGCCCAAGAAGTACGCCTCCTCTTCTTCTTCTTCTTCTTCTTCTTCCCACTGTTCTCTCAATCCGGTGTTTATGAACCACATCCACCTCGCACACCCAGGCTCCGCCGGCTCATCGGGCGCGAGAAGGGCCAGAAGTATGTGGACCTGATCGTCACGTTCGAGAACGACGACGGCTCCGATGTGAACGGCCCGCCCGTCCGGTACTGGCTCACCAGCAAGAGGAAGAAGGTGGTCAAGAAGAGCCCCCAGACTCCCGAATCTTCTTGAGCGCGTTTGCGAGCTTGATTAGTCGCATTTTATGAACATAAAATGGGCCAATGACGTCAGCATCGGGAACTTTACGCCATTTATCCCGTGAAATGTCGGCCAGCTTTAGTCGGAGTTGAGGAAAAACCACCGTACTCGTCTTGGAGCTGATTAGTCGATGCATGGAATGGCCGTGCTGTGCTGGCTCAACTGGGGCCGTCCCACCTCGTCTATCAAGCTCTGACCGCCGTCCTCCAACTTCTTTTGTAGTCTTCTCGCCGCTCCTCCTCAACTTCGAGAACTACACGCCACGACCACAACACCACAACAGCAGACAACATCGTAGGAAGACCATGTCATCTTTTGAGTCGCTGCCCAACCCGACGTGCTACTACAACCACCACGAGTATATCGCGGGCGGACCCGACGAGGACTGGGCCGTGCAAAACCAGCCCGACCTGTACCAAACCGGCCAGAGCGCCCCCTCTCCGCCCTCATCATCATCTTCTTCTGCGTCTTCCTCCTCTTCGTCTTCTGGTTCCGCTTCGTCGCCCAACCAAGGGGGCGCCCACCAGCGGCAGTCGCCCGAGAACCGTGGCCTGTTCGCCAAGCTCAAGCGTCTGTCGGGCGTCTTCGCCACCCACAAGCCCGCAGGCAGCCAACACCACGACGTATGCTTCCCCCCCCCCACATTCATGGTGTGTGTGTGCGACATCTTCGTGGCTCACTTTCCCTGTGCTTTTTGAACGGTGCAGGAGCTGACCACTGCCGCATACGGCGACCCAGTCTAGCAAACGAGCCCACAAAATGACAACCTGAGACACCGGGCCGGCCAAGAACACGAGGACCAGAGAGGTGGAAGGTGTGTCAGATAAAATTATAGGTAGGTCGTTTGCTGCGCGGGGCGGAAACGAGCACTGGTCTCGATTTGGTGTTCCTTGGACTTCCGCGGAAAGAACTCCGCACACCCTCTCCGCCGCCATGTGACCACGGTCTGGAATTGGTTTGGAAATATTCTTGTTCTGCGGAAGTCACGTTGTGTTGTGTTGGTCACATGGCGGCGGAGAGGGTGGTGTCGCTGCCTTGGGCTTCTTGTGCCGCGACGGAACGCTGCCACATGCGCTCGAGCTCCGCTTGCCACTTTGTCACTGCCTTGCTCTCCCTCGTCTCCGCAATGGTGGTGGAGGTGGAGGCCAATCGCACCATCGAGTTGAACCCGAGGCCCGCGCGCTCGACCTGCTCGCCGTCCAGCAGCGCCATCACCTCGCGGAAGCACGCCAGGTGCTTGCCGAAGCGTCGCTCGGCCTTGTCCTCCTCGCGATGGACCACCACCTTTTCCGTGGCCCGCGAGTCCAAGATCCGCAGCTGGGCGCGCTGCCACGAGTGGTGGTTCCACATGGCCAGGAAGAGCGCGATGCCGACGGCCTCTGGCAGGAACGTCGACGGGAACGCGCCGACGGCCTGCACCAGCAGCAACGCCCTGCGTTCCGCACTCCAGGCCCTCAAGTCCGGCAAGGCTGCCCTGTTACGCGTCGAACATGAGTGTTGTGTGGCATTGTGTGTGTGTCGTGTGTGTGTGTGTTGTGTCGTGTGTGTCGTGTGAGTGTGTACCCGATCTGGTCGGCGGCGTCGAGGTACTGCTGGATGTCGGACCGACTGGCGAGATCGGGGTAGCCCCAGGTGCGCATGAGCACCCGGAGCAGGGCGCAGCCCAGCTCGGTGGCGTGGAGCGCGGGCGTGCCGAACAAGCCCTGGAGCGGGGCGGCCTCGCTCAGCCAGTAGGGCAGGAACCAGTCGACCACCGCCCCTGCGCTAATGCTGCCGCTTCTGCTGAGCTCATCGAGCCGCGCGTCGGCCAGCGACGCCACGCGGGCCTGTAGCCTCCGCCAGTCGCGGGTGGTGGTCAAATCGAGCCCCGCGTTCTGTCCCAGCGAGCTCCTGGTCTCGCTCAGCTCCTGCGCGACGTAGCGCTTGACCAACTGGGCGCGTCGTTGCGGGTCCTCTTCTCGCGACTGCGCGTCGACCACTCTCTGCGCGAGCTCGCTCGCCGTCCCTTCGCACTCGTCGCCCCAGCGCGGGCTGGTCTCTGCGCCGGCCCGGGTCTCGCCCCGAGGACTGGTTTGCTGGTCCTGGCGCGCGCTGTCGTCGTCGGAGCCGGTGGATGAGATGGGGAGCGGACCGCCCAGCGCCACCCAGCGGCGCACCACCTCAACTTCTTCGGCGCCGAAGAACTTGGCCATGCTGCCGTCGGGGAGGAACGCCCGCAGGAACGGATTGGTGGTGGTGGCCGCCGCGTCGCCGCCGCCGAGCCCGTAGTGGCTGCGCATCGCGGCCAGGATGCTGGACGCGGAGGCGCTCTCGCTCCGGAGCAGATCGTTGATCTTCACGGGCCGCCCGTCGTCGCCGGTCACCGTGCGGTTGCCGTGGGCGCGCATCCCTCGCTTCCGCTTCTTCTCGACCAGCTCCGCCATCGCCTGCGCCACCGCCCTCCGCTCTTCGTCGTAATTTGCAGGCTCTGTCGGTCTCGCGACCACTCCGCACCCGGTGGGCTGGTGCTGGTCGAAGCTGGCCCGTTCGTTGAGCCAGTCGGTGATGAGCCGCAGCTCGGCCTTGGTGAAGATGTGGAACATGGGTCCGCCGAACCCGCACACCTGCGTGACTAAGGCGCTCTCGCCGGGCCGCTCGGCGTCGACGTAGTGCGAGCCGAAGAGGGCGTCGAGAAAACGATCGACCCACAGCGATGATGAAGGCGATGGAGCTGAATCAAGAGAGCTGTTGTTGTGCTCGCGCTCGGCCTCGGCGACGATGTTGTTCAGCCACTCGTCGATCTTGAGCTCGCCGATGTAGAGGTGCTCACCGTGCATACGTGCTCCGAACTTGGACTTCTTGACGATCATTTCCTTCATCCGCTCGCAAAGCTCGGAGGCCTGGGTGTCCACCTTCGAGGTTGCAGGCTGCTGCTTGATGAGGTGGTCGTTCGGGTGGTCCAGCATTCGCTTGATGCTCTGCAGCCGGCCCTCGCCCGGGAACGGCAGGTTGGCCAGGAAGAAGCCGTCCATCACCCGGTCCCAGTGGCGTGCAGCCTCCTCGGAGCCCTCCTGATCCCGAATGTAGTCCATGTACAGGTTCACTGCACAATGCCTGGGTCAGCCGCTCGCCCCTAACTCACCCAACACCCAACACACACACACACGACACCCTCAAGACACACACGACACACACGACACACACACGCACACACAAATCAATCGTACCGGTGTCGATGGCGATCCGGGCGTGCCCGGTGTCCGAGTTATCGATAGAGATGTGCAGCTGGTAGTAGTACGGGTCCATGGACAGCTCGCGCATCTGACCAACATCATGGGTGAGAGTTCTTTTGGTGGCTTATGTGCGAGAAACGCACAAAAAGGAAGCAGAAGAGTGCTCACCTGGTGGACAGTGATCAAGAGGTGGAGCGGAAGCTGCTCAAAGGCCAGATTGAATCCCAGAATCTCTGTCAGAAGGTCCACAAGTGAGTCTTTGGGAGTTGATGGGTATTGGTTGTGTCGGTTACCTGGGAGCATGTCGACAGGGAATTGTGATAGGCTCATCTGGGCGACTGCACACCGCAGGGCACAGTCCTCGAAGAGCTGCAGGAAGGCAAACTCGCGACTCTCTGTCGGTGGTAGCCGCACCCTGCACACACGCGGAGTGAGCCACAATCCACATAGGAGTCAAAAAACATGCCTGAGCGCTCATAGTGACCGGCAACTCACCCTAAGCCTTCCATCAGCTTGCGATAGATGAACACATGATTCTGTTCCAGCTTGCCTTCGCCCAGCTCCTCTGCCCTCCAACACCATCATAGTGAGTCTCGCATCAACACATTTGATTGCATGTGCGCATGTGATGTGGTGGTCTTCGTACCAGAGTAGATGACGAAGAGGTTGGAGAGGATCTTGTTGAGCCTGGGATCCCGACCCAAGCGTTCGCACCGGGCCGCGTTCTGGAGCCACGACCCGTCGACCAGCTTCGAGGGGGCCACTTGCGTGAGGTACCAGGCCATGTCGTCCCGCGGGATCGTGGCGACCCGGCCCTGCTCCACCGCCCGGCTGTAGGCCGCGTACTGGTTCATGGCGCGGTCGTAGTCGGCCCAGAGGAACTGCTCGAGGGCCTCGGGCGAGTAGTCGAAGTCGGCCCAGGCCGTGTCGCATCGCAGACGTCGGGCCTGGGCGATTGCGGAGGGCAGGTAGGCGCGGGCGAGCTCCACCACCTCCGGGTGGGCTTCCACGTTCATGAGGCGGTAGAAGAGCTCCCTCTCCGAATGAGGTGGCTTGGTGCGGGTCTCGCGCATGGGACAGGCCATGTTGGTTTGAAGTGTGGAGGTGTGGGGTTTGTTGCGTGTGTTGTGTGGTGTGGTATGGATGGTTGCGTTTTCTGTGTGGTGTGCGACTGTGACTAAGGCTTTTGGATCCCTGTTCGGAGCGACCTCCGAGAATACATGGAAAAGCGAATGGAGAACGTAGAGCGATCAGGAGCTCGCGCACACTGCAACGCGGTGCTTATGAGACCACTTCACCCCCTCCCGGCGAGCAAACTAGAACTTACGTGGCTGCAGGCCTTCAGCTATGCGGCTGGTGATCCGCGACGGCAGTGGTCTTCAGCCCCGCTTTCACGTAGCATTGATGTCTACTCCCCACAACGTACCCTGAGTTTTCGGGTGGTACGTAGAGTCGGAGCTTGATTACGTAGCTAGCTCCGACACCTCAACCCTTCCGAGCAGCAACCAATCAGGAAAATCGAAACTAGGAAACAAAAACTAGGACAGAGTTGTAAAAAGGAAATTATTTTTATCTTTTTTTCTTTTTTTTTGTGACTTCTAAAAAGTGTGTGGGTTGAGGAAGAGTGTGGCTGTGGGCGCAGCTAATCGAGCTTACAGAGGCGGGCTGAGCTCCCTCTCGGGAGTCCTGCTTCCCTCCTTGTCTTCGGCAGCATCGACCTGGCGCTCCTGCGAGTGGGGCCTCGGCACGTCGTCCGAGGCGGCGGCAGGCGAGCGAGGCGCAGCGGCGCGCTGGGGCGATTCGGCGGCGCGGTCGCGCGGGCTGGGGCTTCTGTCAGCCCTCGAGGGCCTGGCCGCCTCGGCGTCGGCGCGGCCATTGGAGGGCGCGGCACCGGCGTCCCTCCTGCCGTCCACGTCTCTGCGCTCTCGGTCCCTGTCTCGGTCCGAGTCAGCCCTACGCTCCCTGTCGCGGTGGTCCCTGCCGCGCGGGGAGTCGTGGCGGTCGCGTCTGTCCACCTCCCGGTGGCGGTCACGGTCCCTCCTGTCGTCGCGGTCGCGCGGGCTCGGGCTGCGGGAATACCTCCTCCGCTGACGCGGGGGCGAACGCGAGTGGCCTCGTCTGGGCGAGCTGTAGTGGTGTCGAAATGAAGGAGTCGGATCGAAAAATGGGTCGAATCAGCAAAATTCATGTTCGCAGTCGTCGGGTCGCGCTAAATGTGTTGGCATTGGAGAAGATGGCAAAGGTTCAGGGGAGGGGCAACGACATATCCACTGGAAATTGAACAAACAATCAAAGGGGGGAAAATGGCTGGGAACGTACTCATCACGACGGCGCTTGCCGTATGGGGGCGAAGGGGGGTGGCGAGGGTAGGCAGGTCCGCCAGGCCCAGGCATACCAGGACCAGGGGAGTGACGCCAGCCGGGCGCAGGGGCACGGCGAGCGTACTCGACGGTCAGATGGCGGCCATCGATACGACGGTGAGCGAGCTCGCTGTGCGCAGCGATGGCATCACGCTCATCTACAAATTCGACGAAGGCGAAGCCCTTGGCTCGCCCCCCTGGGGTGGGCAAATCACAACGCACCAGCGGGCCGTAGCGCTCGCATTCCCAGGCGAGATCGCGCGCTGTGGTCGTCTCTGACAGATTGGCCACGAACAGCGTGCGCCGCGACATGTTGCGTACACGAATTTAATCAATTCAGACGGCCTTCTGATTGAAAAAGTCTGGCCAGTGCGTGACATTCTTTAAATTCTTACAATTGTTTTCCTCGTTTTATTGTTTTCTATTTTATTTCCCAACAACACAAAGGAGAGATGGAGAGTGAGGCGAAGGAAGTGCCTGCCGAGCTCGTGACGGTGGTAACCTTTAACGTGCTTGCGCCGTGCTACAACGCGAAGGAGGGTGGCCGCCATGCCGCCACCAATCTCATCAACAGCCGGCAGTGGCAGGAGCGGCACCGCACCAAGGTCATGCGCGACACGCTCGCGCACCAAGCGGCCGACGTCATATGCCTCCAAGAGTATTGGTTCGCCCCGGCCTTCCTCTCCCTCTACGAAACCGAGATGGCTCGTCTTGGGTACTGTCCCTTTTCTTGTTGTGTTTGTTTATTTTTATTTTGATTATTTTATTCCTTTAATGTTTGCTGATGGCTGCGAAAGGTATCAGGGGGTGACTCTGCGCCGTACGGGGAGGAAGGAGGACGGGGTGGCGACGTTCGTGTGCACGGATCGCTTTGACATCGTGGCCTCCCACGAAGTGCGGTTTTCTGATGCCGGAGACCGTGTGGCCCTCGTTGTGCTCCTCCGCTCACGCAAGGTGCGTACACCTTGCTGTCTATCACATCAACTTATGTGTGTGCGTGTGTGCGTGTGTGCGTGTGTGCGTGTGTGCGTGTGTGCGTGTGTGCGTGTGTGCGTGTAATCGCTGACGTTTTTGGTATCACGCACAGACTGGCGCTCTTTTTGTGGTGGCCAATACCCACCTGACCTTTCCTCACCACGAATTTGATATGCGGATGCGCAAACAGCAGACCGCCAAGGTCCTCAGAGCGGTGGAGCTCTACTTGCAAAGGTAGGTGAGTGCTGTGCTTCTTTCCATTCCACCATTGTCCACTGACGTGTTGTGTGAATGACCTCCAGGAATCAGCTGGCCATTCCTGTCATTGTCGCAGGGTATGCACTCACGTGGACATGTCCAGCTTGTTGAGCTCGTTAATGGCTTGTACTCATTGAATTGGGATCTGTGATGCAGGGACTTCAATGGAACGAGCGACGACGCTGTGTACGCGATGATGGAGAGAGCAGGCTATGTGTCCTCATTCAAGGCGTGCAACCAACGAGAGGTTGGCGTGACTCACCACAATCACCTCGACGAGGATGTTGGGGGTACCCCGAGCCTACCGCCTTTCCCCTTTGGTCGCGTAGACTTGGCTCACTTTATGGGCTCTTTCGATTCCTTGTGGTGGTGCAGTGGACTTCATTTTCGTGAAGAACTTCTCGCCAGAGGACATCGCCAAAGAGGTGGTCCAGGACGAGACAGACACACAGGAGTTCGGTTTCCTCTCGAAGAAGTGGTTGGTAGAGCACCGGGCCAGCATTTCTAGCGTCACGCTCACCGATGCCGCTGGCGACCCCCAGCAGCGATGTACGTTGGAGGTTGTGCAGAGCTGGGCTCACCCTGCTCGCGAGTCCGATGCCGTGTGGTCGATCTCCTTCGGCGACACCTCCGACCACCGCCCGATCGTGTCGCGTTTCAAGCTGCAGCGAGCACAAGCCACAGCAAGCTAATAAAAACAACATTAATTGTTTTTTCTTTTCTTGTTTTCGCTCTCAGGCATTTCTCACATTTCTCGTTTTCTTCTGACGCGGCAATCTCGATTGGCATCTGATCGATTATTGTGGCAACGCCGGAGGTGAGCCATTGTCTCCTGCAAGTTTCGCCAGCCCTCACAAGCTTTATCTGCCCACCCACTCATTCATCATGGTACGATCGCTGTCAATTCCATGATTGTGGTGAATTGCAATTATGGAAAAATCTCATCTTTTTGCATGTCCTCTAGCCGCGTAAGGGAAGAAAATGGATTGACCCCAAGAACTCGACCAAGTTCCAACTGGTGCATCGATCTTATGAGGATCCTCGCTACGGCGATTCCCAAGCCACCGTTCGCATCCTCGCGCCCATCGAGAACCCCAATATTGCTCGCAAGAGGGTACCCTCCCCTCCCCTCTTCTCGCTTCATGTTGCCAGTCTTGCTTGCTCAACGCCGTATCATGTTGTCGCGTGGTGTGACGTGAGCAGCTGCCGGATGCGTACTATGAGCAACAGGAAAAGATCATCGAGCTTGTTGAAGGCTTCAACCAGGCCGCTACCGGGGGCGATGGCGAAGACGCCGACGAGGAGCGCCTGATGGCGTCCAAGCAGCAGACCGGCAGGAGGGTCCACAGGGAGGAGCACGATGACGACGAAGACAGCGATGATGACAGATACTATGACGAAGAGGACGAAGACGATGATGAGGAAGGCCACGATGGTGCCGCTCACGAGCACGGTGATGAGGAAGAGGACGCTGACAGGTTTGCCGACGCTGACGAAGATGAGGACGACGATCTCCCTCCTCTTGAAGAAGACGAGCGCAAGAAAGGTGCGCATTGATGCATTTACACGCGTGCCGTGTCTTGCTGTGCTGACGTTGTTCGTTGTTCTGTTGTTCTGCTTTCGTCAGCTCCCGCACAGAAGAGTGCAGCAGCCAAGGACGTCAAGGGCAAGGCCAAGCCCAAGGGTAAGGCCGGGGTCAACGCACAGGAGTTCGAGCTGGGCGAGTACGGCTTCGACAGCAACTACAACTACGCGCAGCACTTCAAGCCGATGGGCGTCTCGGGCGGTGTGTTCATGGAGGCGCCCGTGCCCAAGGGCGCCCCCAAGAAGGGACAGAAGCCGGTACGCAGCAACACCAGCGAGCAATGTCCCAATTACGCACTTTACACCGTACAGCGGACTCACTCCTCATTGGTGTGTGTACTGTGGTTGGCACGGTTCTCAGGCGTTTGCGCTGCGCGAGGACGAGGAAAAGGAGATGATGGGTAAAATCTTGACCACAGACATTGTCGACTTCCTCGATGACGCCGACATTCCTGGTACCATAAACAGCTTCCCTGGCGCTGCACTACTCCTCAACGAGCGACTTTGGCTCACTCTCAACTTGTGAACGTGAACCCGCAGACGAAATCCCCGATGATGTGCTTGCCGCGCTCAACGACCCCGAGGCCTTCGAATCGCTGACCGACGACTTCATCGTCGCTGCTGGCGATGAGGAAGCCGACGGCGATGAGGACCAAGGTGCGCCACCAGCGCCACCACACATCAACTCATACGACCGAGTTGCTCGAGTTGTTTACATTACTTTCACGACTTCAGGAGCGGGCAGGAGGGGTAAGCGAAGGCCATCCAGGAAGGTCCACTTCGACGACGAGGACGACGGAGAGTATGGAGAGGAGGACTACGACCAGGACGAAGACGATGAAGACCTGGATGCTCTGCTGGAGGGCCTCAAGGCCAACCCCGAGGGCAACAAAAGGAGGGAGAGAAACGAGCACGAGCAAATCTTCGACGCCCGGTTCGAAAGGGTTCGTATTCCAGCTGTCGACACTCTTTTGCTTGTTGTTTGGGTTATTTGTGACACCATCACACGCACGCGTCTCTGCAGGCTCTGGCCGAGTTCGACGACGACGAGATCGGCGAGCTGGAGCAGGAGGCCGAAGAGATCAAGGGAATGACCACCATGGACCAGCTCGGGTAACTGCTACTCTCACGAAAGCCGTGGGGTTTTCTTTTACTTTTTCTAATCAGGTTCTTGGTGTGTGCAGGCCCGTGCTGAAGGAGTTCATCTCGTCGCGAAGGAGGGTCAAGGGCATCATCGGCAAGAAGGCCACGGGTGACGACGACACCAAGAGCGTGAGCGGCGCGTCACAGAAGAGCCAAGCCGGCGACCGGTCCCGGGCGAGCCAGGCCGGCGATGCCCAGGGTGAGGAATCGGAGGGCGAGGAGGAGGACGACACGGGCGACGAGTTCGTCTTTGTGGAGGCTGAAGAGCCCCGAGACCAATGGGATTGCGAGTCCATCACCAGTACGATTCCGCTCTGTCGTGTCTTGATCTCATGATTACTTTTACTTACCGCACTCCACAACGCACGCACACCACGTATGATGCATCTAAATTCGCTCGAACAGCGACGTACACCAACACCGAGAATCATCCGACACTGATCGATGACGGTCCTCTCGTGTCGAGGAGGCGACCGCCCATCGTCTTGTCCAAGAAGACCGGCATCCCGCTCGGCGTCCTGCCCACCACTCAGCCTAAAGTCAAGCACACGTACGTCTGACCGTAATAATCTGGGTCCTGTCTTTTCGACTGGCTAACGTTCAACTTGGTAATGGTGATCAACGAACACACAGAGAGGAACAGCCTGCGGTCAACCTGGGCCAAGCTCGCAAGAAGGAAGAGACCAAGGAGGAGAAGCGAGCCAGGAAGCAACAGATCAAGGAAGCGCGAAAGGTTTGCATCCACTCCCAAACGCATCACCACACACGCGCGCGCGCGCGTGTGTGTGGCAATGATATACTTACACCGTACATATATTTATACACGCAGGCCAACCGGGAGCGAAAGAAGGAGATCAAGGGCGCGTTCAAGGAGGAGGAGCTCCGACAGCTCAACATGCAGGCCAAGGGCCAAGGCCAGCGCATCATCAGGCTCAAGTAGTGAGTGGTCAGGTTGTCTTCTTCTTCAGCATCTTTAGCAATGGTTTTACCCGCCTTTCGCCATCACCTTTTCTATTTCTTATCTGTCTGGTCGTCAGCTGCGCATGGCCGTAAGTCGCGCCTGCTGGTTCCGGCGCTGGTTGGCGATGGGGTTTTCGAACTGCGATTGTGTGCTGCTGCCGCTGAGGACCTTGATGAGCTGTTGCTTGCTCCACGCCGGATCAAAGTCTCCCCAGTGGTGTTCGTAGACCCAGCGCAGCTGGTCGAGGGTGTGGCGGTCCAAGTTGTGGAAGTCCACGTCGTGGCTGTCGCTGCTGATGCTCATCCGCTGGCCACTTCTGAGAAGAGAAGAAGAGACAACCACTACTGGCTCAGCTTGACGAAACCGACGTTAAAGCTGTAGCTGCGTACCTGCGCAGTCCGTGAATGTAGAGGGGAGCGCCAGGCTCGAGCTGACCCCACTCCCCGTCCTCCCTCTGCAAGTAGATAGTGGCGTCCCTCACTATGCGTGTGCGTGCGTGTGTGCCGTGTGTGCGTGTGTGTGTGTGCGTGTGTGTGTGCGTGCGAGCGCCTTAGTCTCTTGCAAGTACACAGCGAGCATTGTGGTACATTTGAATGTTGGGCCGTGGGCAAGCAGGAGCTGCACTACGTCCTCAAGTGTATGGCTGCCGCACACCTGCATCTCCATCGGCTGAGGGTCCAGATTGCACACCAACACGCTGTACTCTGCGCAGGTTCCCAGCCAACGAGTTTGCAGCTGATGTCAGCGCCATGCCCTTGGCTTTGAGCTTTGCGAGACCTGGAGTGGGAGTGGTTACTCTCGGTGCAGCGACGGAAGTGGGTTCGCCAAGAGGAGGCCCGGTCATCATTATGTTGCAGCACGACAGGCAACGCCTGGCACCACGTTCTCCTGTTGGCGAAGCCACCAAGGAGGTATGTCGGAGTTCAGTTATGACCCTTTGGTTTGCGGGGCTGGGACAAGGCAGGCATACCAGAGAGATACGTCGAACTCGATGGCGGAGGTCCAGGAGCGGCAGACGCGCAGGAGGGAAGACAGATTGCTGGGGCTGGGAGGCACGAAGCCCAGCACGATAGCTACGATCTCCGCCGGCAGCCGGTCGAACAGGCACTCGCCCGGAGGTGTAGTGGTGACCACCTCCTTCTTTGGCTGCTGGCCAGAAGCGATGACACGCTGCAATCTGGTGGGGTTGCTGTACCGGCCCATGTCGGGTGTAAGTAGTGTGAAGAGACCTCCTGGCAGGAGCGTTCACTCTTTGAAACCCACGGCAAAGAACTCTCCAACGCCACGGGCTATCGCCGCCTAAAGCAGACCAGTCGGAAAATTGCGATTTGGGGCGTGCACAAAGTGAGCAGGATTCTAATGGTACGCAACCAGCTGCGCGACTGGCAAGAAGGAAGGAGGATAGAGTGACGATGGGCGAAGAGGTGGCCGAACTGCACCTCTATATTGCCTGGGCGCTGCAGAGGTTGGCACAAAGGAAGGAGGCGCCAGCAAAGAACGAAGACGAAGACAAAGAACGAAGACCGCGAACAAGACGAAGAGGAGAGGGGGGAGGGGGCAAAGCCAAGGAGCCGTTCGGCGATGACCTCGAGTACGAAGAGGAGGTCGCCTCGGAATATGAAAGCGAAGTGGAGGAAGATGAACACGAGGGGAGCGAACCAATCTTTGAGGCGTTGGACAAGTTCGAAGAAGAGTGGCGAAGCCAAGCCAGCAGGTTCGAGCGCCGCCTGAGCGAGCTGCGCGCATCGTGTGTGAGCTGGAAGGTGCAGCAGGAGCTCTGCGTGCAGAGGCTGAAGTCGAGCCTTCTACGCGACGAGGGCGGGGACCACCCTCGGCCCACCCCAAGTGCAGTGGACCTGCTGGTCGAGGCCCTCCTCCAACTCCAAGCCGAGAACCGAAGCACGCCGGAGCTAAAAAGAAGGAAAGAGAGCGAGAGCAAGACGCCAGAGCTGGGCTCATTCTCAAGCAGCCACAAAACTGAGGAGCTCGCCGCAATGATGACCACCTTGCCCAAGGGAACCACCAGCGCGACGAAGCGACGCAAGGCCGTGAGCTTCACCGCCGCCGCCGAGGAGCAACAGCAGCAGGAGCAGCAGCAATCACCAACCAAAGCTCGTGCGCAGCAACGCGACAGAGGGAGCACTGCGTCGAAGGAGGAGAACGAGCGAAAGGGAACCTCGCCCAAGAAGCAGCGCAGAAGGATACAGTCAGCCGAGGACCTGCCCAAGCGCGACCGCAAGAAGAAAAAGAAAGGTGAGCTCTTGTGTGTGTCGTGTGTGTCGTGTGTCGTGTGTCGTGAATAATGTGTAGTTGCACTGACGCTGTGCGCACTAGGCAAGGGCAAGAAGAAGGGCAGTTTCCTTAGCGAGACGGAGATGCAGCATGACTCGATCGAAGACTCGTCTCCTCCGCGGCCAAAGCGGAGCCCCAGCCCGAAGCCCGAGAGAAAGGGAAAAGAAAAGGAGGAGAGGGAGGCCGTGCCTCCGCCGGCTCATGAAGAAGAGCCCCTCTCTCGGAACGACTCGTCGAACACGACCTGGTATGGTTCAGAGTTCCACACTCAGTGGTTTAGCTCCGACTCTACGCTCACTCGCTTTGTTGTACTTGTGCAGGTACAACACAGACACCGACGCAGAGATGTCCGACAGCAGTGATTTTGAGGTAAGCAGCAGTTGGGCCTTTGGTGGGTTGTGGCGCTGTCTTCATGGTGGCTGGCTCACCACAGCGCATCTTGCATTCCAGGACGAAGACGAAGACAGCTGGGAGAGCGACGAACTGGAGACCACGCCGCAAAGGGACACGCTATCGCCACCTGAGCAAGTACGCGGGCCATCCATACATGCAGCATTAGCGCGTGCGCACACAGAACGACTGACGAGGGTACTTCCGCGGTTGATGGTGATGGTGATGCAGGACTTGCGAGGCATCGTGGGGCTCGTACGCGGGAAGGGCGTCAAGCCGGTGCTGTGCGAAGTAGGCGGACAGAACCTCAACTGCTGCAACCTGTTGCTGCAGGTACCCGACCCAACCTGGATTCCGCGAATCACGGAACCAGGCCAGCGGGACTCTGACTCCATTTCTGTCAGGGCTCGAGCAAGCTCGAGGAGCCGATCGTGGAGAAGAAAGGACAAGCGAAAGACCTGGTCACCGAGGGAGACAACATTCCAGCGGCATTTAACATTCTTTTATGCCCACAACAGTACGCACTACCGCGCGTACGGACGCACCACGCTCGGCGATTGACTGACACGGGATCGGTGGAAATGACAACACAACAGCAATCCAGCCGATGTGCTCGAATTGGCGGCGGACAGCAACGCTGACATGCAGCGCTGGCTGGCCTTCTTCCGGTCGCTCTACACGGTACGCCCTGCATTTTGATCGCTGACCACTTAGTCCTGCCGGCTAACAAGCGAGTCAAATCGCCAGAATGAAGTCGGCGCAAGTCTGATCCAAGGCTTCCTCTGGCTACACATCAGGTACATTCGCATATTTGCGTGTGTGCGGTGGTGCGTGAACGGTGGTGCGTGCGTTGAGTTGCGTTACGATTTAAAAGTTGGCTAATGAAACCTTCAGTTCACGCAAGATGCGTCTGTCTCCGGGCAGCTGGACAGGGCTGACCAACATCTCCACCCTCACCGATCTGTACGAGCGCGCCAAGCCCTCCCACCGAGCGATGTTGGCAACCACCCATGGAAGCCGTATGGACCAACTTCTCACTGTAACCTGCAGGGCAGTGGAGACCAAGTGGCAATGGCAGCGCTACTATTGTATCTGCGACTCGTCTCGGTTTGAGTGGTTCGCTCTGTCGTACGTGGTACGCTCTAGCTCCAATAGGCGACGAGGTGCGGCCCGCCGTTCACGGTGTCTCGCGTGGCTGTGCATATCCAGAAAGTGGTGCCGCTGCACTCGGTGATCCAGGTCCAGACGTCGGTCATCGAGCCCACGAGGACCATCAAGTTCATGGCTCGAAGGAATTCCAAGTCGGCCTTCATCGGGTGGGGCGACGACGTCGAAAAGGTGCTCGATCCCCGCTACTACCGATACAAGGTCAGCCTGATCAAGGCCAACTCGAAGGAATCCTTCGCATTCCTGACGTCGTCCATCGAGGACATGCACGCCTGGAGCAAGGCCATCGTGTCGCACCAACGCGAGCCCGAGACCCGACGTGCGTACAACAACATCCTCTTCTCCTCCCATGGGCTGTGATCAACCTCCATCATCGTCACTCAGCTTACGCATCACCGCACACGCACGTACAGGATCGGGCGGGGGAACGACGTCGAACATGCCGACGCTCATCGAGGAAAAGTCGCCCAGGCCGGAGAAGAGCGCGGGCGAGACCATCGTGAGGACCAAGTACCGCGAGTTCCGGCACTGGCGCAATGTCAAGGTTGTACCGCTGTTGTTGATCGCACGACACACACACAGCCACTCACTCCACCCGCTAACTCTGCACATGTCACACAGGTCATGAAGGACGACGAAGACAATGAGGTGCTCAAGATTCGGTCTTCTTGCCGACAGTTCCGCAAGAAGGCCGAGAAGAACATGGCCTCCGCCCAATGTACGCCTCTCGGCAATTGTCCTTTCGTTCTTTTTCGTTTTTCGTTCTTTGTTCTTCTTTCTTGTCTTTTTCCATTCTTCTTCGTTCTTCTTGCGGATTCGAAGAAGAGGAAATGAACTGATCGGTTACGCAGGGAGGGGACAAAGATCCAAGAGCGCGGGCAACCTGCGGGCCAACGTCAACCCGCCGGCCTCCCCTCGACTGGCCAGCAGAGACGACTTTCAGTCTCATCCCGCGGTCTCACCCGCATCTCCTCGCTCGCCACGCATGAGAGACACCAGCGCCACCGGCAGTGGTACATTCGGCGCATTCCTCGACTCTGTGGCTTGTGAGCTCACAAACGGCTAACGCTGCGCGGGCGCAGGAGGCACTGCGGACACCACCACCACCAGCAACAAGAAGTACTTTGTGCTGTCTCTGGACGGCGGTGGCAGTCGCTGCATCATTCAGACGGTCATTCTCCAGCGGCTCGTGCAAGTGTTTCCCGATTTGTTGTGGTACCGACATTGCGCTCACTGCAATCAAATGCGCACTCGCACCACCTCAAACTACTTCTGGCACCCGCTCGCAGCAAGTTCGACCTGTTTGCAGGAGTGAGCGGCGGGTCGATCAACGCGGCGATGTTGGCCACGGGCATGAAACCGGAGCTGATGGCCGAGGTCCAGAAGTTCATGGCACCGGCCGTGTTTGGAAAGGGCAAGCGACAGGCCACCCTCGAGCTCAAGGGCCTCTCCCTTCGTCGTGCCAAGTACTCGGCCGACCCTCTACTCATCCTCGGCGAAGAACTCTTCCAAGGCACCACCCAATTATTTTAGTATTATCTTCTTTATTCTATTCAGCATTTTAATGCATCGGTGTCCGCTGACGTTCGTGGATGTTGTGATGGCGTGCAGGTCAGTCATTGGCGCAGTGCTCGAATCGGTTGTTGATCGTATCGTTTGTGTTGGACAACGAGAAAGACGGCCAAGGTCGCATGTGGGAGCCTCGAGGTACTGCACACGTACCACCCACCGCACTCACCCTTTCACAACTGACACTCGAATGCAATCATTTTTGGCGGACTGGGGTGGTGGGCGGGCAGTTTATCACAACGTCCCGATGAAGAAGTGCGACGAAGCCGACCAGCTGCCCTTCGCCATGAAGAAGCGAGAGCTCGAAGATACGCCGCTGTGGGACCACTGTCTGGCCTCGTCCGCTGCTCCCACCTACTTCAAGAGCCACGTACGTCTGCCCTCACTTACGCGCCGCGCGACCCGCACTACAAGTCCTCATCCACCAGCGTCACACAGAAAAAGCATGTTGACGGTGGCGTCGTGTCAAACACGGCTTCGTCAGGTACCCACTCCCTCTTGACTGCGCACACGGAAGAGCAACTCACGTGTGCGCGTGTGTTGCGTGTGCGTGTTGTCGATGACGCAGCGGCGATTGCGTGCCTGATGAGCGATGGCGCGGAACAGCCGGTGAGGGCGGCCGATCTGCATATACTCAACATCGGGACTGGTCGCATCACGCAGTACCTGGAGGGCGAAGACGACGACCACGACTGGGGCATCATCCAATGGGGTCCCAAGCTGCCCGGCCTCCTCTTCGCTGCCCACGACAGCTTCGGTTCGTGTGACACGTCCACCGCCACCTTAAGAATCCACCGCCACCTTACACCCAACCACTGTCCAGGGCACCAACTGAGCAGCACGATCCTGGGCAGTCGGTACCACCGGCTGGATCCGTTCCTCGACCGGCCTCTAGGCATGGATGACTCCTCCTCCCTGCCCGCGTTGATTCATCTGGCACAAACCATCAATCTGGTACTTCCCTGAGTGTGTGCCGAGTGTCGTGTGCGTGCGGTGGTCGCATGTATCTCACCGGCGGATGTAGGAAGACACGATCGAGTGGATCAGACACCACATCTACGCAGAGATGAAGCCGACCACTGTGGGCGGTGGTGGCATCAGCAGCAGTGGTGGCGGGCTCAGCACCAGAACCTCCACCTCCAAGACGACGACGACTACCGCCAAGAGCTCCTTCAAGCTCCCGCACGCATCCGCGGCCACCATTCCCGCTGGTGTTGGGCTCAACAGCCCGGGCGCGCGGACCAGCCAGACCTGGGACAACGCCTGGTTCGACGCACACTCCGCGGGCCAGTCCTGATGGACGGGAAGATGTTTTCTTTTTTGTTTTCCTTCTATTGTTTAAAGCTAAAGTAAAAAAGATGGAAGAGCACGAGCACACGGATCCCAGTGGGATGAGCTGGCAGGGAGGCGACGCGCTATTGATTTTTATACTCGTGGTGCTCGGTCAAATCCTCGTTCGCCGCTTTCTAGATTGGGTATACATGAGATTTTGAATTTGGATTTAATCATTTTTTAATTTTTAGATAACACAAATAATAATAATAAAATAAAATAAAAAAACAGGCAACCGCACCACCCAAGGAGGAGGTCGGCATAGAGGCCAAGCTGGCGGCGTTGCAGCGGGAGGCGCGACGGCTGGACGCGGTGTCGACGTTCGTGCGGTGGTCCAAGGTGCAGCGGCAGATCCAGGCGCTCGAGAAGCAGCGCGACCGACTGCGCGCCGAGCGAAGCCGGAAGCGCTCCGTGCTCCTCGACAACCCCATCGCTCTCTTCCTCCTCAAGCATCTTCTGTCTCAGGTGCTCCTTCTTCACTTTCCACCACCACTCGATCTATCACTCACATCGACACGACCAACGACACGACCAACGACACGACCAACGACACTCTACCAGGTGGTACTCCCGATGCTTTTGGTGGCGTGGTGGTGGAACACGCCGATACTGGTAGCCGACGCGTCGACCTTTGGCCCGTGGTTCGTGGCGTCGTGGCTCGCGATCCCCGGGTGGCCGGTCGGCACCGTCGGCGTGGTCGCGTGGGTCGCCATCTGCCGCGGCGTCGCCCGCCTCCTCCCATGATCGCGCGAGGCTAGAGGGGAAGTTGTCACACAACACGTGTGCGCACACGACCGCACGCACGCGACACACCACATAAACACTCGAGTGTCAGGCCGTGTTGAGGGCGACGACCCACTCGTAGGGGCCATGGTAGCCCAACTCTTCTTGCAGGAAGCGCAAGATGGCCGCCTTTTGTTCCGCTGTCAGCCAGCACGCGGCCTCCCCAGCGCCCGCGCTACAGTCCACCTGTTGTGGTCGTCAGAATTTGTGTTTGTTGCTCTTGCGGGAGGGTCTCAGTACATGGGTGGAATCGTAGTCGCCGGGGACGCTGGTGCGCAGTGCCGGCGCGTCGTAGTGGGTGATGGTAATGCCCTGCAATGACCCCCAAACCAACACCAAACATGAAGATGGTTAGTGCTCTCACTCTGGTGCGAGTGCTGTGCCACGCACGAGTGGTGAAATTACGTACGTAAAAGGCCACTTGCCCCGTAGACTTGTCCCCGTAGACATGTCCCCGGAGAGAGAAGGCGAGCCGCCCCTCGAGGTTGCGCGGCAGCACGGCGTTGCCGCAAAACTCGTCTCCCGGCCACTCAAAATGCCCATACATGGCATAGTAGCGGTGGCTTGAGGGGTCGTCTGCTGCCGCGCTCGAGGTCCATCACGGTGGAGCTCCATTCATCACCTTGCCACCTGTCCAGCCCACGGTCGCTATCCACGAGCTCCAGCTTGGCCCGGTAGATCAAATGGGTCATCTTGACCAATTCATAGTACGAGCAATTGGCGGTCGTCTGATCAGCGGGAGTGGGGACCTCGATCAGCTTTCAAGAGGAATGAGTGCCAAAGAAAGCAGAGAGCAGAATGCAGGCGGCGGGTGGCGGGCACCAGGCCGGCTTCGTCCAAGAGAGCCTAAGGAGGTATACGTGGAGTGATGAGCTTAAGATGACTGATGCAGATAGACAGACAAAGTTGTTAGTCTGGCACCTGTTGACCAACAGGAGGTTGTGCAGGTCTTGTGGCTGGTCGACAAAGGTCAAGATAGGGTGACCACTTCGGCAGGCAGGTCATCAAACACGAGGCCTCGCTCCTTGCTCCGCTCTTTATCTTTCTTGCTCTTCTTGTGCTTCTTCTTTGCTCTTTTCTTGTCTTCCTTTGCCTCTTTCTTCCTCTTCTTTCTGTGGGTTCTGCACAGGCGTTAAAACCAGGGCCTTCTTGCCTTGTTTTAGTGTTGCACGAACCTGGAGAGGGGCTGGTGGTGTTGTGCTCCGTCTCCCTGCCTCCGGCTGGCTTTTCAGCGTTGTGCTGCTTGGTCCGTGCCCATGAGAGACGGCGCTGAGTACAAAGGAGGAGCGACACGAATTGGTGCGGCCGCACAAGCACACACGCCTCCACCTTGGAGTCAATCCAGTCACAGCCCATCTTCTGGTCAAGTACCAAAACAAAAACTGTGTTCCTCCAAATTGAAAGCAGAGAAAGGAAGCCTTTACGGCTTGGTGGGGCAAGAGGCGGAGGCGTGGTTGCTCTTGGGTGTGGGTGGTGTCAAAATGTTGAGCAATCGGCCCCTTTGCATCTCGCGTGCTGCACACATACCGCGGGGCAAGTGTTGCGTCAGTCGCATTTGTTGGCGTGGTAAGGTGCAAGGTGCCTGGGGTGAGAGCGAGAGGTCATACCTTCCTCGAGGCCCAGATGGAGAGCCCAGTCCTGCAGTGCTTTCTTCCTCTGGGCCAGCATGTCTGGTGGCAGCTGTGCAAACACTGCCACAAATGAAGTGAGCGGCGCACCCACCACGACCACAACGCCAAATGGGTAAGTCGCATCGCACAAGACACACACGGGCAGGCAAGGTGCGGTGTACGTTCGACTAGCTGATCGTCGGTGAGCCCCGAGATGTCCACTACCTCGGTGGTTGTTCGGGCCGGTGTGCCGTGCAGCTGTATTTGTTTTTGTGTTTGTTTTTGTTTTATTATTAACAATAAGAATAATAAAATAAAAGATGAACAGAAAAGCGAGGGCATACGTCGGTGGTACGCGAAGCATACGGGGTGGTGTTGCCATTATTGGGTGGCCGGGCGCTCCCCATCGCATTCTGGGGTTGATCCCGCCACCCGTCGTTCTCATCTTCCTCCAACTTCTCCTCACTCAGCAGGGAAAGAGAAGCCGCTCGCTGCTCATTCGCCTGATCGCCCCCTTCGCCTCCTCCATCTGGCGCATCCATTCGCCAAAAAAAAGATTCAAATCCAGAAATATGCTGTTCCCGCCTTTTTGTTTTGTCGACGAATATGTCAGACAACCGGTTTTTGTCCGGTTTGCGTGCATCCAAAAATACTGACCAACGGAAATCGTTCTATTTTTGGGGTGTCGGTTTAAATTCGCACAAGCTGCCCTTTCGGTAAAGACACAAAACAAACACAAACGCAACACAAGCGCAAGTCAGCATGTCGATTGAATACAAGGTCGTGGTGGTGGGCACTGGCGGAGTGGGCAAGTCGGCGTTGACGATCCAGCTCCTCAACCATCACTTCATGGAAGACTACGATCCCACCATCGAGGACTCCTACCGCATGCAGGTGGCGATCGACGGCGTAACCTGCCTTCTCGACATTCTCGACACCGCCGGACAGGAGGAGTTCAGGTACCATCACCAACCACATTGGAATGACATGAACTCGTCGTATTCACTCCTCCTTCTTTCACTTCAACAACGCAGTGCGATGAGGGATCAGTACATGCGCACGGGCCAGGGCTTCCTCTGCGTCTACTCCATCACCCAGCGCTCCTCGTTCGACGAGCTCGCCGGGTTCCGGGAGCAGATCCTGCGGGTCAAGGAGGCCAATGACGTGCCCATGGTGCTGGTGGGCAACAAGTGCGACCTCGAATCTGAGCGGGTGGTCAGCACGGCTGAGGCGGCCGACCTGGCTAAGTCGTTCGGGTGCCAGCACATCGAGGCGTCGGCCAAGTCCCGCATCAACGTCGAGCAGTGCTTCTTCAACCTCGTGCGCGACATCCGGCGGCGAAAGGCAGAAGAGGAGGCCTGTGAGAAGAAGACGCTCGGCGGCAGGAAGAACAAGCTCCTCAAGGTCAAGGGCTGCTCTCTTTTTTAACGACTTCTCCTCTACGCCTTTCCTTCACCCAGCGGCAAATGTACAAAATGAGTGTAAATAGCAAATGTTAATTGATAAGATCATCACCAACCCTCCCACTTCATCAGCCCAGACGCAAACTAGTAAAAAAGGTGGTGATGGCGTCGAGAGTCTATTGTAAGTCCTGATGAGGACCGGCCTCCGCGCGATGAAACTCTCCGACCTTGGCACCAACCCGACCTTCACAACACGGAACCGGTCATCCTGCCCAGATTTGTTGTTGGGAATTGTTTGATGGTGTGGCCGACTTGCAGTTTTGTACAGTTGCATTTTGATGTTACACACACTTTCTAGTACTCTGTCTCTTTAATACACTCTGTGCGATTGAAGGCGACACGATACATGAGTGGAGTGGGGCGAGAGGAGGTTAGGACTGCATTGTTTTTGGCGCGTGGGGTGCGGGGTGTACCTTCGACCAGCGGTTTGAGGTAGGGGTTCTCGAGCGCAGCTGCTATTCGCTCCTTGTCGTTGATCTGCTTGTTGACTGCCGGCAGTATGATGGATAAGTGAATGAGTGAGACTCGGTCGTGCTGCGTGCATCGAGATGGTGATCGCAGGTGAAAGGAGAAGAAAGAAAGTTGTACTTTCGTTCTCTGTTCCGTGAGTCCCTGGCGTCACGAAGATGTCGATCTTTGTGGATTAATAGAGAAAGATAGGGTGTATCGTTAGCATGGCGTGGCGTTGTAGAATACCGCACGCACGCACGCACGCACGCACACCATGCACACCTTGCACTTCTGTGGGAGGTCTCGTTCGAGCTTTGTTCGTAGGCACAGACCGATCAATGTGGCCAAGCTGCGCGCCAACACCACGAAGTGAGCCACTCGATCAGGGAGCGAGAAACGTTTCAAAGTTCTGTTGTGGCGGGGACGCGTACCTGCAATGTGGCACGGTCGGTGTGAACTTGATGATGATCGTGGCCGACCTACCGTGGTACTCTACGTCGATGCATTCCTCCTGCACTACATTCAGCTGCTCGAGCGTGTAGGGATGCTCTGGGTCTGTACGTGCGTGCAAAGCGATGGTCAATGACGAGCACCAGCAGAGGGCAAGCACTTCTGAGGCCGCGCATAAAGACAAATGGGAGATTGGTGTATTTGGCTCACCTTTAATGTCTCGAATGAGATCTGATCCGCATCTCAGGCAGCGAGGGCGCTTCCGATCAGCAAATCCAAATCGTGGCAAATCCAAAATCACTTCAAAATTGAATTAAATTGTGGGGTACCATAAACCTCGGCTGCGTCGATCCGATCAGTGATGTCGGGCACATATGGGAGTGAGCTTGTTTTTTTGCGCCCATAATTGACGTCATAGATTTTGGGATTGGGGTTGATCAGGTTTGGTTGCATCATTTTGTGTTTTGGTCAAGGAAGAAAACGAAAGGGAAAAAGACAAAAAAAAAGATCTTCACCGAGAATCTTTTGTTAGAATTAACAAGAGAGTAAACCAATGACAGGCTGAAAGTTCATGAAGCTGGTGATAGTTGGGAAGTCACTCAGAGAGGCAACGACAACGGAGCAGGAAAAAAGAGATGAGTGAACCAAAGAAGCAAAAGAGAGGAGTGAACGGAGTGGGATTTGAACCCACGCATCCGAAGATAACAGTGCCTTAAACTGTCGCCTTAGACCGCTCGGCCATCCGTCCCTCGTTGCACACCGGCCTCCTGCGCCATTATGCGGGATACTGCGTCGGTGGCCTGAGAAAGGCACCAAATCGTGCCAAGCAAAAAGATTGGTTTCACTGGGGTTCGAACCCAGGACCTACTGCGTGTGAGGCAGACGTGATACCACTACACCATGAAACCTTGCCTGGCTGCACTTATCGCTTGTGATTTTGTTGTGACTATTGGTAGGTTAACCAAACTTGGGAAGCCTAGGCCCAAGGTAGCTCCCTTGGACCAAAAGTGCTGGGCTGTGGGCAATGTCGCACACGGTTCGTTAGTAGAAGCGTCCGGAGTGATGGTAGTGCTAGGCGCTGTAGTTAAGTGGTAAAATTCCTGCTTCGGGTGCAGGAGGCCCCGGTTCGATTCCGGGCAGCGCCCTAGCCTTTTGCTTCCCTCATGAAAGTGCATTGTGGTGAAATGGTTTCCATAGTGGAGTGTGAGGCTTCTTTGACTGCTTACCTGCTGCAGCAGTCTCACACCACCATTCTCCTCAATCTGTGATTGGTATCCTGCTAATAGATTGCATACTGTACACCTGTCAGTGGTCCACAAGATATTATTAAGGTCCAGTGCAATGGAAAACAGCAGCATGGTTAATTTGTTGGGCAGGACCAAACTGCCCAAGCCACTAACTTGTGCTCATTTATATATATTTTTGGTTGTCACATACATGTACATGACAGAAATTGGTCATTCCAGACCTTGACTGATGGCACAGTTACAGCATCATATCTCTCATTATGATGGTATTTTAATCTGCCATTTCTCAAGAGCTCCCAATTTTGTCTTGTTATTTTTACATTAAAACCATTTTTGTGTTGTCCAAACGATTCATAGAGCCTTAAACTCACAAACAAACTAACTTTTCAAAATGACTGGACCTCTCATTTCAAATGAGCGCAAGTTTTTTGTTCTCCTTGCTCATGGCGGCGCGACCTGTTATCCACCAAACCAGCTCTAGGAGGCACACAAGCAAGGTTTCATGGTGTAGTGGTATCACGTCTGCCTCACACGCAGTAGGTCCTGGGTTCGAACCCCAGTGAAACCAATCTTTTTGCTTGGCACGATTTGGTGCCTTTCTCAGGCCACCGACGCAGTATCCCGCATAATGGCGCAGGAGGCCGGTGTGCAACGAGGGACGGATGGCCGAGCGGTCTAAGGCGACAGTTTAAGGCACTGTTATCTTCGGATGCGTGGGTTCAAATCCCACTCCGTTCACTCCTCTCTTTTGCTTCTTTCTTCTGGTTCATGTGACCGCACAGCCTCACTCACCATGTAAACTGGAGCGCACTGGTGTGGTTTCTTATGGTGGATGGGTGCAAAGAAGGAAGGCTTAGTAGCGATAGCGCTCCCGCCTGTCTCGATCGTCACTGCGTCTGTCCCGCTCTCTGCTTGCGCTGCGCTCCTCCCTCCGGTAGTACCGGTCGCTCCTCCTCGCATCCCGGCTCCTGCTTCGGCTCCTGCTGCGATCACGTCTTCGGTCACGCTCTCGGCGGTCCCTCTCCCTGCTTCGGCTCCGGCTCCGCGTTCGGCTCCTGCTCCGATCCCTCCTTCTCTCGCCTCCGTCTCGGCGATCCCTCCCGTCGCGTTCTCTGCCCCGGTCGCGGCTGCGGCTGCGGCTCCGGCTTCGACTCCTGCGGCCTCTCTCACTAGTAGTGTCTTCCCTGGCGCCGCTGCCCGCTCTGGTACGCCGCGCCTCATCGACCAGCTTCGCTGCAGCCGGCTCGGCCGGCGTGGTGATGGTCTTCTCCTCCGGCAAGGCACCGGTGGCCGCCGGTGGCTTGCTCTCTCCGTGTGCTTCGGCGATGCTGCCCACCAGCTCCTCTCCCGAGGCCTGGCCAGCAGCGGCTGCCAGGGCCTTCATCTTGGCCGCTCGCTTGGCCGCCTTCTTGAGCTTCTTCTCCTCCTTCTTCCTGCGCTTCTTCTCTCGCTTCTCCTTCCTCCGTTGACGCTTGACCTCGTCCTCTTCATCGCCGTCACCATCGCTGTCGTCGCTCTCGTTGTCGCTCACCTCTTCGCCCTCGGCCTTCCGTTTCTTCTTCTTTTCCTCCTCTTCGTCCTTCGGCGGCTTGTAGTTCTTGACGTGGTCCACCCGCAGCGTGCGCCCTACCAACTGCGTGCGTGCGGTGATTGTTGAGGCCGCGGTCAGCTCTCGCGGTCGGTTACGGCACACCACCGCACACGCACACAACACCACCGCACGCACACGCACGCGGCGCACCGCAGGAGGAGGAAGGAAGCGTACCTGAATGCCGTTGAGGTTGTCGACGGCGAGTATGCAGCTGCGCGGGTCCTGATAGCCGAGAAAGGCGAAGCCCTTCGGGTCCCCCGTCTTCTTGTCCCGCGCACGATTCAGGTCGCGCACTCGCCCATATCTGGCCATTCGTTATTAAATCAGATAGTGGGCCACATTGAAGCGAAACAATGAACGGAGCAAGACACGGGAGATCGCGCGGCAGGGAGAAGAACGTACTGCTCGAAAACGGCAACGATGTCGCCTTCAGTGAGCCCATGGTCGAGATTGCCCACGAATATGTAGGGCGAGTTGGCGTACTCGTCGTGCCACGAGGCCTTCAAACCCAGTGCCGCCTCTCGCTCATTAATGCGCTGGATCTCCTTTGTAATGTTCATCTCCTACCACCGGGCGCATCAACCGTCCGCTAATCGATTGTGCTGAGCTGTTGTTTGGCCAAGAAAAAGACAAGAAAAGTGTGGCAAAGAGAAAATCGAAAAAGAAATACCATTTACAAGTGTAATGTTGGTGCTGGTGGTGCCTGGGTCAAGTGGACGGTGGTGCGATGGTTAGGGCGAGTAGCGCATGCCCTGCTGTTGTTGTTGCTGCTGCTTCTGGGCCTGCTGTTGGTGGTACTGCTGTTGCTGGCTCTGATGGTACTGCTGCTGTGCACTCTGGTATTGCTGTGTGTTGTGCATCACACGCAATTGGTAAGTTCAAGGAGTGAAGAGCACACAAAATCACGGAGGGGGTGAAGAATCGATACTCTCACGGACAGCAATGGTGTCATCATTCATTCGTCATGTGGGGGCTTTGGTCGCGTACCGCAGCCTGGTATTGGGCCTGCATCTGGGCCTGTAGCTGCGCCTGGAACTGCGCCTTGGCCCGCGCCTGGGCTTGTGCCTGCTGCTGGCTGGCGTGGTGCAGCTCCTGCGCCGCGGGTTGGTATTGCGCTTGGGCCGTACCGTAGCCCATCTGCTGTTGGAATTGCTGTGTGTCGTGTGCGTGTCGGTCGTGAGTCTCTTTCTTCGAATTCACACAAGACCAACCCAATGTTGATCACACCACGCACCTGCTGCGGGTAGAACTGTTGACCCTGCATCAGCATCTGGGGTGGATGTTGCCGCGAGAGTCAACTCACCACCCACACGCAACAGCGAACGAAAAATGGAAAAACCTCGGGTCACGACGAGAGGGCGCGGGGGGGGGTGCACCTGTCCGTGAAGCTGAGCCATTTGCGGCTGTCCCGGGTAGGGATTCATGCCCGAGCTGTAGTGCGGCTGCTGTTGTTGCTGTTGCGCACGCGGCGCCCCCTGATATTGTGGCTGTGTGTGTGTGTGTGTGTGTGGTGTCACACGCTCAAACGGGGAAATTAGAAAGAGGCCAGCGAGAGAGCGATCTGCCAGCTCGACCCACCTGCTGTTGGTAGGGCTGCTGTGGCGATGCATGGTACAGCGTGGGCTCGTAGCCAACGCGCGGAAAGTGGCCTGCAGCAGCCCAGGACCATAATGAGCCACAATCACACACGCGCGACACAACACAGCTGCGACAGAACACGTACCGCCTGACAACATGTGCTGCGGCTGCTGCTGCGGCGGCATACCAGCCGAGTAGCCGTTGGGCGAACCCGTCGCGCGGTTGAACGACGGTGGCGCAGAGTAGGCGCCACCGGCCCCCTCCCCCAGCTGCTCGTGCCGGGCCGCCGCCTGCTGGCCTTCTGCATCGTCGTCGGGTTGTTCCGCCCTCGCGCGGGCGTGCAGCGCGTTCTGCTCGCGGACCGTCCCCTGCACGCGATGATGCCCGTGCGCAGTCATCACCGACACCGAAGGCAGCGCAGAGTCAAATTCTCTTCCAGCGCTGGGCCGTCGCTGCTGCGCGTGCTGCGCGGCAACGTGCGTCAGGTGCTGCTCGGCGGGGAGTGCCCCGGCGGCAGCGTCTCGACGTACGTCATAGAAGCCGGCACTGCTGGGCGCGGGAGGATCGCTCGCGTCGTCAGCGGCGCAATCGAGCTCGCCGTCTTCCCCAACAGCCTGGCCAGGGTCGTCATAGCCTTGGTCGTTTTTGTCCTCCTCCTTATCATCGTCGTCGTCCTTGTCCAGGCCCAGATCCTTCAGCTGCTCCAACAGCGGATCGTAACCGAGCGACACCGCGGCCTCGTCGTCGTCGTCTTCGTCCTCTTCCTCCTGCTCCTGCTCCTGGCCCTCTTGAGACGCGCCCATGTAGTCCTCGAGAACGGGCTCCTCGGCCGACCGCTCTTCCCCGGATAGCACCAGTTCGCCGTAGTCGTTCGGGGCGTCGGCCTGTGGTGGTGCGCAGCCCGAGGCCGAGTCAGAAAAAGCTGTCGTGTGTGCCGTGTGTGTCATGTGTGTCGTGTGTGTCGTGTGTCGTGTCAGAGAGGAGTACCTCGAGAATTTCGTCGCCGAGCTGGTCGTCGGCGAGGAGCACCTCCTCGATCATGTCCTGCTTCGTCTGCCAGCCCGACGTGCGGCCGATTTCGTAGAGGTTGGCCAGCGTGTCGTCGAACTTGCCCTCGCGCACCAGCCGCTCGTACATCCGGTACAGGGCCAGCGCCTTCGTCGTGGTTGCACACATATGATCAGAACGCATTGAGCGGTTGCGCGCATGTGGGGACGAGTACCGCGTGTGCGTCCTCCTCCGAGCAGTGGGTCTCGGTCTGGATGCTCATGTTGAGCAGGTGCGAGGCAAGGAAGCGCAGAGAGAGCTTCGTAGGCCGAGTCAAGGATTACAAACACCACACGAAGCACAATAATCCTAGACTAATAATTATAACAATACCACTACTAAATAAATAAATAAATAAATAAACAAATAAATACACATATAAATAGCGGCAAAAATAAAGAAGGGTGGTAAAGGATATCTTTGTCGGTCGAGGTGGTAGAGCTCCACCGTATCCCGCACTTGCTCCTGGGGCACCAGTATGTCTGATAGTGAAAGATGAGACACAGGGCGCGTGGGCGAAGCGCGCTGATGGGGGACGCGCGTGGGCGAGGCGTTACGTACTGATGATCCTGAAGTCCTTGTCGAGCCCGTGTCCCACGAACACGCAGCCCTTGTCGACCAGGTACCGCAGCTTCAGATAGGCCGACTTGAGCGTGGTGACGTAGTAGGGCGAGACGGCGGGGTCGAGGTCGCCCGGGAAGATGCCCGACCACCGCGTCAGGTAGGCCGCGATGGGCTCGTCGTGCGCAATGTAGTCGTCCATGAACGGCTCGCTGTCGATATCACCGTCATCATCTGTTTGGTCCGCCTCATTCGTAGCATGTCGTCGCTTGCCGAGGATCGTGGTCACACGCGCCAGAGAGAAGTGACCGGCCTTCAGCAGCGCTCGCTTGCCCGACCGCTTGACGAACGTTTCCTCCTGATTGTCGCAATACACGCCACCATTGAGTCAAACCACAACAACCAACCGGCCGTCGGCCACCGCAGTTTCCGCCATTGGCGCCACAATTCCACACAGCAAGCACACCACCAAAGGTGGCGGTTCTTTCAATTTCGTAGAATTGGCGAGAGAACCACAAAAGGAGAGGGAACTGCAAATGAAAAAAGAACAAAAAAGAAGCTATCAAAGCTTGCGGCCACTCCACCATCAAACAGACAACTAAAAGATTCATATAAAAGATGGCAAGCCCGAGCCCCGTTACGCTGATCAACTCGTTCGAGGTGCCCGAGGGCAGGGTGGACGAGTGCCTCGCCCTGTGGCGCGAAGCCGCTGCCGTGCTCAAGAGGCAGCCGGGCTACATCGCCACCCACCTGCACCGCAGCCTCAACCCCAAGGTGCGTGTGTGCGTGTGTGCGGCAATGTAAACGCACTTGCTGACATGCATGCTTATGTACTCCGACCCGAAGGCCAAGTACGCGCTGGTCAACGTCGCCCAGTGGGAAACCGCCGAGCACTTCATGAAGGCGGTGGCCACGCCCGAATTTCAAGCGGTGGCGGCCAAGTTTGGCGACTTCCCGCACGAGCCCAGCCTGTACACCGTCGCGGACGATGCCAGCGACCTCTAGGCATCGCCGTCGTGTCGTCCATTTGGCCCACCCACAACGCAACACATCTTGTCCTTCATTCTTCCTCGAACATACGAAGAAGAAGACTCGCCAGCTCTACTTTGACTTTGCGAGCAAATTTGGAAGCCGTGTGTTGTGGTTCATCACCTTCTCCCACCCACGATGACACCAAGCTGAACTGAAGACGATGAAAATGGTGTGTGTGTGTGTGTGTGAAGGTGATGAAGTACCGTTTGTAGGGACACGAACTCGGCGTCGAGGGCGAGGATGTCGCCCGCCTTGGGCAGATCTTCTCTGGTCAAGGGAGCAAAGGTGCGCGGCAGTTTGCTCAACGCGCGTCTGGCCAACGATTGATAGTAGTCAGCACCCTCCCGACCACTCAAGCGTGCGTGCGGTGGCTATTTGGTACCGTTCCATTGGGTTGTCGGCAAAGAGCACGTCCTCGGTGATGGGACTCACCACCTTGTTCACCGGTACACGATCGTTGAGGTCCACTCGTGCGTAGTAGAGCAGGCACGGCACCTTTTAAAAGAAAGTGTTCGCGCGCGAGTGTCAATCATTGAACCGAGCGTGCGCGCTGGTGGCCAGTCAGAGTTGTGGTACCTTCCACTGCGGGTTGAAGGTGAAGGCCTCTTCGGGGAGGGTGGCCGTGACGTGGAAATCGTTGAACAGGTACCAATCGGAGTTGGGCACCTCAGCCTCCTCCGCGACTGCGCGAGTCAGGAAAGTTAGTTACAGATCTTACTATGGTGTGTGTGTGTGTGTGCGCGCGCGCGCACGTACAGCTAGCCTCGTCGATCTCCGGCTGCATCACGGCGGCGGTCGGGATGACGTTCTCCTTATCATGGTACGAGCGGGGCACCTTGGTGTGTACCACCAGGTGTCCTCGCTTGGCCGGTTCCCGCTCCATGGGGTTGTAGACGTGCCATACGACCGACTGAGACGCACCACACCGATCATCGTTAAAGCTTCATTAACACTCGATCGCGGTGGGGAATGTGGTGTATTGCCCGGGATGGCATACCGTCAGTTCATAGACGTCTGCCCCAACACTCTCTGATTGGTCGTCGCTGTCGCATTCCTCCACAATAACGGAATCTCCCATGATCTCCTTCTTGAGCTTGAACCTGAGATGACGAGCCATGAGATGAAGCACCAAGGGAGAAAAAGAAAAGAACGAAGAACGAAGGGGGAGAGGAATGTGTACCGTGGGGGAATCCACTTGTCCGGTCCGCCACCTCCTTCGTGGCGCGTCTGCCATTCTTGCACGTGCTGATATAAAGAGTGGCGCTCAATTCGAGTGCGATGTGAGTGCAGGACATGATTGGGGCGACGTACCTCGTCCTTGAGCGAGAACGCGAGGCAGAAGATGTTGGGCGGGTGCTTGATTTGTGATCGTTGAATGAGCCGTCGCGTTCGGCCGCACTTTTCGCACCACCCGTTGGCCGTGAACTCGTGACTGAGGCTGTGCCGCAACGTGTCTCCGAACGAGTCGCATGCCTGGCCCTGCATTGGTTCAGAAATGCAACACACACCACACCACACCACACACCGCGACTCAGACGCCTGGCTTTCAGCAGCCACACGGAGAAGTGGAGGCGTGAGCACCTGCTTGGGCGGCAATGCCAGTTCGACAGAGTACGTTCGCACGTCTCGCACGACAGAGTAATTGCACATCGAGCACCGCGTACGTAGAAGGAACGTCGACCCGAACAGCTGGTCCAGCAGACCAGGATTCTGTGCGCGGACCACACACCCGACACCCCACACCCCACAGCCACACACACACACACGACACAGCTGTGAGTGTAACGGTACGTTGCGTGCCGCGGCGCGAGCTGCTCGGGACATACGGTGAATGACTGCTGCGGTTTGCTGTTCCGTCTCTCCTGGCCGATGGCGCCCAAGACCGCGGCGCCCTTGCCGCCGCTCCCGCCCAGCGGAGCACCACCGGAAGACCGCCCCACGCTCCGCGGTGACTGCGGGCTGCCTCCCGCGCTCGACGGCTGCGCCGCAGGTGTGGGCGACGCACCTCCGCTTGTCGGCGGCGTGCCCGCAGTGCGGGGCGACGGCCGGCCGTCGCCGCCCTTCTTCATGCTCTCCTTATTGAGCTGGTTGACCATGACCAGGTGGAACTGCTGGCCCAGCTTGCCGTAGGTGATGCGCTCGGCGTCGGGCTCGGCCGGCTCGAGCAGGGAGGTCGCCTGCGGGATGTGACGGAACGAGCGGAGGAAGTTGCTCGCATCGCAGCTGACGCCGTTCGAGATGTCGAGCATGTGGAAGAGGAAGCCCAGCTCGCAGCACAGACAAAATTCGTCATCGCACAGGTGGTTGAGCATGTGCGCCTACAGCCATCATTGGAAATCAAGGTCAAAAAACAAACTCGCATTCGTGTGTGCGTGCGTGAGTGTGTGTGTGCTAGGTACCCGAAGCTGGGGAATAAAGTAGAACGCCTGAAGGCAACTGTTCATGTAGGCATTGGAGTGCAAGTTTTCCAAACCGCCGAACTTGGTGCGGTTGTAATATCTGCGGACACGGTGGACCGTGAGTCAGTCATTGCGCGCGCAAGCCTAGAAAGCGCCACCGAGAGAGAAGTGCTGCGAGGCAGGCAGGAAGAAACACGGTACCCAAAATTGAAATCCTGTACACCCATTTTGGAGTACTTGATCGCCATCTGTCGGTAGTGCTTCGGTGGAATGATTGGTGGCTTATTCTGATATCAGTGCCGAGCGCACGTTTGTGTGGGTCAGTGTTGAGGCGGGTTGGCGGTTGGTTGGTTGGTTGGTTGCGCGCAGGCGACGAGAGGCAGAACGTCGGTCGGTGCGTACCGAATCAATCCGAAGTGTTCGTTTGTGTCGTGGCGGCTCAACAGCGGTGACGAGTGCATTCCGCTTGAGCCCTACATTGGGGGCAGCGAGCCACTTGCCCATCTGATTTTTTGAAGTAACAATCTCATCAGCACTGCATTCCACGAGCCGGCATTGATGTGACTACGAGACGCGTCACGCACCGGTTTGAGGTTATTGATGATCTGCGGCGGTATTGGGGCAGGCTTTCGCGGTACGGCGCAGGTCATGGCCAAGGGCCACGACGACAGTAAGGGCTCCTCCGTCTGGGGCAGTATGTACATGGCCAGAGAACTGCACGTACACACACAGTGTCGTGAAATCGAGAAATTACATTGTCGCGTCAGTAAAAGAATTAATAAAGCAAAAAAGAAAAAGAAGGAATAATGATATGAACGATACCCCGAGTCGTCGTAGGCTTTTGGGGCGGGGCGGTAGGGCTTGTCGGGGAGGGGAGTGGGCAGCGAGAATTGGTTGATCTGCACTTCTTCTCTGTCGGCCCACTGATGTACATATCTGGAAATATATGACAGGACAGCTCATATCAGCTCATATTCTCCCGAGCGCGAGCGCGCACCAAGCGCTTCAGGCACAGACATATATCTAACGTAAGTGTGTGTACCCTCCACTGTCGGCAAAAATGAGGCACTCTCCCGTGCTGGCGATATCGAATGACGTCACCAGGTCTCCGCCACAGTCGGCCTGGTAAACCCCACCCCAGGCAGATTATGATTAAACTGATTGTTTGGCGATTGGCCGGCGGGTGGGTTGACGCGTACCTGGTACATCTGCAGGCTGGTGGGGTCGCCCTGCGCCTCGCAGATTTGTATCTGCCCATTCTGGGACACGATGAACAGGCTCGACGAGAACTTGGGGTGGAACTTGAGCAGGAAGGCTCCTGGCGGGAAGGCTGGGACGTGGCAACACACACGACACACGACACACGACACACGACACGAGAAAGAGGTAAAGAGTAAGAAACACCAAAAGTACACGACGGCCACCACCACCACCACCGACTTACCGATGGGCGCCAGCGGCCGCATTGTGCGCACGTCGTAGACCTTGACCATGGGGTCCAGCATGGGCCCATAGGTCTGGCCCATTCGGCTGCGCGCCACCGACCAGCCGACCCAAGACGCGTGTCAGCAACAAAACGACGTGCTTCGGGTTGGTAACGGATTGGTGACGGCAGCGCGTACGAGTGCGTTTTGGAGAGGCCGCATGTGACGAGCAGGTCGGCCTTGATGTCGAGGTCCATGATCCCCGCCGAATGGCAATCCACAGTGTTCTCCACCCTGCCGCGGCCAGAGAGTAAACCGACCGTGTTTAGCCCTGGGCTTAGCTCAAGACAAGACCAAGTCACACCGCGTGCGCCACGAAAACGTCGATCTGTACCTGTAAGTGCGAGGATCGAGCATGGACACTTGGCCATTGCTGCCACCGCAGCAGATGAGCCGGGACCGCTGCATACAAGTGACCGCGGTGCCGATGTCGATCTGGTTTCAAGGCATAAGTTAAAAAGAAAGAAAGAAAGAAAAATGAGCTCACTCGGTAAGACGGAGTCAGCTATAAAAGGCCCTGATCATAGGTGTGTGGGGTACCTCTTTCACGACCTGCGAGCGCGACAGGTCAAAGAGCTGGAGTGCGGCCAGATCTCCGCCCAGCAGCATCTCTGACTTCATGGCATTGCTGTACACACCGCACCGCATGCCACGCAGCTCTTGCCCACTGCCGTGGCAGCCACCACCACATCATTGGCACACGAACATGTCAATCGTCGTCAGCGCGGTCTTCTGCGCCGATCATCACCAAAGAGGCATGTGGTTGCCACAAGAGGAGCTGCGTGGCGTGCCTGTAGGAGAAGTTGAGCAGGCCACCGCGCGTGTGATGCCGAATGGTGTCGGAGGAGATGGAGAGGATGCCCGCCTGGTCGGCGTGCAGCTGCCGAACCGCCGACTTGTGGGCTTGGAACGAGGAGTAGTGGTCCATGCCCGGGCTCATGTACGAAATCAGGCGTCCCTGGTACAACCAAAAAAATGGATTGTTATTTTTTTAAAAACAATAAAAGAAAAATAATAGTGCACATATAAAAAAATGAGGGTCCTAGGGAGGTACATTGTCGAGGCCAGACCAGATGAGCTCCTCGGCAGGGTCGGCCAGCACGGCAGTGACTGGTACGATGTGGTTGACGTGGCTCTCCGTGACGGCACGCATCTCGAACCACGACGGTCGGTCGAGTCCGGCAGCCGCGGCGGCAGCGGCAGCAGCGGCGGCCGCGGCATGAGCGTAGGCTCCAGCAGGCCCGCCAGCGTAGGACATGCCGCCGTGGCCCCCGCCGTAGGCAGCGTGCCCGCCCACGGACACGGTGTCCACCAGGACTGGAGGGCCGCCGGGCACGGGGGGCGGAATCCACAGGGGCGAATGCGATGCGCGCGTAGTGGCGCCGCCGTTCGGGCCTCCGCCGCCGCTGCGGTTGTGCAGATGATGCTGGCCTCCTCCTCGTCCAGACAGGCGCAGTGACGAGGAGTCCATCGGGGCGCGAGCGCAGGAGATGGAGATTAAGGTGGGGGGGAGGTCTGACTTGAATAATAAGAAAATAAAATGAGTTAAATAGCTCTACAATGCGAGGTGAAGGCTAATAAAACAATCGAGGGCCGAGATGCAAGCCTTCAAGTAAGGTTGCAGATGTTGCGGGACGACCCACAATTTTGACCCTCTTTTTTCTTATTCAATTTCCTTTCTTTTCTTTTCCACCACAGCCACACTCTACCAAATCGGCACTGACGACAAAAAAGTGTACAGTTGGCTCTTTGGCGTAGTGGTAGCGCGTCGCTCTCGTAAAGCGAAGGTCGAGGGTTCAATCCCCTCAAGAGCCTTCTTTTTTAATCCTCACCACTCAAGGTGGAAATGCGGAGTGGTGATCATCATTGTTTTGTGAGGGACCGGCCTGCAAGTTGGGTCAGGTTGTGGGTCACGATGTGTCTCTGCGCAGCCAGGTACTCTCGCGCCCGCTGCGTGCGTCGCAGTTTCCGTCCATTGACACCCGTGGCCTCGGGTCCAGCCACCGTCAGGCCGCTCAGCAGCGAACGCAGCGAGCCCTCGATCAGCGCCGCCACCTGCGCGTCGACATCGGTCGGCAGGGTGAGCAGACCACCCTCCGAGGCGGTGGCCAGCAGTCGCTCGACGGCGTCGTCGGGGAGGAAGATGAGCCGCAGCGTGTCGATGAGCTTGGCCGGCAGAGGGCCGTGCCCGCGCAGGAAATGACTGCGCGCCCGTATGTCGTCCTCGAGCCCCAGGCGCTGCAGCAGCGCCAGCTTGGCGTGGGTGAGCGGGATCTGCGCGGGAAACGGGAAGCGCAGGGCGTCGAACGGGTTCGCATCGACGGCGTCGCCGATGCGCCCGCGGCGCAGCATGAGCTCGGCGCTGGTGGGGCCGCGGCCCACGGCGAGATGGATTGGGTCGCCCTCGGCCACCGGCGCCAGCGAGTGCAGCGTGAGGGGTCCGTCGCCAGCGGGCGACCCCAGCGCGGCGACCGTGCACGCGTACGGATGGTGTCGCGGCAGAACCGCCAGCGGTAGCGCAACCGTGATCGTGGTCGGCCCCGCTGACAGCGTCGTCGCGTCGTCGTCACCCGCCTCAGCTTCTTCCTCCTCCTCCGCCTCCTCGTCTTGCACGCCAGTGTCGACTGCCATCGCCTTGTCGGCATCGACGCCGTTGGCGGCGCCGGCGGGGGTGGGCGGTGGGACGACGACTCGCACCGAGTGGCTGTCGAGCACCATGGCCGCCCAGCGGAAGTTGGCCCACGAGAAGAGCGCCCGCGGGAAGTACTGGGGCAGCGCCTGCGAGAGCGCCGGGAATAGCTGCGAGTAGAGCTCCTTCAGACCTTCTTCGGTCTCCCTGTTGGCCGCAAGCATCAGTGGCTGTACGTAGTGTGTCGTGCGCATGTGTGTCGTGTCGTGTGTCGCGTGTCGTGCAGATTGGCGCACCCAAGTTGGCTCGCGGACTCAAAGTCGGGTCCCAGGAGGCTCCGCTCCTCCTTGGTCCAGGCCAGAGGCAGATCGACCTCCCCGGCCCACTCGCCGTCCTCCTCCCCCTCTTCGTTCTTTGTCTCATCTCCGCCTCCGCCACCACCCGCCTCTTCGACTACCTCCATCGCCTTTTCCTCCTTCGCCGCGGCCCTCTTCTGCGTCGCTGGCTTCTTTCTCGCACTCGTCTTTGTCTTCAATTTCTTTTTGTTCTTGGCGGGCGCGGGCTTCTTGTGTCGTACGGCGCTGAGGAACGGGTACCAGGGCGACGCCTGACCGCGGCCCTTCTCCCAGACCAGGAACAGCGTGAGCACCGTGTCCTCGTCGAGCCCGCCCTCCACGTACTGCAGCGCCTCGCCCAGCGGTGACTCCAGCGCCTGATCATACGACACATAACATGACACACGCACGCGGCACGACACGCACGACACACGTAAGTGTCGAGGTCGGCCAAGAGGGGCAATGCCCGGGGGAACGGACCGTGTCGACGGTAATAAGAAGCTGGCGGGGGATGGTGAGCAGGGCCTGGCCTGCGGGCACGGCCTGCGCGGCGAAGACGCCGTCGCTGGTGAATCGGAGCAGGTGGTCGATGCCGGGCGGGGGCGCGTAGGTGGTGATCGGCTCGGCGCTGGCTTCGGCAGAGGCGATCTGCGCGAGAGCGGCAGCGTTCGCCCTTCGGGCCGTCTCGCTCACCATCCGCTCTACGGCCTCGATGCACGAATTGAGCACGCGTCGCTGACCATTCTTGTAGATGGTCGCGTTTCGCACGTTGCTGTTGTTGTGGACGGCGGTAAGAGCTTGAGGACCCGGACCCAGCTTGCGCACCTTGTCCTCAAGCAGGCCCTTGAGCGTTTGGGTCATCTCGAGCTCGTTTCTCCAATTCACGAACACGCTACCTGGCAATCAGAGGCAATCGGTTCGTGAGCTTGTGTGTCGCGTGATGTTGCTCGCAGGGCGACACATAAACCACACCCGACACGACACGACACGACACGACACGACCAACGACACACACACACATGACACACACACACACACACCACCACACGGTACCGTTCTCGCCAGCGGGCGTCGACTCCCCTTCTGTCTCAGTCCGCTTGCGTTTGCGCTGGGCCGTGCCGTCGTCCGCAATGCTGCTGTCGTCGTCGAGCTCGGCCGCATCGAAGAAATAGAGCTCCCACTGGGTCATCACCGACACGCGCAGCGCGTCGAGGAGGGCCGGAGGGACGTAGTCGCGCCTGAGCGCCTGGAGCACGGGCAGCTTGAGCCGGCCCAGCAGGGCCTTCTTCCTCGCTGCCAGCGGGTCTGCACGCAGAGGGCCAACTGTAAAGTCAGTCGAGAACTAATGCTCACCGCCGCCAGCACCGGGGAAAAGAGGCCCATTTTACCAGCGGGAGAGAAGGAGAGGCGAATCATGACGTAGTCCTGTTCGTTGTCCTCAATGCAAAAGCCGTAGCCCTGATTGACAGGAGAATGTTGCGTCAACAATGCAATCAGTAGGCTATGATGGTGCGGGGGTGGGTTTGGGGTGGGGGTTAGGCACCATGAGAAGTTCTTCGTTTCCTTTCGGGCCGTAGTTGTTGAAGGCCTCGGTTCCCTTCTCGACCGTGTCCTCCGTCACGAATTTGAGACGGCCTAATAGCGCCCGAAGCGTGTGAGGCACAACGATGGAAGCGCAGTGATCCGCCCGCACTCGCCTACACACGGATGCACGCACCGGTTGAAGGATCGAGAGCCCAGGTGATCTTCTTCCTGTACTGATGGTTGAGCATGTCGAGCCCCGGCAGCAGGCACTCGTCTATCTGCCCTCACGACACGTCATTACATTACACACCGAATCCAAGCAAAAGAAGAAGAAAAAAGCATTAAAGAAGAAAAAAGCATTGAAGCCCAGAGAGGCGCACCTCAAGGAGGTCGTAGGGGTCCGCGTGTGCGCTGGTGGTCGCGGTGGGCTGCTGCACGAGCGTCTGTGGGAATGACCGAGACGAGCACGCGGTGAACGTCCACAGGAAATGATCCCTGCGAACCAGACGGCGTCAACAACTCAATTATTAATAATACATAAATAAATGAATAAATAATAATAATAATAATAATAATAATAAATAACATTGGCAGGGGACGGACCAGGTGAAGAGGTCCGGCGGGAAGACGGTCGGGTGGGCGTGACACAAGGCGGGGAAGAGCAGGTCGAAGGACTCGCGGATCTGCTGCTGCTTCTCCTGCATCGCGTAGAAAAGATTGGTGCCCGCCAGGTGCTGGATGTCTTCGTCCGGCCTGTCGTCGTGTTCTTTGTAGTCAGCTCTCGAGGCTTGGGTCGTGTGTGTCGTGTGTGTGTGTCGTGTGTGTCGTGTGTGATATTCGTGTTCGTGTGTGTGCGTTGGGAGTACCAGTAGAGTGGCGTGCTGAAGGTACTCGGAAGAGAGCGCAGGTAGGGACCCCAGAACGCGTCTTGGGCTGCGCGCTGATGAATCAGGTAGGCACACAGGATGGCGCGGCCGGCCGACACCCTCAATCGCTCGCCTGCTGAGGAAAGGCCACCAAGCATCAGCACACACGACACGGCACACGGCACACGACACGACACACACGACACACGCTGGCACTCACCTTGCACTGCGTTGAGGTGGGCGGCAACAAGTCGGCCGACCTCGGATTTTCGGGCAATCTCGGTCGTGAGCACCAGACGAACGGGAATGGAGCACAGCTCCTCCCCGGGCAGAATGTCCTCCGTCGCGATGCCGCCCCTCCCGCCTAACTCTGCACCGGAGGAGCGATTAACGATTGAATAATTCAAATTAAAACGGATCCAACGTTTGGTGTCGAGTACCAGAGACGGCGAACGTGAGGCGAGGGTAGCGAGCTTCGTTGGCCTGCAGCCACCCCTCAAACTCCTCCATCCACGCAGTGTACAAAAATAATGTTTTTCACAATTAAATGGTTCGTGAAAAAAAAGAAAAAGATTTTCTGCAGACGCCAACGGTTTTCGTCGACTTTTTATGCAGCCCTCCGGGAAACTTGCGCCACCTCCACCGGACGGTGAGCGAGACAAGCAGCACAAGAAGAAGACGAAGAAGCTTTGTCTCCTTCAGCCCACAACACAAACCACAAACTCAGTCACAGCCGGCAACATCAACAAACACACTCATGGACTCCACGAAGAGCACAGCCGAAACACAGCCGCTGATGAGCGACGACACGCAGGTCACCCCCATTACGACTCCGACTAGCCAGCAGGCCGCGCCTGCCCAGATGAAGGTGGACGAGGAGACGATCGAGGAGAAGTATGCGCACCAGCTGGCCGACATGGGCGAGCGCTACATGATCGCGGTCGACGGGTCGAAGCAGTCAGGCAAGGCCTTCAAGTGGCTCCTCAAGCAGGTCGCCATGGCGGGCGACCCGTCCAAGGTGGAGGTGGTCATCATCAACTTCCTGCCCGAGTGCGACTTCAGCATCGAGGTGAGCCAGGAGTATCAGAAGGCCAAGCACGAGCTCGCCCACTGCCTCGAAGAGTACAAGCGGATACTCGGCACCATCAACGTACGTTGTTTCTGGCTTCTTCTTCATCTTCATGTAGAGGCACGAGAATCGTTTCTACATGACTGACCATGTACGTGGTGGTTGATGGTGGTTGCGCAGGTGGCGAGCGTGGTGCGGTTGGTCGAGGGCGCGGGCGACGTGCGCGAGGCCCTGTGCAGGCACGTGAAGGAGGAGGGTATCAACACGCTGGTCATGGGCAACACCGGCAAGTCGGGCCTGCAGCGGGTGCTGCTGGGTTCCCTCAGCGAGTACTGCGTGCGCTACGCCGAGTGCGCCGTCGTGGTGGTCAAGTGAGCCATTCATCTGCCTCTTCCCCTCCTCCTCGTCTTGTCTCTCTCGTTTGTTTGTTTGTACATTCTTCTTTGCTTCAAGCCATCGTCCACATCAACGCTGGGTTGTCTCTTCATCGTAGAAGAAGAAGAAAATGAGAAAATAACACAGAAAAGGGGGGTTGCAATGCAATGGGCTTCAGAAAAGAGAAGAAAGGGACCCAAGGCAACGACACCCATCAGCAAAGAAGCAGGGCGAACATGGCACGCAGGTCGGAGCAGTCGGACGCGGTGTTCAGGCTGGTGGTGCTGGGGACGGGGGGCGTGGGCAAGTCAGCTCTCTCGCAACAGCTGCTGTACAATCTGTTTTCTGAAGACTACGAGCCCACGATCGAGGAGCTCTACCGCAAGCAAGTCGCCATCGACAACCACGCCTGCATGCTCGAGATCTTGGATACCGCCGGCATGGAAGAACTGAGGTGTGTCACCAAGAATATGTTCCTATAATAGTCTTTATATCTTTTTTTTTATTGATGATACATCATCAACATACACCCGTGTGAGGATATGACAATTGCTTGTGCGGGCTTCGCAACTGGAACTGCAACAGTGCGATGAAAGACCAGTACATGCGAAGCGGAGAAGGCTTCGTGTGCGTGTACGACATCACGTCGCGACAAACGTGGGAGGAGCTCAGGACACTGTGCGACAAGGTGCTCCAGGTCCAGCAAGAGGACGAAGTGCCCATGGTCATAGTGGGCAACAAGTGCGACCTCGGTGAGGCCCGACGGGAGGTGACCGTCGCCGAGGGCAAGGAGCTGGCCACCAACTTCCACGCTCAGTTCTACGAGGCCTCGGCCAAGCTGGGCACCAACGTCGAAGCGAGCTTCTTCGACCTCGTCCGCGACATCCGACAACGGCGCAGTAGCAGCCGCCCCGCGGTGGGCAAGTCCACCAGGCGGATCTGCCCGCTGTTCTGATGTATTATCGTTTCGTTTCGTTTGACATGTCCAAAACTTTCGTTTCCGTTTCGGTTACATTTCAACGCGCCTGGCTGGCCAGATGATGTAGCGTGATGCTGATGATCTCACTCGAAGAGGAGTTCCTTGGCATCGCCAAAGGCCTTGTGGGCGATGACGGCCTTGGCCACGTCGAGCATTCGTCGGCTGCTGCTGATGGCGGCGCTGTCGCTGCTGGCGATCGGGAGGAGTTCATCTTCGCCGCTCGCCATCGCCATCATGGCAGTCTTCGACGGCGAGGCGGGGGTGAAGAAGATGCAGAAGAGGAGCTGGTAGGCCCCCAGCTTCGCGAGGGCGGTGGCCAGGCGCAGGGCGGGCGCGAAGCGGAAGATGGACGGGATGGCGGTCGCCAGCGAGAGGAAGGTGAGCGTGAAGGCCAGCGTCGACGACGGGTGTTCGACCATGAGCTCGAGCTGCGTCGTGATGTAGTCAAACACGCCCAAGAGGGCCAGCTCCACCCTACAGCACGCACACCGCACCAACCACCGCGGCGTTAGGGAATCGGGTCGGAGCTTCACGCAGCGCCGCGACGAGGGGAGGCGGCGTACGGTGGCTTGGCCTGGCCGGGTGGGCTGAGCGGCACGAGGTGCATGCCCGTGAGAGCGGCCGACAGTACCGACATGTAGGCCACCAGCTGACCATAGAACTGCGTCCTGCGCGCGGTTCCAACCACCCACGTAAGCCCCGTACGGCAATACGACACACGACACGCAACACACGACATACACGACACGACACACGCTGGACGGGGACGGGGTACTTTTGGCCAAAATGGCAGAGCGGAAGGTACTGTGAGAAGAGCGTGGCGACGAGGTCCTTGCCGCCACACAGCGCGACCAAGCACGCGCTCATTTCCGCAGCCCTGTATGCGCGCCCCGTGAGAAGAACACGCAATGGCACGCGTGTGTGTGGGAGACGCGCAGAGAAACTGTACCTGAGCGCGTGTCGGCTGCCCATCCCGCCGTGGAGGCTGTGGATGATGCAGCGGAACATGTGGTCGCAGAACTCCCGCTTGCCGACGCGGCTCAGAATGAAGGAGAAGTGCGTGAAGGAGGTCGAGGGCATCGTCTCCGGCAGCGCCGCGAGGAAGTCCTTCTGCAACTGCGCATTGAGCGGCGTCGTGTGCGTATATTTGGTCGTGACCACTGTGATGATGACGATGTTTGGTTGGTTAGTGCTGCTGGCTGGCGCCACTTGCGCGCGCATACACGAGTGCGAAGCTGTACCGGACTGCAGCATTGTCTTGAGCTTCTCCGATTGTGGGTTGTCGCCTGCAGTTTCGAGGGCCTTCTTCAGGCTCACTCCGATCGCGGTCACCATCTGCAGCAGCAGCAGCAACATAACAACAACAGCAACGCGTTAACCACGGCGCCGCTTTTGGGGGGAGGGGCCGAAGCCCGATGTTTAGAACGTGCCTTGGCGCTGAGGGGATGCTGCTCGGCGAGGGTCGAGAGGACCAGGAGGGGCACGGACACTTGATACGACGGAGGGCTTCCACTGCACAGCAAAATGAAACCAAAACGACACACGGTGAGTGGTGTTGTGTGTGTGTGTGTGGCGCACGCGTGCGTGCGTGTGTCGCGTCTCGTGCATGACGACTGTACCCAGTGCTGATGGTGGTATGTTGGATGGTGACGAGGAGCTCGGTGGCGAGCCACAGGTAGAGCGGGATGTGAATGAAGGGGATGACGTCCAGGGCCGTCTTGTAGTGCGCGCAGCAAGCCGCGAGGGAGAACTTCTTGTGCACGCAGCCCAGGTAGAGCTGCTGTATGACATAGGGCAAGAGCTCTGCATGTGCGTGTTAGAAACCGCAATGTGCGTTGGTTGGATGAAGGAATGATGGTTGTGGCGATACCCAGGCTCTCCCAGGGAGTCAACTTCTCAATGACATCCTTGATTGCAGGCCCAGGGGGCGTGACAAAGAGCGCCTTGAGTAACGTATCGCCCGCCTGTGTGTTGTGTGTGTGTGTGTGTGTGTGATCAAAGTTATATTGTCAATGACCAAGGGTGCGAGGCGTGCGAGGCGTACCTGTGCCTTGGCCGGCGTGCTGAGGTCGAATTTGGAGAACATGTAGGAGTTGTACCAGGTCAAGAGCGAGGCCTTGTCGTGCTTCTCCTTGCTGCCGTCGGGGGAGCCGTGGCTGCCACTTGGCTCCTCCTTGAGTTCGCCTCGCTGGCGCTTCTCTTCGCTCAGCAGGTACATGAACCCGTCCGTACGCTGGAACGCCTCCTGGTTGCTGGCGCAGGACTTGACCTCGAGCTTCTCCAGTATCGCCACGAGAAGCGTGAACGCTGAGGGGAAGAGCGAAGCGGCTTCCGATCTCGTCTCTACATGGTCGACGGAGAGAAAGGTGTCAACAGCGCTTGGGAGGTCAGTGGACGGAGAGAATGCATGCATGCGCGCAGGCGTAGCGGTACCTGGAGATATCTCCTCGACTTGTGTCAACACGCCGTCTCCCCATCTGGCACAGTGCACGGCGACATTACTGGCCAACTGAAACACACGACACACACACGACACACACACACACACACACGACACACAACACACAACACACACACGACGAACAACAGTGAGTTGTACAGCTGACAAACGAGTTGGCGACGGCGCTGTGGTCCAACGGCTTACCTGAGGTAGCGTGGCGTGGAGAAACAAGGCGTCCAACACGTAATCGGAACAGAGCGTGGCAAAGAGCTGAGCGAGCGTGGCTGGAGCGATGGGCCCCTCTTCCTCCTTCACAGCCATCGGCGACGCGAACGGATCCGACGCCTGTCAACGTTGTGCCGTTGGGCAGTCAGACGAGAAGAGAATGCGCTTAAGTCATAGTAAGGGACCCGCGTACCGACAGGACGGCTTGCACAAGGTGCTCCTGCGCTTGAAGGTGCTGGTGGAGATTACCGACGACCTCCAGCGCCTTCTTGACCACGTCCTCGCCCAGCTCCTTATTGCGCAGGAACCCAAACAGCTGATCGACGTCCTGGTTGGGTGGGTCGCCACATGTGTTTGAGTTGCGTGGTGCGTGGTCAGCTAACGAAACGTGAGCACACCAGAAGGTGAAAGGCCAGCGGTACCTCCTTCTTCTGGGGCGGAGTGCCGGCGAGCATGGCCTCGACCGAGTACAGGTCCGTGGAGACGCCGTCGATGGTTAGCCTGCAATCGAGACCGGGCCGTGAGCAGAGCAGAGCAGAGCACCGGTGCATGAAGTAAGAAGTGGTGGACGTACCCGGGCAGGAAAGTCTCGAGCTTGTCCCTGGACACCAGGCCGCGGTGCAAACACGCGCTCGCAAGCTCGCCCAGCATGATCGAATGGGCGGCTGCATTGTCCAAGCAACGGGCGATGAGTTGGAGACACTCACACCGCACGCAACACGCGCGGCATAGAAAAGAAGAAAAAAGAAAGAAAGCCGACTACCATTAGAGAGCGCATCGGCAGAAGCGGCCGCCGGTGAAGCGCCGGTCAGGACGGGGTGCGACGTGGAGAGCGTGGAGCTGCTGGGCGACACCAGCGCCTGTGTGGGTGTGAGAGGCGGGCTGCTGACCGACGACGAGCGAGCCTTGGTGCCGGTGGTCACGCCGGGCGACACCAGCGTGGGAAAGTGGGAGAGGTGGATGAGCGACAGTTCGACCGGGTTGAAGTGCGACAGCTGTGGAATCTGCGCGAAGGTCTGCTCCGTTTCGTTCATGTCCGTCCACTGTTGCATGAGCAGCGGCACCTTTGTTGGAGGAGGAGGAGGAGGAGGAGGAAAGGAAGCGACCATCAGGCTTCGTGGTTGATAGCGACATCGATGAAAGAAAATGGATGAGAACCTTCACGAGCAGGTAGTTTCTGGCGATGTACCACTCGCGAGAGTGGACGGCAGTGCGCTTGGAGTTATAGAAGCGCAGGGCCGCAGACCAAAGCTGCGGCAGAAAAGTCAACAACAACACCACACAGGACGCGCAAGTCAGCCGCGGCCCAATATGGCCTGAGTCGGGTAATGGCTCGTACCTCGCACACGAACGCATACCATCCGAGCCCTCGGCAGCCCCTTAGGCTCCGCATCCTCTCCGCAGACTCGAGGAGACTGCGGTGGAGAACCGACGTTTGCTGTTGCAGAGTTTCGTGGATAAAGGTCAGTACGCGATGCGAAGCCAAGGCCATGCGAGAGGGGGGGGGGATGTGGCGCACCTCCTCCTTCACGACGAGGGCGATTGCAATCCATGGTCGGTTGTAGGCGTTCGAGTTGTGTCGGGCGACGTTGGTGAACAGGTTGTGCTTCAGCCAACCGCGACAGTACAGCCTACACCACTCCGTGCTCAGCAGCCCTGCGTGTGCGTGTGCGTCGTGTGTGAGCAATTCAAACACCGACTAGTGATATCTCAGTACGCGTAATCATAATTGCAAGGTACCTTGCAGAGCGCGCCAGAGAGGCTTGAGAATGTGCTTGTGCGGATGAGGCGTGAGCGACGTCGACGTGGCTTGGTTGACCAGCTCTCCGCTGCCGCTTTTAAATAGATCCTCACACTTCGAGCAAAACGAGCTCCACAGGTCTGCGAACACGATCATCACGTGGTCAGATTATAGAAAATATCGAGTTACGACGAGAGTGAGAGAGCCAAGCGCACCGGGATGTTCGTGTCGGGCGAGTAGCAAAAACGCGAGGCACTTGTGGTGGGTGAGCAAGGCGACCAGCGTGTTCACAGACACCTCGAGATTGTTGCAAGACCCTCCTTGCCTGTGGGCTGCGCTCAGTTGCTGTTCACTGTCAGCAGAACTGACCAGCAGCGTCGCGAAAGAGTTGTGCGTAAGTTGGCCAACTTTACTAAATACCACACACACACCACACACCACACCACACACAACACACACGGCGCACGAGCATTCGAACACAAGACTGAGAGGCTGCGGTACCCCGCCGAGCTGGAAGATAGGTAGGCCACGGCAGAGACGAGCATCTCGGCTAGTCGCAAGAATATCCGTGCGATGAAGGAGATGCCATCGGTCGTCGTGGAGCCACCTTCCTTCATCTGCTCCTCGCCGAACTCGAGCTCGGCGGCGGCCGCAGCGGCGGTCCTGGCCTTTTTGCTGTGGTCTCCGCCCTGCTCGGCCTGGTGTGGTTCCGTTCCCTGGCTGCTGCCCTCGAGATCCATCATGCCTTCGTCGTCGTAGCTTTTCGAGAGCGCTCTCTTTCGCTTGTGCCTGCTCTGCTGCTCCTTGGCGATGCTCCGTCGCAGCTCCTCCCGCTCCTCGTGGGAGATCATCAGCGGCGCGAACTCGGCCACGAGCTGCAGGAAGGCCGAGAACTGGCCCGGGGCCGCGGGCGAGGCCACATCGCAGAGGCTGTTGAAGAAATGGGCCTGTGGGCGCGGCACACAACGACCTCAGCAGCTGCGCGCAGGCCCGTTGGTGTCCATGACACACCACTGCACGCGTGTGGAGGCTGAGAGATTAGGTGCTGATGGTACCTTGGCGACAAGACCAACGCTCAGGGAGTGTCGGATGTAGGAGAGGAGCAAGGGCGATGGAGAGGGACCCACGCGCGCTTGCTGCAGCAGAAAATCTAAATCACAAAGAAAAAAGATAAGAGTGGGAGTGAATAATCATGCAGGTAAATGGGTAGGGGGCTGGCAGCGAACCGCAGAGGAGAGGAGATGTGGCGGCACGAGGTCCAAAATGGTCCTTGATCGCTCTACCCCATTGGGCGGGCGTTAATCTCTTGTTCCATGCCGATGCAAAGACACGTTGCAATTCGAAATTGGCATCGCCCCGTTGGTTGCTGCTCTTCTGCATAGGTGCCGTCAGACGAGCTCAACGACTTGCAAGCACCACTTCACCCTGACGATCCGAGTCCAACCTTCCTCTGGCCTCGCGCAACACGAAAAGGTTTTCAATCGAACACAAAAGTAAAATGAAAAACATAATTCAAAAAGAAAATACCAGAGAAATTCTCATTTTGTGGGCCGTGGCCGGAACGATGGTGACGGAGTCGACCACGAAGCCACCGGTGAGGATATGCTCCCAAGTAGCAGGGAATGGTAACCATTTGGTCACCACCATGATGATCTAGGCAGTCAATTTATGGTGATGCCTCTACCTCTTGCGCCAAAGGTTGGGTCAAAACAGAAGCCAGCCACCAATGGACAGCCACCACTGCCTGAGATCACTTGGAAGGGAGCCTTGAGGTCGTTGTAGTGGTGGGCCAGCACTTGCCCCTTCACCACCAGCCACAACCTGTCATATGAGTGTTGGTGTGAACTTATGCACATATCAACTGGAACAATGACAAGTGAAGTGAGCTCCAGCTCCATTAAGAAATCAACTTGATGCTGGTGATGTAGTGATGGCTTGATGCACGTACCCCATACTTCATCAGTATGCCTTCCTTGTACCTCACCTCACAATCCTCTTTTCACTCATTCTGTGCTCGCTTGCACCTGTGTTGCATGCCTTCAGCCATATGCCAGGAGTGGCCAAGAAGAATGGAACTTGTGGTACAGCTGGGAAGTGGGCCTGGTCCATGTCACTGCCCTCACCATGGACCACATTGACAATCACAAGGCCGACATTGTCTCAGCACAGAGAGAGTGGCTTGTCCAGGATCTCTGGTGTGTTCATCTGCAATTATGGTGTGGATGGATGCATAGCATCGGACATGATGCTTCACCGACCCCACCCACCCACACCAACACCCACAGGACAGTGCAGAGGGAGGAGATGGAGGATGGAAGAGTGTGTGACCTCTTCTTGGCGGATTCAGTCACTCATGCCTCCACCCACAAACCCTAGGTCACCAAACACGACAAACTTCATCAAACCTGCGGGCAGCAAGAACAAGTACTCGGGCGACGTGTAGTTGTTGAGCCTGGCCATGTAGTAGTAGGTGAAACCCTCCTTCAGACCCTGTATGACGCAGATAGTTGATGACCCCTTGCTAAGTGATGGTGGTTGGTCTTGTGTACCTGGAGTGGCCAAGTGGATGTACTGGAAGCCACACTCGTTTTCCTCATCAAAGAAAGCAGTGTCTGCGCGGGCGGTATGTTGGTAGCGGCCACTAGTCGTCCCAAAGGCCACCTCAGCCGTCCCGTTGACGGGAGTAGCGAAGGTCAAGATGCGTCTCCATCTCTCTGAGTCCCAGCCGTTCCCCAGGTCGGTTTGGAGCGACATATATGAAAATAAGACGAGCATGAGGTGAGTTAGAGCGAAGTGGTGTGGTACCCGAAGGAGAGTCGGAGTTGTTGCGGGTACGTGTCCCGTCGGCTCCAGTCGTTGGTGTGGTTGGTTGGGATGAGGGGCTCGAGGAACAGATAGGGCGTCGAGAGCAGGCAGAGCAGTGCGACCGCGAAGACGACGCCCACTGTCCTCTGGTTCCTCGGGCGCTGGAGCTCTCGGAGCCACTCCATGAGCGAGTGTGTTGTAGCAGAACGCAAAAGTTGACCTTGACGTGGTGTCGAAACACAGCATGCAAGCAAGCAGAGAGGTATCGCTCGCTCCAGCGTTAGTCTCGCTCTCCCGAGGGAGTTAGTGTACCACAGTGCGGAGTTGTTGCAAGAGTGACGAACAACTGTTTTGGCCTTTTTTTTTGGTCATTCCGCCGCACAAGATAGGCTTGATCCTGCCCGATCCCGCTGATCCCAGCCGCGGGTCAGGGTGGGGTGGGATGGATGGATGGGCGTACTTCAGTTCTTGCGTGGCAGAAGCTTGGCAGCCTGAGATCCCACTCGCACCACTGGCGCGTGATGGCGCGGGCGACTGAAAGAAGAAAAGAATAAATAAGAGGACAATAATTAGCGAGGAGGAGGCCGAGGAAGATGGTCGAGAGAGGAAAGTTTGTTTTTAATCACTTGACGACTTTGTAGGTGGGACAAGTCTGGTCGCACGCGACCTTGTGCTTCGCCCAGTCATCTCGCTGGCAGGTCTGTTTCCAAAAAGAGAGATGCAACATAGGCACGGAGTGAGTTGCAGGCCAAGATGCTACTCGGAAACGCAGAGCGAGAATGAACAACGGTGGTTGGTGCGTACGCGGCTGCAGTAGACAACGGACTGGCAGCGCGAGCACTGAAGAGGTTTGAGCAGCGTTCGCTTGCAGTTCCAGCAGCGGTACAGATGCATGCCGAAGAACGCGTCGATGTTACCTGTGGTGGCACGGACGACATGCGCAAAGCGAAACGAAATGACAATCAGAGACTCCACGGCTTGAAAGGCAAAGAGGGAGAGAGAGATGTCCGTAGGAACGAACCGCTACCGGAAGAGGAGGCTGCTTCTTCTCCGTTGCCCGTGGTGCCAGGCTTGTCTACGATAGCCTTGCCCTTGGTACCGCGCTCTCTAGCATGGATCTTCTCCAAGTCGTCACCGGTGTCCTCTGTATAGACAAGAACGTTCAGCAAACACACCAGGCCGCTCGAAAAAGACACACAACACCCGACCGACAGCGAGCTACACGAAGACAAAGAGGCTTTTTACCTTTTCGGATATCGGTGATGAAGTAGCCGATGCGCCTGCCGAGATGTCGCATGTTGAGGAACTGCTGCTGGATGGCCTGGGAGGACTGGTCAAACAGCTCTCGCCACTCTGGATGAATGGAGGTCTGCTGTGGCGTGACGACCATCACGTTCAGCTTGCCGTCCACATCGGTCCAGAATCGGTGGTAGCGCCCGACTTGGATGAAGTTGCACACGTTATGCACAAACTCGTCATACAAGGTCTGGAAGGAAGATGCAAAGTAGTAGTCGACCAGCTCGAACAGACCCTTGCCCTGCGACACATTAAAAAAAAAAAAGGCATAGACTCGTCAGCCTCTCCGAGAGCCGACAGCTGGCGCAATCGCGAAAGAGTGCAGAAAGAAGGTAGGTACCTCAATCACGATGGCGCCAGAGTTGTTGTTTCCCAATAAGAGCGTGTTTGTCCACTTCAGAGCCAACACGTCCTTTCGGTCTAGCGACTCGGTGCACTGGAACGGAGTACTCGGGAGGTTAGAAGGCGAGCCAGCACAGGATCTAGGAAAAGAGTGCGCGCGATTGCGATGTCGATGTCGATGTCATACCTGGTACCAGCAGATCTTCTTCGTGAGCTTGTCGGCTGGTTCCTCGCCCATGGGCCGCTTGGAAGACAACTTGACCATCTGAATGCCGATGCCGTTGAGAGAGGGCTTGCCGTAGTTCTCCCTTCGTAAGAGAATCAGTAGCTTGCCGCCTTCCTTGGTCGAAAACTGGATATCCAGAATAAAGTTCTTGGGCGTGTGCGAGTCCTGAAGGTGCGCCAAAGCACGGTGAGCTGGTGCGCAAGCGTAATCGCAACAGTCAGCGGCGCAAGAACGAAGAGCGGATGATTGCGCACCTCCAACCACGCGCTGTCTCGGATCTTTGGGTAAAGCAACCGTGGATACCACTCGAACTGGATGGTCTCCTTCTCCTTGCGATTGGCGATGATGGTCCACAGGCAATACTCGCCCGTGCCTTCGTCGTTCCATGTCACGAAATGGAATGGCTTCGGGTTGACCGGTGCAGCTCCTAAACGTTCGTGCATACGTGGTGTGTCAATCACCACGAGTGTAACGTCTCCAGTAAGAAACGCGCACAGCACTAGTGGGGAGTGGGCTAACCTGGAGCAGCGGGGGGCGCTGGCGTAGTCGAACGAATGTTGTTGGATGAGCTGATGTGCGCCATCTTCAACGGTTGGTCAAAAGCGCCGGTGGCCGGGCCGATAATGGCCAGCGGCCCCACAACGCGGGGGTCGAAGGAGATCTTCTTCATGGTTACCTGTGTGAAGAAAGAAAAAACGAGATGCTCCCGTCAGCCTAATGCGGCAAAAGGCACGTCATGAGCGCTCATAGTGTGCGCACCGTATCGCTCTCGGCAGCTGCGTCAAAAGCGAACGATGAGGCAATGTCGATGGTGCCATTTCCTTGGGTGGCCTCGGTCGTGGCTCTAGCCTGTGCGGCAGCTGCATTTCGAAGGGAGGAGGTGAGTCCCTGCCAGGGCACCACCCACGCAACGGCGCTCGAGCACAAAACGGGTGGTTGAATGGGTGTCATGATGTACCAGAGCTGCTGGCGTGCTGGTTCCGCACTCTGCCCAGAACAAAGTTGAGGTTGAGGAGGAAGATGAAGCACGGGTAGCGGCTGGGGATGGTGACCAGACTCTTCGAGTCGGGCGAAAAGCAGGCGTCGAGGAAGGTGAAGCTCATATCGTAAAAGATGAGACGAAAGTACGGCGGAGTGTCCTCCATGATCTGGTAACTGCATGACCACCATGGGCACCATAAATGCATGAATGAGTAGGCAGAAGAGAGAAGGCAGGGCCGCGAGAGGTATCAAGTCGGCTGTGGTGGATAGACACGCAGAAGAGGTGCAGAAGCAGAAGGAGAGCGGGCAAGGCGGCACGTACACGAGGAGGCTGTTCTGTCCCTTGTGCAGCGCGCCGTGCATCAGGAGAAGGCGCTTGTTGGGGCTGAGAAGGATCTTTCTGGGCGGTTGCCTCGCCAGATCGCTGCTGGCTCCTCGCCCTCCCGCCTTTCCGGCGCCTTTACCACCAGAGGAGGAGGAAGAAGAAGATGCGGCGCTGCCCTTGCCGTGAGGGAAGGCAAAGGTGAAGACCTTGAACTCGGGGCTCAGATTGAGCGCCACATCGTACACGAAGTACTTGTCGTTCCCTCTGGCCGGCTTCGAGGCATCTGAGCGCGCGTCTGCCAAATCACAGAGCGAATGGAGGGGTAGAGAGGGAGGGGGGATAATCAGTAAATGGCATTAATGCGCAGCTGCCGACGGTCCAAAACGCTCCCTCCGAGTGGTGTGGCACTGGATAGTTGCGGGACTGAAGCAAATTACCAGCTTGTCTGACGAATTTGCGGCCTGACTGCTCAAGGGTGATCATTTTCGCTGAGTTGGGCGAATCGCCCTTCGTCTTGTCGTTGAGAGGGTAGAAGTAGGCCTCTCCATTCGCGAATACGAGGAACAGCACGCCCTGGATGCTGCCCCCAAAGCGAATGTAGGGCAGATGTTCGAAGAGGAGAGTTTTCCCTTTCCCGCTTGTACTCATCTTGTGTCCTCCTCAAGGTCCCTCCGGTCCTTGCGCTCTTCACTCTCTTTCTCTCTTCCAATTTCGCTGTCGAGCGATGATTGACGCTCCCCCGATGCGATTAATCGAAGTTTTTCTTTGTGTCCGATCCGGGAAATTACACCCCACCTTCCCAGCGAAAGAGAGCGGCAGCCTTGCGGGCGAAGGGCACCGCAACGGCGTCTTCCTGAGAACTCGTCGATCACGGACCCCTTTGGCTACGCCCAGCGGTCATCTACTCAGATGCACCGCCAGGTTCGTTGAGTGCTCTTGAGGTCATAGTCACTCTCCCAGTTTGTTACAGAGGACACACACGCCGCTGACACGACTGCCACAAACGTACTACAGGTACACTGTATTGGCGGTGAGGATACAACAACTGTGACTAGAGAGGTCTTAGTCGCGCTTGAAGGTCCTGCCAGTGGCAGTCTTCTTCTCCTCTTGGTTGGCGTTCTTGACCTTGGCCCGGTTGAGCACCTGGAGGAGGGTTTCGACTCTCAGCCTCATCCTGGTGTGCATGTAAGCCTTCGAGCACTTGATGTGGTAGTGCAGGTAGTCACGGAACATCTGGATCATGTCTATGGACTTCTCCCTCCTCACCGGGTCCAAGTGGTTCTTGAACAGCACTGCGCGGGAGGTAACGAATCGTTAGTAGAGGCGCCACTCACCCAGACCTCAAACGCGCAAGAACTCACCGCACTCGTACCGAAAGATACGAAGCCCTGGTCAGCGCCCTCGTAGACGCCCTGCACGTCCCTGAGCTCAAGAGGCCTCTCCCTCTGAGTGAAGGACACGGCCGGGGCGCCGCTCATGCTCCTCCTGCAGTCCTGGAACTCCTGGAGGAACACCTTACCCAGCACGATATCACCCTGATCCTTGAAGTTGATGGAAAAGATCACGGTCACGGAGTCGGCCTCGGGCTTGATGTACATGGCCTCGTTGGAGCGGTAGTTGATGACCACCAAGTTCTTGGTCTTGCCCTCGGCGACGTTGAGGAACGGCACCGCAAGAATGTTGCGCTTCAACAGCGACACCTTTTTGATCACCTCCTCTGTTGAAGCGCAGCGTTAGAATGCGCAAAGTGAGGGGGGGGGGGCAATGAGGGTAAGGTACCAATGTTGAGGGAAGGGTTCTCAAGATCGAACTGAACGGAGAAATCGTACGAGGGCTCAGGGGGCACGACCATGGCACCGTAGATGACCTTCATGCGCTCGACCATGCCAAGGGGAGTGATGTCGTGAATGGCGCTCCACGAGATGGACACCGTCAGGACGTTCCGCGACTCAGACTTGTTGGTCAGGTGGTACATCACGCCGTCAAAGTCGGCGATGGTGATATCCACCGACTCCTTCCTGTCCTTGTTCCTTTAGTGTAACGCATGTAGTGAGTGAGTCCAACGATTCGGACACTGAGGAGCATATTGCTGAGGCAAGTGGGTCAAGGCCGGGGGGGGGGTAGCCGGAGGTAGGAGCACGTACTGTGAGGCTTCGAACCTCTGCCGAATGAGGTCGACCAGGATGCAGTTGTGGGTCTCCAGAAGAATCATCTTGATGATCACTCGCTGTTGTTTTCTTTCGAAGGGAAAAAAGTTGGGGGTGTGTGCTTTGGGGGTGCGGTTCCTTTGCGAAGGGACACGGGCCGCGCCCCAATAGCCGCTGAGAAACTCATTTCTTCAATATTTTCTTCCGTAGCACCAGATTTTCTTCGTTTCTTCCCTCAATCTTTGTTAATTCTCAGCCGCACGCAGAGAATCATCCCATCTCGCAGCTCTTCTTCACAGATCGTGTGCAGATAAGCAGAGGAATTGTGAATCACTTCCGGTAGAAAGGCGTACAGGCAGTCATAGATTAATTCTACACAGCGCGAAGATGGATAAGCAAGACTGGGGTGATATCGAGGAGGCGGAGACCGACATGACGGGAACCAAGGTCTTCGAGACGCAGCCCGATGAGCACGGCGTGCGGCTGAAGACCGTGATCGAGTACTCGACCAATTCCGAGGGCAAGACCGTCAAGACGACCAAGAACTACAAGCTCTACAAGAAGGTGACTCGCATTAACAAGCGGGTCCAGGAGAGGAAGAAGTTGAAGAAGTTCGGCGACTGCCGCCCGGGCGAACAGGGTATCACACTCCTCTCCAACGATAAGATCAACATCGAGACCCCCGGCAAGAAGAAGAAGGACAAGGAAGAGGAAGCGCTCAAGGCGTCCGAGATGGCCGAGGCCGGCATCAAGGAGACTTGGAAGACCCGCGCTCAGCGTCTTGGCGCTGACAGCTGGGACACTATCACCGCCAAGGCTGCCACTCCCGGCGGGTCCGAAGGTACCGCCCCTCCGATTTTGCACATTTTTCTGCCAATTTTAGTATAATCAGCCTTCTTTATCCATTGATTGTCGCTGCCGAGACAGCAATTGGCTAATTTAATCTCGCACATGACTAAATGCATCTTCATTCGTTAATAGCTGCGGCTGATACGCCGAGCAACGTGTACGTACCGCGCTCGCTGCGGGGTGGTCCCGGCGGCGCTCCTGGCGCCCAAAGCAGAGGTACGCCTCGCCCCCTCCATCTTTTGTTTCAGCTCTGCCATTGGTTGCCTCTCCACAGGGTGTCACCCCTTCTTACACCCTCAACTTGCCACAGACGACTCCACAACGGTGCGAGTGACAAACTTGTCGGAGGACACCCGCGAGGACGACCTCAGGGAGCTCTGCAGGAGGTTCGGCCCCATCCAGCGCGTCTTCCTGGCCAAGGACAGGCACAGCGGTCTCTCCCGAGGCTTCGCCTTCGTCACCTTCGTTTACAGGTACGCTTTGCGAACCCTATCTTTGCTCTCTTGCAGCACTGCACCAATCAACTGGCTGCTGCTTACTTGTCTGTGTTTCGCCGCTGATTGCCTTTGTGTTTGTTTCTTGCCGCTTGCAGGGAGGATGGTGCCAAGGCCATCGAGGCTCTCAACGGTTTTGGTTATGATCACCTGGTGCTCGCCGTCGAGTGGGCCAAGTACGCAACCCCACCCACCCTCCCTCCTCCTCTCCATTCCCCTCAGTCCGATCCACTCTGACCATTGTTGCTCTTCGCGTGCAGGCCTTCTGGTCCCGGTTTCTAAGCTCGGGTCCTTCAAACGTCGTCAAAGAGCGAAGAGAAGACCCCCACACTCCCGGCTTCTTCTTTGTTTTCTTTTTCAATTACAAAAAATACTAAAAACAATCCATTGGTACTCGTGAAGGCGAGGCGGGAGTCGAACAAAAATAAGCAACCAACCGACCAACACTTAACACGTGGTGCAGGCAATGGAGCAGCAACAAGTTGTGCAGGTGGCGTGGGTGAACGAGGGCCGTGCTGTGGGCGTCTCCCTCCCTTGTCCCGACATTCGAAGCCTCAAGTACCCCCCCTCTCCAACCCAAGCCTATCACTTTTGCAGCCTGTAATTGTGTGTTGGGGGGAGCAGGCAGGAGCTGGCCAAGCAGATGGGCGTGGGCGGCATCGACGTAACGTCCGAGACGGACAGGCCCCTCGACTACTACCTCATCACCAACGAGCCCTGGTTCGTCCGCTCACCCATCGAAGCCTCGGTCATCAGCACCCAGACGGACGACGAAGGCCAAGAAGTGCGCCAGGAACCGGTGCCCGCACCACCTCAGAGGTCGTGCGCTGCACTATGTGGCGTGAGTGACTCACCAGCTCCTCATCCCCAATCGATTGCAGGTCAAGGTGTGGCTGGCGTGTGGCTTTTCCTCCTACGAGATTTTTGCGGCCCTGGGTCGGGGTGCGGGGTTGAGGACGGCGGGCAGGGAGCTGCGCACCGACAGCGGCGTCGTCATACCCGAAGGCTCTTTCTCGAACAAGCCACTTCGGTACCCCCCACCACCAAAGGCGCCTGCCAGCGTAGCAACTTGTCCGACAGCGATCATCTTCTGCTTGCAGGGGCATGCCTAGCAAGATTACGCTCCACCTCCAGCGCAAGCCCGACATGATCGACATCACCATCATCACTCCGTCGGGTACTGTCTCTATCGCCTCGTGCAACGTTTCATCACTGTAGTGCCCAGCAAACTGAACTGTCGAAACGGTGACCATGCTTTGGTGGGGGGGGCGCAGGGTTCGCACGGTCGGGCAAGCCCGCGACCATTACGCTGGCGGTAAAGCGGAACACCACCATCCACAACATCAAGACGTGCATCGTGACCAGCACCGGAGTTCCCCGCGACAACATTCGGCTCTGCTTCCTGGGCACCGTGCTGGGAGTCACCGGCGACGAGACCGACCGCGATGAGAAGGCCAAGGTCTACTACTTCATGGGCCTCATCAACCCCCCTTGAATCAGCTGTATCGGTTGCCATCGTTGACACACCATTGCTGATACGTGACACCCGCCATCACACAACAGGAGGCAAGGACGCTGGCCGATTTCAGCGTCGATGACGGCAGCAGCCTCATCTGGAACCTCGCGGTCAAGGAGCCTCCGTCCAAAGGACCCCTACCACCCAACCCGCTGATTCTCGTGCTGACCGCACCCAAGTGCTCTGTTGTGAAAGTGGTGGGGGTGGACCCCAACGCCACCGTCAGCGCTGTGTACGCCACCATCACCATCTCACCGCATTACGTGAGCGAATGACTAATGAGAGTGCTGGCGTCCCTCGGCAGCGTTCTGTCGCGGTCTTACCGGGTGGCCTTGGGCGGGGAGTTGCTGGATGAGAGCAAGACCTGGGCCGAGTACGCACTGGAGCAGGGAACGTGGATTAGCCTCGTGCCCAGGCCCGGCGTGTGGTTCCAGATCTTCTGCAAGACTCTGACCGGTAAGCTCGTTGCCGCTCCTTGAATGTTCCTCACCGACTCAGCCGCTGTGCGTATGCGTGTGCGTGTGCGATGATGAAGGCAAAACGATCACGCTTGAGGCGGGTCCAGCTCATCCCATCACAGAGGTCAAGGTGCTAGTCGAAGCCAAGGAGGGTACTGTGTCCTGACCCTCAACCACGAGGCGCTCCCAAGCTCTTCGCTTCCCGGAAGACAAACAAACTCACACTCGAGCTGGCACTGTCAGGTATTCCTGCTGACCAGCAGCGCCTGCTGTTTGCCGGGAAGCAGCTCGAAGACGGCACCTGTCTCGGCGACTATGCCATCGACCGCGAGTCCACCCTCCAACTTGTGCTTCGGCTGCGAGGAGGTACGCCACCGGCACGGCACGCACCGGGGGACAAGTGAGCTGACACGTTCGTCTGGGTGGCCTTCACCGGTGAAGGGGGGCTGACGGCGGGCAGCTTGTTCGTCGACATGTCCAACACAAACGCGTTGGAGCGGCGGCAGTGGTCCTCGAAAGCCCCGCAGTGGCGCGTAGCGATGCCGGGGCTGAGCGTGGAGGGCGTGTGCACCAACCGCGAGTGCGAGGCCTTCGACCGGTCTGTGATCATCAACAAGCACCACGGCACCTTCGACCTCCTGCTCGACGCCCACACGTACGTCTCGTGCGTCAGGCTGCGTGTGATGCCGCTGGCCTCACGGTGATGTCCGTCGTCGCGCCGCAGGTGCCACTGCCCCTCTTGTGGGTCGTACGTGGAGCCGGCGACGTGCGCGTTCAACAACTGCTGGTGGAAGTGGAGCGGCATCAAGAAGGGAGCCCGGGCTGGACAGCCGCCTCTCCAGTACTTGCCGCCATTCTCGATTTGTGTGTTGTGTGTGCTGTGCGTGTCGTGTTGTGTCGCGCGTGCGATGGTGCGTGTGCGTGGTGTGCCTCCGCAGTATGGTGTGGCTGCATCTGAGCACAAACAACCGGGAGCAGGTGCGGCGGTGAGTGGGCGAAGGCCGACAACGCCTACCATCGCTTCTCCGAGGACAAGGCCGGCACCGTCGAGTGGCTGCGCCTGCTCATCCACACCAAGCGCATCCAAGAATGCGAGGATTCGGCGGTGCCGAGAAAACCCTTCGAGATGTATGTGTTATGCTGCGCCCCCCCCCCGCATGCGTGTGCGTGTGCGATTGATGTACGTGTGGTGTGTGTCGCTGATGAGGCTACATTCCTGCGTACGCGAGCGCAGGTTCTGCTGCATCTGCATCTGCGACATCAAGGCGACGGAGGAGGTGAAGACGCTCGCGTGTGGCCATGCCTTCCATCCTCCGTGCCTCGACGAGTGGACGGCCCGCTCGCCCACCTGCCCCTACTGTCGCCGCGACCTCTGAACAAGACGATGCCGAGAAGAAGCCACGAACGCTACACTTCAAGACGAAGACGAAACCCTCTTCTGTGTCTGCTTGTCTGTCCAATCGTTGACTACACAATGAACGGCGCCAGCGGCCTGTTGGTGGTTTGCCTGAGCTCACCAGTGCTTGAACTCGCGTACGGCGGGACGCGGCTTGTTGATTTTCTCCTGTCGCTCCTTGTTGGCGGCTTCTCGCAGCTGGGTGTTGGTGGTCTTGGTGCTGGTGTAGTAGGCCAGGTCCCTCTTGTCCTTGTCCTTGGCTCCAGCTGCCGCCTTCTTCTCCTCCGTGGCAGCGCTTGCCGCCTGACATAAATAAATATACCAAATAAATCAATCATAAATAAATAATCCTTTATAAATGAAGATAAAGATGGAATAGCGAGGAGACGAGAGAGTACGGGCGCTTCGGCGGCCTGCTCATCGAGCTCGCTGTCGTTCGCCACGCGCTGTTCGAGTTCCTTGGTGATGGCCTCCAGTTCGGTGGAGCATTTCGTCACCTCCTTCCCGAGCTTGCCCAACCGAACGGCGAGCTCGGTCTGCCTCTTGACCAAATCTGCTGTCGACTTGCTGCTTGGATCCGTCTCTGCCATCTTGTGGTGTCTCTTCAAAGATGAAGTTGCAGGCTTCGAGAGTGAGTGGTTCTCTTTGGTGGCGCTACACTGCGCAGAGCAGAGCAACCAACGGTCACCAACCACTTTTCTTTTGATTTCATTTCTTTCTCAACACTGTACAAGGTGAAGCTGCACGGAGCTTCTTCTACATCTACATCTCTTCCTACTACTGCATCAGGCCTGTTGCTTCTTCCGTTTCGTTTTCGGCCATCACCCGCTCCTTGAGCTCCGTTCTCGTCTCCGCGCTCGTGCCACTCTCATCGCCGGTCACCCTCCTCTTCCGCTTCCCCCGCGCTGCTCCCTGGCCTTCCTGCTGCTTTTGCTTCTCTTTGCTCTCCTCCACTTCTCCTTCATCTTTTTCATCTTCTTCTTCCTCCTCTCCATCTTCCGATGCTACAAGATCATCTGGTGGTGTCTCCTCTTCCTCCTCCGCTTCCGTCTCGATCGAGTCGCTACCCTCTAACTCTTCTAAGCTTGCATCCTCCTCCTCCTCCTCCTTACCATCTCCCTCTTCTCCCTCTTCACCTCCTTCTTCTTGTTCCTCTTCTCCTCCTCCTTCTTCTTCGCTGCTGTCCAGCGCACTTGCGCCGCCCGCGCCCCACACGTAGTCCTTGAGCGCGTCACCCTTGGCCACGAACGTCAGGTCCACGTCCTCGTGGAAGCCGCGGCCGTAGCTGCCTTCATCGGGGAACTCGACGTGCGTCACCTTGAAGTCGCGCCGCTGGTGGCGCCGCCGGCCCTCCTCCACCGCGCCCGGCTCGCGCTTCGTGATCACCGTGTTGCGCCGCGCGCGCGCCACGCCGGTTGCGTCGCCCTCCATCATCGCCATCAGATAGGCCTCCTCCTCGAGCGTCATCTCCCTCTCCCCGCCCTCTGTCGCCTGCGCGCTGATCACGACCGCCCGCGGAGCAAAGGCGGTAGCCCGACGTGGCATGGCGACATGGGCGGCATCGTCGGCCTGGCTGATGGTGGGGGAGGCGACGGACGAGGTGGAGGCGGACCGTGAGGGGAGCGACCCGGCGACCGGGGGTGAGAGGGTGGGCGTCGAGGTGGACGATGGGCCCGACGACGTGAGTATGCTGGAGAGCTGCGAGTCGCGCCGCGTCTGCGCATAGTCGGCTGCTCCCCCCGGCCGGAGGGCGTCGGCGTCGCTCGAGCTGCGCAGCTTGATGGGGTTGACGGTCGTCACGGTGGTGCTGCTGCCACTGCTGCTGCTGTTCTTCTTGCGAAAGTTGCCCAGCAGGTTCTCGCAGATGGACTTAACCCCTTTACTGGCTTTCTTCTTCTTACTCCTGGCCGTCTTGTCGAGCCGCTGGTCGGGGCGGCTCTGGAACTTGCTCTGTGCCTTAGCTCTGGTCTCGGTCAGCACCGCCTCCTGTTCGATGTTGTCCTCCGGCGGTCGCCGTAATATTCCTCCCGTACTTCTCCGACGCCCCTTCGCGTCTTGAGCTGATGGTTCCATCTTTTCTCTGTTTGTTGCTTGTTCAGAGCTGAAGGTCACAGATTTGCAATAAGACCCTCTGTCAATCTTTCTTCCCTCGATGTAATGTCTCTTTTTCAATTGTACTCCTCTTCCACTTTGAACTGGTGGTGTAGGACAGATTAGGTGGTGTGCATTGGCCCAAACAAGGACTAACAATGGGTTGGCTTACCAAAAGACAGGAAACGCCCAAAGGGTACCCTATTCCATTTGGCGAAAGAAAAACTCTGGAAGAAATGTACAGAAAAGTGAAGAAAAGGAAAGGAAAATGAGAACAAGAAGAGCGGTCGCCACTACTCGAACACCTTCTGCTTGATCTCGATGTTGGCTCGGCAGATGGGGCAGTTCTTCACCTGATTGCTGCACTGCGTACAGCACACCTTATGCCCACATGGTACGAAGATGATTCCTCTCGTCCTGGGCAGAAGTAAGAGGGTTACTCACCATCTCTTGCGTGAGGACGTGTCAAGAGTAAAGCCAAACCTGTCGAAGCATATCAGGCACTTGGACTTGTCCTCTACTTCCTCCTTCACCTTCTGCTTGATCCGCTCGACTACTGTATTCCTACTCTTGTCTGCACGATCAAGTTGAACGTCAGGTGAAGGTTTGCAAGTAGCGAACTACCAGCACACGTGTGAGGGAACAAAGTACGTACCGAGCACCTTCTCCAGCTCTTCGAGCTCCTCTAGCGAGCAGTCGTCGCTTCCCCCGTTCTTGAGGCGGGTGTACTGCCGCTTGAGCCTACCCAGCCCGTCGTCCCTCTCCGCCAGGGCGCGCTCGCGCTCAGCCAGCTTGGAGCGCAGCACGTCGACCTCCTTCTGCAGCGACGCATTGGCCTGGCTCTCCTTCCTCACTCGCTTCTCCATATCAGACTTGTTGCCCCCGACCTTCTCCAGCTTCGTCTCCAGGTACTTCACCTTCAACCCTACGCGCCACACCATGTGCGGTGAGTAGGAAGAAGCCTTGACTTGTGCGTGCTCGCAGGGTGCGTGTACCTTGTATGTAGCGCTCCTTTTGGGCGGCCTTGAGCTGGTGTTCGGCCTCCTTCCGCCTCTCCCTCTCCTTGTTTCGGTCCTCCCTCAGCGCCAGGTCCTTCAACTTGAGCTCCTTGATCTTCTCCTCGAGCCGCTGGCCCTTCTCGCCCGACGTCGCCGACCCCACGGAAGTCATCACCGCCCCATGGCCCGTGCCCTGCTGATGCTGCTGGTGGCCGCCGCCGTTGATGTCGAGTAGCAGGAGGTCGGGAGCCGTTGTAGGCGGCGATGAGCGCTCCGCCTCGCGGCTACGTCGGCTCAGGATGTGGGGTACGCTGCTCCTCCGCTTGCTGGTGCTTGGCCGCGGGAGGGGCGGGAGCTCGGGCAGCAGTGGTGTGTCGTCGAGCAGGTTCGTAGCTTCTTCGTGCCCACTGCTGCCCACTGTCGTTGTGGTAGCGTCGGGGGTGGATGTGGGCGGTTCCCACGGATCGACGTCGCTCGACGACGAGCTTGACGATGGCGGTGGGCTGCCGAGCAGCGCGGGCTGGTCGGCCAAGGCATCGATATCAAGACCCTCATCGGCGCAGCTGCCCAGAGTAAACTCGTCGGGCGGCGGCGGAGAAGTCGCGCGAGGCGGCAGAGGGGGAGGTGGATGGTGCTGGTGGGGCGGGGGCTGGGAGTGGGAATGGTGGTGGTGATGTGAGGAATGGTGGTGGCCGCCGTGGTCGCTGTCCGACGACTTGCCCCAGGTTCGCATCTTCTCGCCCACCCCCGCCAGCTTCTTCAGGTGCAGACTCTTCATCTTCCGTTCCGTGTCGTGTGTGATGTGATGTTGCTGTGGCGCTCTGTTCAAGTGAAGAGCGGGCTCTGCTCTGGGCCGGGCTCGTCTCAGACTTGTAGACAGGCCTCGGCGTCCGTCGGAAGGCTCTCCTGATCACCGTATCTCCAGGACAGTCGCAGACCTGTCCTTCTGATGGTCGCGAATGTCGCATGGAATCTCTGCGGCATACCGTCTGACTCAGTGGCACGCCGCTGTTGTCGGGCCTGTTGTGATTGCACGCGATACGGACGAAGAGGCAATACCTTGGCGAACGCGGTGCCTAGGTGCGAACAGTATTCGCCCAACAGGTTGAGAGAGCATACATGAAGATGATAATGTTGTTTCAATACTGCGCAAACTCCGATGCTAACGCTGGGCGCTGTAGTTAAGTGGTAAAATTCCTGCTTCGGGTGCAGGAGGCCCCGGTTCGATTCCGGGCAGCGCCCTAGCCTTTTGCTTCAGGCTATAAAGCCATTTTTTCGTACTTCTTCAAAAAATTCCACAAAGAGGCGAAGAAGCGAAACACCAAGGTTGGTTGACGTGCCGACCATGTGGGCGTGTACGGCTGAGGATGCCATGCGCAAGTGGCTGCCGCCGGACCTTGCACCCTCGCTGCCCAAGTCCTCCACCGACTGGTTTTCGGCTTCGAGTTCAGTGCTTGCCGCGCCCACGTTCAACTTCGGAGGAGGTACCTCATGCCGCCCCCCCTTTTTCTTTTGTTCATTTATATGAAATAACCTCCTCTTTCCCGCGCAGGGTTTGATGGCCCCAAGCAGGCCACTTCGCTGGTGGAGCAGTGTGTGGCGTTCATCGCGCGCGACTTTGAGTTCTGCCTTCGCGCCAAGCTGGTGCTGCCCGAGCACCTCTACCTCCGGGTCCTCCATCACACCTTCACCTCCAAGCTGCCCTCATCCTAATCCCCAAAGGTTGGGCTGATGCGTGGATGTATGTATGGGAAATGTACAAAAAAGATGATCATTACGGAAGCTCGAAGGGGACGCTGCCTGGAAGAGTCACGAACTTGTTGCTGTGCTGCGGTTGGTTTGCTCTTGGCAGTTTGTTTACCAGTCCTCGACAGAGTTGAGATCCTTGCCGAACTGCTGCGAGATGGCGACGGTTCGCTTGATGTGCTCGGCGTTGAGCGCCACGCCTTCGCAACGAGCCAGCGCCAAAGCCTGATGAAGGAAGGAAGGAAAAGGTTGGCAACTGAACACTTTAACATTAAAACAGAATTGACTCGGCGTACCAATCGGATGACGGTCCTGATCTCACGGCCGTTGATCTCGATATCGGCGAGCTGATCAAAATCGAGGTCGCTGGACTCGTCGTCACCCATGTGGCCCAACAGGTTGCGCCAAACTGTGTTCCGCACACGATCACCAAGTCAGCCTCTTATAAGCAATGCAATGCAAATACAAAATTGATTGACGCTCGTACCCTGGCCACGGGCTTCCTTGGTTAGGTCGTGGTAGCGGATGGCGACGTTGATTCGGCTGTTGAAGGCCGGATCGAAGGCCTTGACTCGGTTGGTGGTGAGGAAGAGCACGCCCTGGTGGTACTCCAGCTTCCGCAGGAACACGCCCACCATCGCGTTACGCAGCACGTCGATGTCCGACCTCCTCTCCAGGAAAATCTGTGTGTTTGTTGATGTGTGCGTGTCATTCACCGCACACACCGCACGCACACACACGCACGCGCGCGCGCACACTGAAAAGGAAGAGCTAACGTACGTCGGCTTCGTCGATGAGGACGACGGCATTCCAGGTGCCGGCCAGCTCGAGGATATCGTTGAGCTTGCTCTCCAGGTGGTCGGCGGTCACGCCCAGCTCGCCCACTGACACGCTGTAGAGCGGGTAGTGCAGGTACTCCGCGATGGCCTCGGCCGTGAGAGTCTTGCCCACGCCCGGCGACCCGTGCAACAGGAAGATCACACCGCCGCCCTGAATCCCCCCCCCACAAACACGTCAGCACACTCTCCACAAGCCGTGTGTGTCGTGTCGTTGTGTCGTGTGCGGTGGTGCGTGTGCGGTGTATCGTGTTGGGTGCGTACCTTGCCGCTGATGACGTCGGAAAAGCTGACGCCAGCGCGACCCTCCTGGACGCGCTTGTTGTCCTCGACGAGGGCCTTGACCAGGGCCTTCTTGTCCTCCGGCAGCACCAGGCGGTCGTAGGCCTTGTCGTCGAACTGGATGTCGCTCAGGCTCTCCACCAGCAGCTCGCCCCACCGCTTGGCCGTGAACGAGAACCCGGCCACGTAGGGCCACGTCTGGTACCGCATCGCCTTGCTGATCCTCTTCTGGCCCGCCACCGGCAGCGTCGTCTGCGTGTAATCGCCCGTGAACCTCTGTCGATCGAAATCATCAGTCAGCTGTGTGTCGTGTCGTGTCGTGTCGTGTCGTGTCGTGTCGTGTCGTGTCGTGTCGTGTCGTGTCGTGTCGTGTCGTGTCGTGTCGTGTCGTGTCGTGTCGTGTCGTGTCGCGTTGTGTGAATGTCGTGCGAACCTGTTGGGCGGCCATGAGCTGCTGTAGCTGCTGCTGGGTGGAGGTGTCGTGGGCCGAGCTGCCAAACTCGGTGTACTCGGGGTTCATGCGGTTGAAGGTGCTGATGTCCACCATCACCCTACCGTCGGCCTTGATCCAGGTCTGTGTATCGGTTTTTTTTTCGAGACATATCAGTATATTCAGCTCCGCTGCGTGTCGTGCGTGTCGTGTCGTGCCGTGCCGTGTCGTGTCGTGTCGTGCGGTTGGCTACGTACATCGGAGAAGGCGCCGCGCTTGAGCATGAACTTTTCGTATTGCATGTAGTGGTGCTTCAGGGCCACCTTCTGGAACACGCGGCCGCGCTTGTTCAGGATGCGGAGGACCTGCTTGGTCATCGGCTGCACGTCGAGGCCGGATATGGGCATGAGGCCCTTGAACACCGGAATGTCGAACGCCCGGTTCTGGCGGAAGAACTTGACCCCGTCCGACTTGATGATCGGTCCCTGCACGTAGAAGTTCGGCGCGCACAGCCCCACCGCCGGCATATACCGCGTATACTCTGTGTGTGCGTGTGCGTGTGCGTGTCGTGTGCGGTAGGTGTGTGCGGTGAGTGTCGTGTCGTGTCGTGTGGTGTTAGGGGAAGGTGGCGGTGGCCTAGGGGTGGTGGTGGAGGGAGTACCGGCCGAGCTGCCTACGAGGATGCCCTTGCCGATGTCGACATAGAAGCGGTTGCCCTTGGAGAAGAGGTACCAGAGGCCGCTGTAGGAGATGAGGCCCTTCTTGAGGTGGGCCTCAATCTTGCGCACCATGCGAGGCCGCTCCTTCTCCAGGAACTTGACCAGCTCCTCCATCTGGGCCCCGCCATACGTCGAATTCCTCAGGATCGGCAATCGCATCATCAGAGCTGTGCGTGCCATCGAACCATACCACGACACGACACGACACACACAACGACACACACAACGACACACACAACGACACACACAACGACACACACCACGACACACACCACGACACACACCGCGACACACACCATGACATGATCAGTTGGGTTGGAGAGGTGCGAGAGAAGAAAGGTGAAGGTCTACCTTCAAGAGGGCAGAAGGGAGGCTTCTTCAACCAGGGGAAGATGGCCGCCAGCTTGGACGATTCGGCGTCGTAGGTCAGCGTGACGTCGAACGACTGCAGCGTCCCCTCCAGCGTCGCGTCCTTGATAATCACCTACAACACACACACACGCAGCCGTTTAAAATAATTATATATTAATGATAAATAATTAGGAACAATAAAATAAATAAATAAATAAGTAGATATATATAAAATAAAATGACATGTACATGCAAATAGAAAATAAAATAAAAAAGAAAGAAAGAAAGAAATACCTTGCTAACAGTCTCTACGCGCTTGCCGGTGGTGGGGTCCATGATGTCCATGCTCTCGACCTCGAAGTACCTGCCCTTGTGGACGGTGTTCTTGACGCTGTTGGACTTCTTGTCCTTCTTGTCCTGCGCGGCGGGGTCGAGGTTGGTCTCCTCGCGGCCCACATCGACCAGGCTCGACCGAAAGTCCAGCTCGCCTTCGAGCTCCGTGTCCTCATCTTCTTCATCTACATCATCGTCGTCATCCGCCTCGTCCAGGGTGCTCTGGTCGATCTCGGCCCGCTCCTTTCCCGACGGTGTGTAGACCGGTCCGCGGGCCTCCTCCGCCAGTTCACCTTCGCTCCCGTCCCAGTCCTCATCTTCGTAGTTGTTGGAGTCTCCCGCGTAGGCGGTGGTAACCCCATCATGTTGCAGCTTGGTGGGGTGATTGCCCATCTCTTCCTTCTTCTTCTTCTGTGTCTCTTGAACTGAGAGTTGTTGTGGTTGCTTGTTGGGTGAGCTTGAAGCTTCCTGCAACTACCACACAAAGCTGCCAGACCTGAAGGCGACGTGGCGGGTGCATGCGAACAAGATACGCTGAATGGTCATTCCAAGAAACAGAAAATGGAAATAAAATTATTTCTCTGATTTTCCTTTTGATTTTTCCTTTCTGTCCAAATTATTTTACAAAAATTAGGAAAAACCAGACCGAGAGCTGGATGGGCACCGGTGGCTGTCGGGGCAGGAGATTGAATTAATTATCAATTCGCAAAGGTCCCTGGAAGCAAACGTGAAGACCACACTCTTCAATTCGCCGGCGCTAGTGGCCCAATTGCGGTCAATTTGGTACGAATATGAGTCTCAAGAAGCTGGTCAAGAAAAAAGACTCAGTCCAGTCATGGAAGCTCATGGTCGTGGGCGAGGAGAACGTTGGGTATGTAGCCCCCCCCGACCTGATTCGTTATTAATATTGTTATTTTTATTTTTGGAATTAATTATCATTATTATTTTATTTAAACACCTCCACGCTGTGTTCGTCGCCTATGTTGTTTCCTTTTTATTTATTTATATTTATATTTATTGATGATAACAGGAAAACGTCGGTCGTGCACGGCCTCCGGAAGAAAGCGCAGGAGACCTTCTCCTGGGGCGAAGGCATCACGACCGAGGTAGGACCCATTCATGATTTCATGTCACCGGCCGTGTTCGTTGTGTTGGCCGCCAGCTGGGCGCGATGACGGCCGACAAGCTGACCTCCTTGCGCGCCATGGTGGTCCTGGTCGTGTGTGCTGTCCAGTATTGGCTGTGGGACCTCGAAGCCAGCAAGGCCAAGCAAAAGGCGCTCCTGGCCGTGTGGGACTTTAAGCGCTCGGGCGAGTTTGGCCTCCGAGGTGCCATCCCCCCTACCTTGTGCCGCACGTCGTGTCGTGTCGTGACACTTGCGTGCGTGCGGCGGCGATGGGACTGACGCTCACGGCTCGCTCCCCAATTAGGCCAGGACAACTATCAGGTGGTGCAGGAGACGTTCTCCTCGCACGACCGGTGCATCTACGTGCTGGTCTGGGACCTCACCAATTCCTACTCGCAAAAGAGGATCGAGCACTGGTACACTCCTTTCCCTTCTCCCGGCCGCACGCACGCACGCACGCACGCACGCACGCACGCAGGCGCTGACTTTCTCGGAATGGACGGCGTACACAGGCTGTACTCGATCGCCATTCACAGCAAGAAGGCACCGATCATCCTGGTGGGCACGCACAAGGAGGACCCGCGCCTGTCGGAGGACCACCTGAAGAAGCTGAGCGAGGGGCTCAAGGAGAAGTTCAGCCGCGCCTTCCGGAATATCCGCGCCACCGTCTTTGTCGACACCGCCTCCAGCCACGTAAGCGCTCCCTTTAATTATTATTATTATTATATGTTATTATTATGCATTATTAATTCATAAATTGTTTTATTCTTATTATTATGCTTATGGTGTGCGCGTCGTCAACAGGGGCTCGACGAAGTGAAGGAGCAGTTGCAAGCGGTGGTGGAGGCCGAGGCGGCCAAGCATGCGCCGCAGAACCTTCATGGGTGCTCGCAGCTACAGGAAGCCGTTGCCCACCTCGTCAAGAAACGCATGCCACCGCTAATCCCATATTCTGGTACGTTCCGTCTTGTCGTGTGCGGTGTGTGCGGTGTGGTGTGTGTGATCTGAGGCTTTGCGGCAATGCAGAATACGCCGAGTTGGCGGCCAAATATTTGGGCGACGCCGCGGAAGAGGGCCGCCAGTCTACTGTGGCCGAGATGACCACGCTGTTGGGCGATATGGGCGCGCTGGTCCACATTCCACAAGACGTGCGGCTGAATCACGTCGTCATCGCCGACCCGAAGTGGCTCTACACGGCACGTTCACACTCTCTTGAGGCTGACCTGTCCCGAGTTCGTTGCTTACAGGAACGCAACACACACGACACACACACACACACACACACAACAACAACAACAACAACAACAGATGATAGACACGATCGTACAGAGTCGACACAAGAACACGAAGAAGGGAATCTTCTATCCGTCGACCCTGCGGCAGCTGTGGACGGCGCCCGAATATCCGGAGGACATCCACGACTTTCTCCTCTCCCTGCTCGACCGCTTCGGCATTTCCTTTTGCATCCATCCCCTCGGCGGCGGCGGCAGCGGTTCATCCATAGAAGAAAACTCGGGTACGGCCTCGTGCGTGTGCCGTGTGCTGTGCGTGTGCCGTGCGTTCTGATGAGGACTGGTAAGCAGAGAGCGGTCAGTACTACTTCATCCCGTCGATCTTGCCCGAGGAGAAGCCGGTCATGTTCTCCTACATGCGCAAGGTGTTTGCCGAGTTCGAGCGGGAGCGGGACCAGCGGGTGCTGCAGCGCGAGGAGGAGCGGGAGCGGGAGCTCACCCTCGAGGTGTCCCTCAACGCCCAGATCCAGCGCTGGAACAAGCCCGACACCGAGAACCACGTCGAGGGCGAGGGCGATGGCGACGCCGCACACATCTCCATCCAGGTCGAGGAGCCGACCGACGCCACCCTGGTTCCCACTCCCATCCCTGGTGTCGCACGCACACGCACACGCACCACCGCACACGCCACCGCACACACACGCACACGCTGACGTGTGATGACAATGCAGAAGCCAAAGAAAAAGAAAAAGAGGAAGAAATCGGAAGCTGCGACCACGGTGGACGGTAGCGGTGGGCTCGGCGAGAGGAGCAAGAGCGGCGACAATCGACGGACGGCGGAGGAGTGCACGAGCTATGGGGAGGAGACCGAGTGCTCCGACATGACCACGTTCGACCTGTCCGACGACGACAACGAGGTCGAGTGGGACAACATCATTACTGTGGACGACGGCAGCGGCGGCGGGGGCAGCGCCTGCGTCAGTCCGCGAGGTGACCACAGCGTGGCCGAGGCGAAGAGGCAGCTCGCGCGCTCGGCCGGCGGCAGCGCACGGGCGCTCATCACTCGGCAGACCGAGTCGAGCGACAGCCTGCGCGCCAGCGACGGCTCGCAGGCGGAGAACGACTGCGCCGGTGTCGCGGCGGCCGGCGACGACGACGAGAGCGGCAGTGTCCTCAGCGACCGCGACACGACGAAGAAGGTTAAGACAAAGGAAAAGAAAGAGAAGAAAGAGAAGAAGGAAAAGAAGAAGGAGAAGAAGAAGGAGAAGAAGAAGGAGAAGGAGACGAAGCAGCGTAGCATGTCCCTGACGCCCAAGCTCACGAAGCGCACGACGGCGGGACTCGGCGAGTTGTACGAGCAGCGGCGCGGCCGCAAGACCATCAACGGCAAGGAGCCGAAGGCGGTAGACGGCGCCGGGGCGTGCCACACCGTCTCGGTCACCGTAGCCGCCCCCGCAGGCAACGCATCGTCATCGTCATCATCGCCGTCGACCCCGACGCCCGGCGAGTCCGGCGCGGAGAGCGAGGGCGAGGTCTACCAATTTGGGCGCACTTACCTCTTTGCCTTCATGCCCAACGGGTACGCAAACAGTCTTTGTTTTTTGTTTTTTGTTTTTGACTAAGTCAACGCTAATTTTTCCTTTTTGAACGCCGGTCGTTCGCCACAGCTTTTTCGGGCGGCTGATGGCGCGCGTGTTGGCCGACGGCAAGTTCGAGCCGCAGGTCTACTGGCGAACCGGCATGCTGCTGGCTTGGGTTCGTACCACATCATGTCGTGTCATGTGTGTTTTGTTGCGTGTCGTGTGTCGTGTGTCGTGTGTCGTGTGTCGTGTGTCGTGTGTCGTGTGTCGTGTGTCGTGTGCGGTGGTGCGTGTCTCATCACGAGCGCTGATCTTCATATGTGGCGGTGCAGCGGAAACGGTCAAGCCGTCGTGGAAAGGAAGAGAAGATACTGGTGGAGATCTTCCCCAAGGAGAACCGGATCTCGATCCAGGTGCGGAAGCACACCAACATGAACTGGCTCTCGGGCAAGGCCAAGGACGAGGCCTCGTCCATGGTGGTCATCATCCACACCCTCGATGCCCTCGTCGAGGACTGGTACCAGACCAAGAAAATGGTACCATCGCGCACCACACGCACACGCACCACCGCACGCGCACAGGCACCATCGCACACGCAGGGCGCCACACACACACACACACACACACACACACACGACACACGGCACCCGCGCTGACTGCTGGGTGCGGTCGACAGTCAAAGGTGATGGTGCCGTGCATCCACTGCCTGCGGGACACGGTCAAGGAGGCCCACCTGTTCTCCATCGAGACCTGCCAGCGGGCCGTCATCCACAACCGCATGTTCCTTCGGTGCACGAAAGACATCAGTGCGCTATCTCCCATGTTCTCTCCCATTCCGCACATTCCGGCCATAGCTCACCACCCTGCGTGTGTCGTGTCGTTGGTCGTGTCGTGTCGTTGTGCGAGCAGCTGAGGGAGCCAAGGGACCGCTGGTGCGAGTTTCGCTGCTGGCACCGGATCTGGCGATGTCGCACCTCCATTCCTCCCGCGTCAAGTACGAGGACATGGAGTTCGGCCGTTCGCTGGGCGAGGGCGCCTATTCCCTCGTCTACCAGGTATACTTTTATTTATTCTTTATTTATTTCATTTAGTATTTCATTTATTTTGAATATTTTTGAGTTTTTTTGGCACTGGTCTTACGGAGACGCTGTTCGCAGGGCACGCTCAAGGACGGCTCGGAGGTGGCGATCAAGAAGCTCAAGAATCCGCTTCGCTCGTTCGAAGAGTTCCGACGGGAGATCTGGATGATGAGGTACGTGGTGCCGCGTCCAAGCGCTTGGCAGGCGCGGTCACGACGTGTCGGGGTTGCAACGCCTTTTGGAACTCATGATCGTGTCTCACAGTGGGCTTCACCACCCGAACCTCCTCGGTCTGCGCGGATACACCCTCAACCCGTGCTGCGTCGTGTTGGAGTATATGAAAGAGGTACACGCCGCGCAACGCAATGCAACACGACACGCAACACGACACAGAACATGACACAATGCGACAAACGTGACACGGAGTATCAACGCTTGGTGGTGTGTTGGGGCGTGCAGGGCGACCTCTTCCAGTTCCTGCACAGGGACGAGTGGGCGCCGCAGCGCGCGATGGTCCACAAGCGCTGGAACGTGCTCATGCTCAAAATCGCCAAGGACATCGCCAAGGGCTGCGCCTTCCTCCACTCGGCCAACCCGCCCGTCATCCACCGCGACCTCAAGTCGCCCAACGTGCTCGTACGCTGCTCCCAACTCCAGCCCTCCCCCCCCCAATATTGCCACATCATCAGGCCACGTCACCCACCCAACTCACATCACTCCCTGTGCCCTTTGCTGGTGTGTTCGCGCAACACAGTTGATGGACATCTCGAAGCGGGCATCGGTGGTGGCCAAGGTGGCCGACTTTGGTACCTGCCAGCAGATGGCCGGTATCGTCGCCGGGCGCAAGGTCGAGAATCCAGGTGCGCACGCGCCCTTCCTCCTCTGAACGCGCGTTGCTCCGCCCTGCTGACCGCACACGCACCGCACGCACCGCACACACCGCACATGCAGTGTGGTTGGCGCCGGAGGTGATGAAGGACCGAATCTACACGGAGAAGGCGGACATTTACTCGTTCGGCGTGATGCTCTACGAGATGCTCACGCGCAAGCAGTTCTTCGAGGACGAGCGCTTCTTCAGCAAGATGGAGCAGCGGATCATCGCCGGCGAGCGGCCGGAGCTGCCGCCCTGCTTCCCCGAGCTCGAGCAGCTCATTCGCGAGTGCTGGGCCAGCGAGGCCGAACTCCGGCCCTCCTTCGCCACCATCACCGACAAGATCACTGCCATCATGAAGTACGTCGTGTGTGTGAGCGTGTGAGCGTGTGCGTGTGTGCGTGTGCGTGTGCGTGTGCGTTGTCGCATCCGTGAATGTGCTCATGGTGTTGTCACTTCACAGGCTGTACTACCCTAAGCATGTAAACTACGACGCGGGACTAGGCAAGCTGGCGCTAGGGGCCAGTGGCCAGGTCGACTGGCAGCTGCTCGATTCGCAACCGCAGCCTGCCGTTGACGCCGAAACGCCCCAGACCCTCGCGCAGCTCCTCAATTGAAACCACAATTTTGTTTGCACCTGCCCCGACGGCACAGTTCTTCGTGCGGACGTCGGCAGCGACATCAACAACGAGAAGACGTCTACGCTCTGGAGAAAACGAAAGGAAAAGCTGACGTGGCATTTTATCGGTTTTTATTTATTTTTTCTATTCAATCGTGAGAATGGGAACGGCGTACGCAGACGACATCATCCAGAAGCTGCAAGAATTTCAGAGGTCGGCCCACGTGTTGCTTGACAATGTGTACGTAGGAGAGGTTTTTCTTGAATTTGATTTTATTGATTTACTTCATTTTAATTCAAGTGCCACAATCAAATCAATCACAGATCGTCGGGCCTCTACACAGACTACTCAGCAGATGACTTCACAAGTGCGTTATTACATGGCTCAACCATGCACAGCGCAGTTCTTCGTTGATTTTGATTTGGCGCTCTACCCGGCATGCGTGCAGAGGAGCGAGATGCGTTGGAGGCGACGCTAGCCGACCTCGAGCAGCAACTCAAAGCCGGCCTGCTCTACGCGCTCGAGGATAGTCCCGCTCCAGGTGCTCCTACGCCCTCCGCCCGGCATTGGCCTCCACGATCTCTTCGCTTAGAGCAGTGTTGTTCTGTGCGTGTGATCGTTCCGTGTGTGCCATGTGCTCGTGTGCGTGTGCGTGTGCGCTTGCGTGGGCGTGGGCGTGTGCCTGCAGACACACCGGTGCCCAATCTCCAGGAAAGCTTGCTCAAGATCGACACAGAGATCAAGGAGGCCCACAACGTGCATCAGAAGTTGATCAAGAACACCAAGACAGCCGCCAGCCGATTTCATGCGGGTGAGTAAAAGTAACAACTAAAACTTGTTAACAAAAGAGAAGACAAGCACAACCACCAACCACTTCAACGAAGCTGTCCACACACCACCGCTCGTCAGCCGGGCTACAGTGCGCGGCTGGTGTGGAACCACTAGGTGGCCACCCACTGGTTGGTTGTCTTGGCCTCCCCCGCGCGTGCTCTCATTCCCCCTCATGCCCTGTCAGCCATCAGCTGACCAGTTACTCGAGTGGTGCCCAACATTTCGATCCCGATGCTGTGCTCAGCTGCCACGAGACTGATCAGACACACTTTTAGAATTAACCTTGGATTGGTTCCTCAACTAAGCAGACGACCAATGGCGTGCACCAAAAGCTGAGAGAGGCGATGGATGGGCGATGAAGGACATCGCCCTAAATCGCAGCATTGTCCAAGTAGGGTTTACCTCCAGGTTGGCTTCCGAGTTCCTGCGGAACTGGGCCTTGGGATGGGTGACACTGCGTTCCAAGTGGCCGGAACCACTTTAAAGTGCGTTGCTCAATGTGCACTGCAGATCGGGGTGCATTGACAGGTGAGTTGAAGTTGTTTGACAGTCAGACCTAGTCAACTCGGTCTGGTTACAAGGCCGACCATAGTTATCCCGCCCAGTTCACGCTAAGACCCGCTGGGTCCAGCGTCATGGTTAGCCAAGGCTGACTACTTCATTACTCAGACCCCTGGCCCGCTAGACGCGTTATCAGACCATGGCTCCATAGCGACTTGTTCGGCAACACCAACTACACACGTTTGTTGGTTCATCACCATCGTTGGCCCTCACTTCCGACCACACACGGCCCTGTCGCAGAGGACCTCCTTGTGAGGTGCGGCCCACCACACACCTGTTGTGCCCCAATTCCTTCCTTTTGACATCAGGTTTAAGGGACCTGCAGTGCAGCAATCAGCTTTCTTTGGTTGGGTTCCCTCTTGAGCCACCATCGCCACTCTCTCTCACACACACACACACACAACACAAACACAACACAAACAACAGACCACATACCGAGACCGACCCTCGACTTTTCGTCACCTGCGTGTGTGCACCTGCGTTCACCCGCACCACTCTACGTGAGGGGCATGACCTCCCCTTTCTTGATAAGGACCACCCCTACAACTACACCGATACTCCCACCACCTCTCCACCTCGCCCAGTCCGCCTCCGTCCTGCCACAGCTCTCTCGCCTCTCCCGCGGTGGGACTCAAACCACATCGATAGGCTCTACGTTTTCTACTTCTTGTTCTTCTTCTACTGCAGCACCACCCTCACCATCATCGTCGACGACGACCTCCACGGCTCAACCCCACGGACTGCAGCACCACAACCCGCCGCCAGCTCGCGAGACAACGGCCGCGCTCGACTCTCTACAGTTCATGGCGAGCCTCCCACAGCGGCTGCAGATCAGCGCCCGAGCAGGTCCTGCCGCGCCAGCGTCGCCCACCACGCCCTTGCCCTCGATCACCGAGGCCTTGGCCTGTGTGCCCCCGCCCGGCCCTTCGTCGCCGCAGAGCCGCCATCACCAGCTTCAGCTGCCGCCGCTGGCCTCGCTCTTCGCGCCACCACAGCCCCAGCGACACCCCCACGTCATCGATGGCCTCTACCCGGCCCAGGCCCAGGCGCGGCCCAACCACTTCGGCGACGGCGGGGGCGTCGGACCCCAGCTTCGGCCTCGGGCGGTGCCGTCGGTGATTCACCTCAAGAACCAGGCCAACGGGGCATCAAGTGGTCATCACCATCAACCAGGGCAGCCACGGCCACGACGCCAACAACAGCTCGACTGGATCGACCTCACCTGTAACGTTGAGGAGAAGTACGACAAGAAGCCTCAGCTGCCACCGTTCACGTCGAGTCACCGCGGCCACGGGGTACGTTTGTCCGTCTCGTGACTTCTACGTTCTTTTTCGCTTTCTTTTTTTGGCCTTGACGAGCGATGACAAGCCGGTCGATTGACCGAAAGCGCGACTCCATTGTAACATCTTCTCTTTCTTTTACGCGTGTTCTACACCTGTGACTTGAAACCACACACGGCACACACACACACGACACACACACACACACCAGACATGGTGCATCAGGTTCGGTAGCTGTGATGGCATCGACAACCAGCGCGGCAGTGGTGTGGTCGGGCGGCCGCTGGTGCGGTCGGGTCCGCCGACGACAGCCCTGGAACTTTCCCGGGCACACAGTCACGCAGTCTCGTCCGACGGTCCCAGCTGCCCCGACGTTGGACCCACGCTCCAGACCTCCACCTCATCCGCCGGCACGGCCGACGGCGAGATCGAGAAGCGGTGCGCCCACTGCGGGACCCGCTCCACGCCCGAGTGGCGTCGAGGGCCGACCGGTCGCGGCACCCTCTGCAACGCGTACGCGTCCATCGTTTCACGTGTGTGTCGTGTCGTGTCGTGCGTTGTTGACGTTTCTTATTCTGTTCTTCTCCGCAGGTGTGGGCTCAAGTACACGAAGACGCTGCAGGCGCAGCGACGGAAGGGCAAGACGGGCAGCACGATGGGCGCGGTGCCGCTGGCCTCGCTGCTCAACGGCCCCGAAGACCGCAAGCGCCGCACCAGCCTCTCCTCGCCAATGGTCTGGCAGACCAAGGTCAAGAACTTTGTCTCCTCATCGCCCTCGTCTTCCTCCTCCTCGTCATCGTCGCCATCGCCATCGTCATCTTCTCCCAGCGCCTCGTTCCCGCCGGCCCATCTCTTCGATCACGCCTGTTCGCTCTCCACCTTTTCTGTGTCGCCATCGACGTCGTCGACGAGCGGCTCCGGCTCGCCCAGGAAGCGCGCACGCACCCAGTCGCTGCCCAACCCACCAACACACCAGTGACGTCGACCAAGAGGGAAATAATAAAATTAAAATCGAAATTGTGTGACCCCAGATTTTATTCAATGTCAATATTTTTATCTGCAATTTATTTGTTTTTCTATTCCCGAATAAAGGCTCCGGTGGGAGAGCTCGTACGAAAGCGCAGTGGGCATGTGCGGTAGTGGCTTCAGATAACCGCATATCCAACGCTGGTCACCGACACAACCAACGAATGAAGCCCAAACCTGGATATCGTCCAGCTTGGACCCACTCTCCATTGGTACACCAACTCGCGTTTTGCCCATTGGCCGCCACCGAATAAACTTCTTTGAAGGTAATCGTTGGACTAACTCCGAGACCCCCATAAAACGGGGCGACTCGCCGCCTTCCCATCACTTCACACAACTCTTCTCCTCCACAACAACTCAACTCTCAACTCTCAACTCTCAACATCATCAACAACATGTCCGGACACAGGCACCTCTCGATCAAGGTCAAGGAGGCCAAGGGCATCCCTGCGGCCGACTCGAACGGCAAGAGCGACCCCTACGTGGTGCTGACGATCGGCGGCCAGAAGAAGAAGACGAAGATCATCCACAAGACCCTGGAGCCCAAGTGGTACGAGGAGTTCCGCTTCGACATCGACGACTCGCAGCACGTGCTGCGGTTCGAGGTGTTCGACCACGACAAGTTCAGCAAGGACGACTCGCTGGGCCACTACGAGCTCAACCTCAAGACGGCCCAGATTCCCATCGGCCAGTGGACCCCCTTCACCCGCAACCTCATCCACCCCAAGCAGTCGGGCGAGATTCAGTTCGAGATCAACATCGCCTAAGTCAAGGCCCCCTCTTGTCCATCCATACCATACTGCTGCTGCTCCACCATGCACGCACCTAAAATACAAATATATTCTTATTTTAAAAAGTAATTCATTATTCATTTTACAAATGGAAAGAGAAAAAGAATGATGAGCGGGCACACCTTCTTGCTCCAAGAAAAGGAGAAGGAGAATATGTACAAAGGGGGGTGGCTGTTTATTGTGTGGCGATCCTGACATGAACAACATAGAGAGACAACATTTGTGATGCGCTCACGACTCACTCCATGGCCATGTAGTCGACGCTGTAGGGGTGGGGCGCTCCGCCGCCACGACCGCCGCCACCCGCGGGCACTTGGTACCCGCCTGGCGGGGGATTGACGCGCTTGTTGGGACACTGCGTGCGTGCGGGAGTTACGGGCGAGAGAGTGAGCGGAATGCGCACATTCAATAGGGTGTAGGGCGAGCAGAGAGAGAGAGAGAGAGGCACCTTGTTGGCGTAGTGGCCCATCTGGCCGCACTTGAAGCACGTCACCGATTCGAGCGGACGGGGAGGACCGCGCGGTTGGCTCATGTCCGGCTGTGGGTGTCCAAACACCACCACCCACCACCAACAGAGGTGAGGCGATGATGGGCCGGGGAGTGAGGAGAAGAAGAGGGAAAGCGTACGCGTGGGGCATCGGGGCAGTTGGCAGCCTTGTGGCCGGCGACGCCGCACTTGTGGCACACCACCGGAGTGCGCGTGCGCAATCGCTGGCTGTTGGGATCGTCGCCGCTCAACCTGGGCAGTTCGTACTTGGGGTGGCCCAGCTTGCAGAGGGGCCCATCGGGGCAGAATCCGATCATGTAGGCCTCGCACAAGGGCTTCCTCACGTGCTTGTGTCGACACCTCGGACCTGTACACGACACACACGACGCACGCACACAACACGCACGCACGCACGCACAGTCGAGTGACAGAGCGTTCAGGCCTGAATGAATATGCAAAGGCGTGGGAGGAGGATGGGCGTACCGTGCTTGCAGAAGCCGCGCGCGTACCAGGGACACTCTCGCATCTTCTCCTCAGGGCTCACGTGTCGGAACATGCACTCGCCTGAAGGATTGCTGCATTCGCCTGTGCGGGCCAGCAAGAGCGAGAGTGAGAGGGAGATTGGCAAGAGTGTCGATCTGATTGCAAGAGGAGTGAGATTATGTTTGGGAGGCGTACCAAATTTCGAGAAGAAGTAACAGATGGGCATCTTGTCCAGCCGGTATTCGTGCAGATACTCGCAGCTCTCGCCCTTCTTGCACAAGCCTCGCAACCAGTGCTTGCACACTTCTTTGTCTCCATAGACGTGCCGAAAGGGGCACGTTTGCCCGAGCACACAATTGCCCTTCATGTAGAATTTGCATGGCTCTGCAGAGGCAATCGCGATTGCGAGACACGTTCGTCAGGAAACGGTGCCGCAAGTGCAGAACGGCATTGAATGAAGGTAAATGCATACCACTTGGAGAGGGTCTGTTGAGATCGGGGAAGCTTTTCTCGAAGTCGAATGAATAGTCATTCCACACCATCTCATTGTCCATATCAAAAATCTGGTTAAATGTGCTAAGGGGCGCAGTCATGGTCGCCATCTTCTGCTTCGTTCTTGCGTCGCTGATTGTTGTCTGCTCAACTCTGCATCAAGAGATGAAAAGAAATGTTCGAACAAAAGAAAAAGCAAATGCAAAAGAAAAACTACAGTTCTTGCTTTCCTCACTTTTTCGTTCTTTTTTTGTCCTTTTAGATTTCGGATTGGAGGAAGCTTTCCCTGTCAAAGTTTGGTTATCTCGGCCAAAACAACGTTGGTCGGGTTTAGAGCTTGGCCTTGCTGGCGTGGGTGGTGCCTGTCGCGCATATCTTGGCCATTTGGACGAGCGAGTCCTCCACCGCGTTGACGAACGCCGTCGCGTTGGTCTTGCACTTGAGCGCCGTCGAGGCTGCGCAACAAAGAATGTCAGGCAGGCTTTTTACAAGGAGGGAGAGGTTCGGTTACCCTTGAAGTGCAGGCCATTGTCGAGGATGCCGTAGCAACATCCGATGCCATCCTCAGCCACGGGTCCAAACACGACCTGCCATGTGTGCGTGTGCGGTGGTGCGTGTGTCGTGCGGTGGTGCGTGTGCGGTATTTAGTTGTGACAACTAAATACCACCTGGTGGCGAGGAGGTGAGGCAGACCTGGAAGTGGGGCGAGGTGAGCTGGGAGGTGGAGAGACGCCAGGTGGAGATGCGCGAGTAGGCCGGGTCCTTGTAGAGCCCGGGTTCCTCCACGCCCTGCTCGGCGGCGATCAGGCGCAGACCCAGGAGGTGCCGATCGATTCCTGTGTGGACGCCACCGCACGACACACGCACACCGCATACACCACGCACCCCAGTCAGTCTCCCCCAATATCAAGTGTGCAAAACAGTCAAATTTACCGAGGCCATCGCAGGCGTCCTGGTTGGTCTGCGTGTGTCGGTTGCAGGCCTTGCGCAACAGCTCCAGCTTGTCGGAGTCCTAATGTGTCCACGAAATCGAGGCATTAGTGCGAGCACACGACGCACGACACACACACACACACACACAGAGAGAGAGAGAGAACCTTGAGATCCGTCCTCTTCATGGACTTCACGAACTCGACAGACTCAGCGGACACCGAACGCACGGTTTCCGTCCTTCCCCACAAGAACTTCCTGTAGACCGAGAAGAGGTGTTAGGGCGTGTGCGGTGCGGTGTGTGCGGCGTGTGCGGCGTGTGCGATCACCTGGTCTGCCCAGACTCGTAGGTGGGGTAGATCTCGCCGGTGAGGGAGTGGACGGCGAGCTGCATGGCCATCTGGCAGAAGGCGTCGGGGCTGATCTTCCACGACTTGATCGCGTCCTTGCCGAACTTGTTAAAGTACTTCACCTGCAGGTCCACCTCGCTCGCAGCCTTCGCCAACCGTTTCTGTAGTCCCTTTTCTGTCAGCTTCACATCGTGGTGTGTGTGTGTGTGTGTGTGTGCGCGCGCGCGCGCGTGTGTGTGTGTGTGTGCGTGTGGTGTGTGTGTGTGTTTGTTGCAGACCTCAGCATTGGTGATATAGGGCTTGACGTCGTCAGTGATGTTGAAGGACGCCTCGACGGGGGAAAGGGCGGCCGAGTTGCGGTTCTTGTTGGCCGCATGCTCGGGGTTCCGCTGGAACTCTTCCTCCCTGTGTCGACCGCCGCAGCTCGCGTCAGGAATGCGCTTGGAATGCGCTTGGAAGTGGAATAGTCGGAGGGAAACGCGAACCAGTCGAGAACGAAGTTGGTCATGCGCCAGGCAGGCGAGCCGTCGACGCCGGAGTGTTCGCCGTTGAGCCCGGCCAGGCCGTCCTCCATGACGATGAACTGGAACGACTTGTCGAAGAACCGGTTCTTGCCATCGGCGTGCCAGAAGTTGCGCTCAAGCTACAGGAAAAATAGAGCGGCGATGACGTGAATACGGCGTTGGCCTATTACACTGGGCCAGTGCGACCGACGTCGATAACGCATCGCGTACCTCGAGGCCAGACTTGGCGCCCTCATCCAGGCACACGCCGAAGAGGGTCTTCTCGATCTGCTGCAGACTCGCCCTGTTCTGCTGGTCTGTCGACAAGAAAAAGTCGAGGTGTGAGCGGGAGCGGGAGCGGGAGCAGCGCGCGAGTGCGGCAGTAGTCAGGTGTACCGCGAAGCAGGAGGTCGCGCGCCTCGGCCCACTGGACGCGGTTGTCGCTGGTGAGCACGCCGACGGCCCACTCCTCCTTGGTGCTCCCCAGTGACTTGACCTTCTCCAGCTGCCTGCATGTACCACATGCGCGCGCGTGCGGTTATGTAATGCATGGGCGGTGTGTGTCGTGTGTCGTGTGTCGTACATTTCGAGCTCGGGGACGGAGAGCAGCTGGTTGGACTGGTCGTACACGTCGACGATGAAGAAGCGGTTCTTGTGCGCCACGAGCACCTTGCGCCTGGCCTCCGGGTCGTCGTGGTAGGTGGCCCAGTGGTCGGTCTTGGCACTCGGGATGCGGGTGGTGTTGAACATGAGCTGGTACATGTTCATGCACATCGGACCATCTTTGCCCATGTCCGGCTGCAGCGTGTCACTACATTCTCATGGTCAGCCAACGCACGCACACACACACGCGCGCGCGCGCACGCACACACGCACGCACACACGCACACACGCACACGAGGGGAGGTGTGTACTTGTGAAGCTGTTGCTCGAAGAGGACGGCGCCGTGAATGAGCTGGGCGGCCCTGCGGGTTTGCGAGACGCGGCCCAGGCGGGGCTCGACGAAGTTGAACGCGTAGCTCACGTTGATCACCACCGAGTCCTTGTAGTCCATGTAGGCCCAGCTACACACGACACACACGGTGAGTTGAGCCAGGTCGACCACGCACACACACACACACACAGAGAGAGAGAGAGCGCGCGCGCACACACAACACGCACACGCGCGCACCTGTTCCACCAATCGATGAGCCAGCTCTTGTTCTCCTTCTTCTTGAGGTCGGCCCGCTCGAGCAGCTTCTGCTGAAGGACCGGGCCGGGACCCTGCAGGAACCGCTCGGCCTCCTGCCTCGTCCGCTCAAGCTCCTGGGGCGACAGGAACAGGCGCGCGTTCTCGACGTACTTGGCCACCGTCGCCTCCAAGGCCGGCACCGGCAGCGACGGCAGTTGGCTCTGGTACTCGAATCTGCAGCAAGTAGAAGCATTGGAATGATTAATGATTCATACATACTACTCAACACATCGAATGAAATTAAATCAAATAAATGCGAGTAGTGGATTAAAGGATGAGCAGCAGGGGGAGGGGGGAGGAGCGCACGTGCGCCATGTCTTCTTGCCGGCAGCGGAGGAGGAAGTGCCCCGCACAAAATGAGGACGAATAAGTGCCGCAGTGCGGGCAGTCGAACCACCACCACGCGCAGCCACAAGCCCCTGGCTGCTCGCTCTTGCCGATCGTCGCAACATCTCTTTTGCTCTTTCTTTGTCGGTATTTCAATAATAAATTAGCTTATTTAAATCACAAATAAATACATGAAGGAGAAGAAGGCGGTGCGGTCCTGACCATCAAAACCAGCCGAGGAGGGCAGGCGGCAGGGCTTCGTGCAGCACGCGGCTGAGGTGGGCTCGCTGGAGGGCATCGTCAACTGGCCGGCCCTCGATAAAGTCCACCGCCGCACGCACCACCTCGTGCTTCTCCGTGTGGCCGTCGACCACGAGCAGCTGCTGGGGCATCTCCAGCACGGCGCGGTTGTGCTTGAGGTAGCAGGGCCAGATCACGCGATCAAAATACCACCCCGGCGTGCCCATGGTCTCGGTCCTGTCATCGCACCATGGCGGCGCGCGCTGACGTCAGCAACCGCCTTGAATTGAAGAAGAGGGAGAAAAGTTGGGCTTGGCGTACCTTCGTTGGCGAGAGGTGCTTCGGTTGACGGTGATGAAGATGTGCTTGTCGATGAGCGATACCACCTCCTTGTCGGTGAACAGCAGAAACCCTTCGACAATGATGAGTTTACGCTTGGGCTCTAAGAGCAGAGAATAGTCATCGTGAGCGACACAACGAACACGACGCACGCACACACGACACACGACACAACCACGACACGACGCACGCGTACTTGATCCGGCAGAGGCAACTTCAGGCGCTGCCGCACTGGCGGCTCTGAATCGCGGCGTGACTGGAGAGGATGGTGGTGTGGAGGGTGGTGATGATGTGGTGGTGGCTCGAGGCGTACGCGGTGAAGAGGGCGCCGACCCGCCGCCGACGCTGTTGCCTCGGGACCTGGGCGTCCGCGGCGATGATGGCGACGCAGTGGTCGCGGTCTGCAGTTGCTGCGATTCGGCTAATCGGGCACACCGCGCGCACACCAGGGTCTTGCGCTCGATCTGCCTTCGCAGCGCGGCCACGAACTCGTCCCACCGCAGCGAGCTCGCCAGCTCCCAATTCGCAACCGTGCGCCCGCCCACGCGCTTCTTCTCCATCTCCCTGGGCTGAGTTCATTTCATTTTTTAATAAATAAATATATATCGCACAATAAATGAAAAAAGGGAAATAATATCGTATAAAATAACTAAGATTGCAAATAATAATAGTAAAGTAGACTAATAAAAGCTCGTAAGAAGAATTGATGGAGGCATTACCGATTTGAAGTAGCGGTCGAGGTGCACGATGGTGCGTGGGTCGAAGGACTCGAAGAGGGAAGTGGTTGAGTTGGGGGCAGGCGTGGGGCCACCGAGTGCGCCCAGCAGGCCCAGGGCGAGGGTGGTCTTCCCGCTTCGCGACGCCCCAGCAATGCCGACGACCAGCGGACGCACGCAACGACACTCGTCCACCTCCTCCTCCACCTCCTCGTCGTGCAGCACCAGCTCTGCCACCGCCGCCTCTTTCCCCGTCTTGTCTTCCATCCGTGGCAGCGGTGCCTCCATCGTGAGCCGTTGCGCATTTATTATTTTGCAGTTTGCAGTTTTGAAGTTAATTTGTTTTTATAGCAGAAGCGGTTAATTATATTCAAATAAAGAACAAAAAATAGCAGATGGACGACGAGGAAGCCAGGCCCTTCTCTGTCAAGCCGGCCAAGGCCACGTCGCCCCAGCCTCTCGCCCCGCTCATCGTCACGCAGGCGGCTCCCCGAGGTGCGCTCATCCACTTCACATCTCTTTTACAATAATCGATCATTGCATGAATGGGGTGCAGCGTAGATGGGAGGGCGGTGGGGCTGATGGCAGGGTTCGTCCGCGGGGGTGGGGTGTTCTCGCCCGAGGCCATGCTCCTCCACGCCCAGTCTCCATCTACCGAAGCGGAGGCCGTGGCGGAGGCCGACAACACCCTAGAGGCCAAGCTGGAGGCCACCAAGGGCGGCAAGAAGAAGGCGAAGGCGAAGCAGCAGCACCGGCCGGCTGGTGGAGGACACGACCGACGCACGCAAGCTCAACTGCGCGCAGCCTGCGCTCCGATCATCCTCGCCCTCCTTCCCGATGTACGTCGTGTGCGTGTGCGTTGTATGTGTCGTGTGCGTTGTATGTGCTGTGTCGTGTATGTGGACTGACTTCGTTGGCTCGTCAGGAGAGGCTGTACGTGTGGGACGGCCATCATCGCGTGGCGGCCATCCACCTCGGCGGGCGAGACCACCTCCTGCCCGAAGAATACTCGTACGTACCACACACACACACACTCCACCACCATCATTGTCATCGTAAGTGGCTGACTCTTCCCCCCAGTACGATGCGATGCAACTTCAAGTTTGCACAGACAGGTACGCACGACACGACACGACACGCACGACACCACGAACTGGGCACCGCCCACGCACATGGCTGATCGAGGTCATGAGGGGTGCAGTGAGCTTCGCGACGTGGTTCCTGACGCCGTTCGATCCGCGAACGGAGATACGCGTGCCGGAGTTCGGGTCCTTCAAGAACGAAGTGGCCGTTCAATTGAAGAAGAAAAAGAAGCCCGAAGCCGAGGTACTCACGCATGCAGATCACACGCACGACACGACACACACACGACACGACACACGCCGCACTAACGAAACGATCGGTTCAAAACGCGAGGTGGTGGAGTACATCATGAGCAATCGCCAGATGTACGTGCTGCCGCGGACGTTCGAGAGCGTTGCGGAGATGGTAGCGCGCATGGACCTCGTCTAATGTAAAGAGAAAATATTTACACATGCATCTCTGCGCTCGAGTGGGCGTGTTTTTCTCGCGTCTTCGTCGTAGTCGTCATCAAGGCGCCTTACCACCTCGCTGACGATTCGGCGGCGGAAGCGGAGAGCGCGATGTGGGCGGGAATCAACTTGCGCAGGGCGTCCACCCACCCGCTGGGTGCGGCTTCGAGCACGAGCACCTTGAGCTGCTTGGGCAGGTTCCCCGCGATTGTCTCCACCGACAGATGCTGCATCCGGTGGAGGCACAGACTGCACACATCACCTTCGTTATCGGTACGCTCGTCTTCAACAAAGAGGCGAGTGTGTGTGTGCGTGCGGTGCGTGCGGTGTGTGGTGTGTGCGGTGCGTACTGTTCGATGGAACCAGGGAGGTGCTTGAGGCCATCACCTTCCACGTGTCGTAGGTGGTGCAACTCGAGCGAGGAAAGGTTGGGAGGAAGTAAGGCGAGGTCGTTGTCGGTGATGTAGGAGCAGTAGGCCAGCTGAAGCTGCTTGAGACTGGTGCATTGCTGCAGCTCTCGCATGCCTGACAACAATCGAAATGGGCGTGAGACCTACGTAGGCGAGAGCTCTATGGGAGCGCGACGTGTGGCGAATGCAGTGATGAGAGCGAACCTGCGCCGCTGATGTCGACGTCGTCGAGACGTAGGCCTGTGAGACGAGGGTAGCGGGTGCCGAATCGATAGAAGGCGTCATCGCCGAATTGGTGGTAGTCGTCCAGCGTGCCCGATGAGGACAGGATCAGCTTCTCGAGCTGGCTGGGAAGCACGCTCACTCCCTTGTCCGTCACTCCCCTGAAAAGATAAAATTCGTCTTAGTCACAACAGCGTCAGGGCGATTGTGGAGAGGAATGTACTCGGAGGCGGACAGCGAGAGGGAGCGAAGTGAGGTGAACTGTTCCAGCACTGCGGCTTCCTTGTCGACACTGATTAGAGTGTAGTCCAAGGCGAGCGTGTCAACGTGTGGTGGAATATCATCAACTCCCTGTCGAGTATGTGAGTACTTGATCGACACGCACGCACTGTGCATGACACGAACACGCACCGCGTTGGTGATGCTGTTGTCGCTCAGGTAGAGGTATCGGAGCGACAGGGGCAGATACTCGATGCACGCGTCTGATGAAGCGAGAAAAGAAAAGCAAACGCTTTGAGCGCCACCAAAGGCGTTGTGCGGATGCGGGTTGTGTACCCGTAATCTGTGTCGAGGAGAGGTCGAGGTGTGTGAGGCCGCTGGGCAAGTGGTGCAGCATCGAGTCGACGATCCTGCACGACGAGCCCGCCGAGAGGGTACAGCAAGTGAGCCAAGACCCCCTTGCGCCTCGCTTGAGTCCATAGGGGAGAGAAAGAGAGAAGAGGGACCCACCGGCAGTTGCTGAGGTTGAGCATTCGCAGATTGGCGCAGTTGGCGGCGAGGAAGGGCAGGCACTGTCGTAGGTGCTGTTTGTGCTTCCGCGCGTCCACACGGCACTTCGTCACCTGCGCCAAGCCGATCTGACCATCCACCAAATCGTACGATCAGTCAGCGCGTTGTGCGGTGGTGCGTGTGCGTGCGTCTAGGGAGTTACCTTACGCCACAGGCGGCACACGAGGGTGGCGATGCCCAAAGGACCCGAGAAGGCGTTGCCGTTCGCCCGCATCGTACTACTCGCGCCCGATTCTCCCGCATCCTCTTCGTGTCCCTGCATGTGCCGCGCTTTGTTTTCCCCTTGCTGCTGCTGCTGGTGGTGGTCGCCATCTTGGTGTTCGGCACTGTCTTGCTCGTCGCCATCTCCGCTCTCTTGCGACTCGCCGCCCGCCCTCTGCTGGTGTAGCGCCGATGCCGAGCTGTGCCGTCCATACAGCGCGACGTAGCTCAGGATGTGGGTCCAAATCTCGGGCGGGAGGATGGCAAGGCCATCTTCGTCTGCCGCATCCAAGGGAAGATTTGGCTTGACCTTCTTCCTCTTCGGATCAACGTCGCTTGTGCCCATCATCCCTCCTTGCTCAAGGCTGGCGATTTTCCTTTTGGGATTTGAGCAGGTTTCGAGCTGCGTGGGAGAGATGGTTGAGATCGACGGTTGGGCGCGGAGCAAGAGGCTTCTCAGCTGCCCCAGTTCGCTCTCCATCGAGTGCAGCCGGTGCAGGAGCTCCTTGTGCAGGTCCATAGATCCGGAGGCATGCAGCCGCGATGCGCAATCGTCGGCCGGCTGCCCTTCTGGATCTTTGCTCATTCTCTCCTACCTCCGATCTTGCTCGATCTTGCTTGATCTCTCTACAGTGCGAATGCTCAAAGCTGTCGTGCCACGCCTCTGCCAAAAACTAGCCGTTGCGGACTGAGGAATGTCACAAATGAGAATAAAATAAAACTGAAAAATCATAAATAATGATTATGTCCTGCTCCAACGACTAGGGCGCGGGTGTGGTGTGTTTATCGATGTATGTTCAGTGTGTGAAGGCGCACGCTGGTGGTGGGCAGGGTGCCGGCTGGCACATTAAGGGCGCTGGAGGCCGGGCTGAGTCTTCACGCCCGCTGGGCTGTGGCCGAGCTGATCTCCAGGACGGTTGGCTGGCTTTCTTTGGCCCTGTGCACACGTAGAGCCATCAGATCATGTTGGGGACGGGTGGGCACACAACACGGCAGCGCCAGTACCGTGACGGGATCGATGACGAAGCCGCGGCCCTCGTCGAGGGTGAGTGCGCCGATGACCTTGGGTTGGTTCTCATAGTCTTCAGCCAACTTCTGCTTCAGTTCTTTGGTCTTGTCAATAGTCTGCCTTGAACCTGGTTCAGCCACCATCAGGTCAGCAACGCCAGAGCTGCACTACGCGAAAAATAAAAATAAAAATAAAAATAAAAATAAAAATAAAAATGGAGCAAAGGAGGGAGAAGCGAGGGGGGGGTACCAACGGACTGGTTGTAGCACTTGGGGTGGTAGATTCTGTTGTTCTCCTTCACGGGCTGCTCATAGTCGAGGATGGAATTGTTACAAAAGGAGCACCTGCAGAGAACAAGTTGTAAGAGACCCACCCTCAATGTGCACTTGCAGAGGAATAACCTGGACGCTCACCTCTGCATGGCGTGAGTGTGGGGTGTTGTGCTTTGCTTGTGTCTCTCTTGTTTTGTGTTTTGTGCGTTGCCCCAATGGTCTGGGGAACAACAATGTCTGGTATGCGTGGAATGTGCCCCCAAGGTCTACTTGGTTGCGTTTCGCATCTTGGCGATCTTGTTGGCGCTGTAGACGATCGTTTTGACCAGACCAGCTGTAAGTATGCCTGCCGATTGATGCACCACGCCAACACATGACACGGTGATCTGTGAGTAGACTGACCCACGTGAGCTGAAGGACGGGCCAGCCAAAGGCACCTTTCAAGCTTTGGGAGCGCGAGGATGACTTGACGAGCGTGGAGATGCCGCTGGCCACGGCACTGGCGATCGTCTGCACGGGGGCACCGCTGAGATCTACCAGGGACTGCCCCGTCTGGCGCTCCACGTTGGCCTTGAGCCTGGCCGGCAATCGCAGCAGTAGGTCCTGGCGCGCGGCACGGCTGGTATCCTGTGATGCGCCACAATTGATTAGTAAGTGTAAGCACACGCCGCACACAGCGCGTATATATTCGACACCACACGGTACCTGGACCACCGTGTCATCTTCCAATCGAAGTAGGTGCTGCAACTTGTCACAGCTGTGGCGGTACATGAGGCGGAATGCCTCGGCGTTCTTGTCCGTCACGATGTTCTTCACCTTGTTGGGATTCTCCCCGAACTGCATCCGGAAGTCCCCTGTGGTAACGATCGCGTGAAGGTGGAAGAACAGAGCGAACCCACAGAGAGAAGGTCCAGGAGCGCAGTGCTCTTGTTGGCGCACCTGTATAAGATAGGCCGGCGATCGTTTCCCATAGTTGGCGCTGTGGCAACTGTGCTGGCGCGAGCAGAAGAGCCGAGCTCAATGCACTCTCTAGGTTGGCTTGGTTGGCACTCATGATCTCGTCGCTTCCCTGAACCACGACGAACTGGAGAGCGAGATGATCAGGGTTCCTCCGCAGAGATTCGATCCGAGTTGATTGCGCTGGTACCGGCTTTTGCATCCGTCCGCTCACATAGAGCGTGTCCCAGTTGACTAGATCGGATATGAGGTGCTTGCTGCTGATCACGCCGTACTTGATTGTCTGATGGTGCAGCACGCTCAAGCAAAGTGAGTCAACTCTCCATTGACGTCCAGTAAAACTTGGGAGTGTTTCGTACCTCGTCGAGCAGCTGAACATGTGTGTTGTAGTAGATGGACGCACCAACGTCCTCTTGCAGCCGCGCCACGACGCTGCTACCGAGCCAGGCCACGCCTGAGTAGTGTCCGCCGTTGGTTGCGATATTGGCCTCATGCCACCGCCGCGAGTCTTCCACTGCAAAGATGAAGTCCTTCATCGGCTTCTGTGCATGATGTAGTGAGCGTGAAGGGTGAGGGCAAAGAGCAAAAAAGAGGGCGAAGACAAATAATCTACCTTGGTGAGCTTGGTGGCGTCGGCTTGTGGCACGACCCCGGAGCCATAGCCAGCGGCAAACGTCAGTTTGGGAAACGCGCCTATAATACGGCGAAGCTGCTGCCGGTCTTCTTCGCCCAGACCCAGCGGCACCTCCCACTCAGCCGGCTCACGCTGTGCCATGCCTTCTTGACAAATATTGTTTTCTTTTCCCCTTTGCTTTTCTCGATGTTTTCTCGAGTATTTATAATGCCCCCGAACAGTATCACCTTGGCGCCGCGTGTGGTTGTCGAGAATAGGGGTTTGGCCGTTTTGCGTCGGGAAGACAAAGACGAACTCGGACTGGTGGTGGGCTACATAGTTGTACGCCAAACTACGTTGTGGTGGAGGTCCCTAAATCTGTCCGCATAGGCGACTAGAGGAAGGAGAGCAGCCTCATACTACACACGACAAATCGAGACCCATTCGCAAGGAGACAGACCGGGCTCAAGATGGAAAACGGCAGTGTAGCCAAGATTGGTTCGTTGTCCCCGCCACGTCTCGTACCGCCAATTCTTCTGCATTTTTCTTTCTATCCAGCTTCCAATCTTTCCGTTCGAATTGTGCACTATCCCGTCATGAGTGGGCGGACCTGTCCCTTTCTTCTTGTTCTTGTTCTTCTACTTCTTCTCGCGCTCTTTCTAACCTCTACTTCCGTCCTCTCTACGCTATCTCGCGCTCTTGTTGTATTGGTCTCGCCTCCTGTGGGGCACGCCAACAACAACAACAGTACAACAGATAACAGAGACGCTGTCCGATGCCGTAGCGCAGCTGGTGGTGCTGGTGGTGGCGCTCCAGGAGCAGAACGCCGAGATGCCGCCCACCCTGCCCACGGCGGCTCAGGCCGTGTGCGGCGCCTCGGGCACACTGGTCAGCGTGGCCCGCGCGCTGGCAGAGGAGGAGTATAGCGACTTCCCCGACATCTGCGGTCAGATCCTGGGCGCCGCCGATGGCGTGGAGCAGGCCGCGTCGGCCATGATCATCGCCGTGCAGGCCGTCGCCACCGCGTACGACCGCCAGGCCGGCTGGAGCCAGCTGGTCGAGTGCTGCAAGATCATCGCAGGCAAGACCATCATTCTGCTGCAGATCGTCTACGGCGCTGATCTCTATCGCCTCTTTGCCTGCTCCGATCAGACCAACGACACACTCAACCGCCTCGACACCAAGTTGGCCATCGCCGATCCGCAGGCGTTCGCCGATCTCGCTGGCGAGGCCGCCACGCGCGCCAACCAGCTCGGCGAGTACGTCAAGTCCAAGGCCGCCGACACGGATTCGCCCATGCTGCAGGCCTCGCTGGCCGAGGCGGCCGACCTCCTGCAGCAGGACGCCAACGACCTCATCGAGGCCGCCAACGCGCTCCTCCAGGACCCGAACAACGCAAAGGGCCAGCAGGCGCTCAACCAGCAGCTCGCCAAGGTCAGGGCTCACATCAAGAAGGTGACCGACCCTCTGCAGGAGGATCTCCAGACCGTGGCTCAGGTACCGCTTTCCCCCCACCATCGATCATCGATAATCGTCCGAGCTTGCCTTCTCATCTCCACATCTCTGTGACTGTGAACCATGAAAGGATCTGGAGCGGCTCCAAAGCGCGACGAGAGGCGACAAGCAGACGCTCGACACCCTCTTCGCCGCGCCCAAGCCCGCGCCCGGCCAGAAGAGCCCCTCGCAGGACATGGCCGACGAGCCCGCCGTGCTGCTGGCCTACCGAGGCGCCGGCCTCGCCGAGAGGATCGAAAGCGCTGGTGCGTCCCTGGCTCCAACGTCGCGATTAGTTGAAACTATTGTGTAACACTTTTCTATTTTGTTGATTTCCTGTGCAGCTCGTCGTGGTGATGCGGGAGCCGTGGCTGCGGCGACCACGGCCATGGACGAGGCCAACCGCCAGCTGCAGGCCGGCGCGGCGCTGGCCGCCTCCACGATGGATGATCCCGTCCGGAAGAGGAGGCTCCAGGCCTCCATGGAGGAACTGGAGCAGCTGGCTCCGCTCCACCGCGACGCCGTGCAACGGTACGTGCAGACCCAGATCATCAGTCTCGCATTGAAAAACGTGGCACCGACTCGTGTCGTGTGACAAACAGGACCCTGAAGGACCCCAAGAAGCAGAAGGAGCTTCACCAGGCCAGCCAGCAGCTGAAGACCAAATACGACGACATCGCCGACACCCTCAGGCCCGGCGCTGCGGCGGCGGCTGCCATCGCCGACTACAAGAAGGCAAGCGAGAAGGCCAAGAACGCTGCGGAGAAAGGCGGTACGTACCGATGATTGCAGGCATCGCATCGCGTCGCACAGTAATAGCCGCTACGGCTGACCACTTTTTGTCGGCGCAGACGCTGCCGGTCTTGAAGCGGCGTTCGAGGAGCTGCAGGAGGCCGCGACCAACCTGCAGAGGCGAGTCGATGCCCGCGTCGCGGAGGTCGATGACCCGGTCACCCGCAGGGAGGTCGCCGAAGCGTTGGCCGACCTCCTGAAGCTCACCCCGCTGAAGGTCACCGCCGCCAAGCGCCTGGCCAAGGCGCCCCGCGACCGCCAGGCCCAGAACGACCTCGCTGACACCTTCGAGCGGGCCACGGTGCGTGCCATTGCTTGGCCGAGTGTCGCGTGACACGCCGTTTCACTGATACGTGATTTTCTTTTTCTTTTTCTTAAAGCCTTCGTTGGCCGTTATTGAGACCATCACTGACCCCACGGGCGATCAAGAGATCATCGTGGCTGCCAGCCAGTACGTTGCCGACTTGCTCTCTCTTCTTCCACTGAATGCACCGGGGAGGCCTCACACACGAGCTTCTGGCCGCCGCGCTACGCAGGGGCGAGAAGGAGAGCGAGCAGCTGTGCGCCGCGGCTAGGAACGGCGACAAGGACCGCGTCGCCGAGGCGGCCAAGCGCCTCACGCGATCCAACATCAAGTTGGCCAAGCAAGCCCGCGCCAGGGCCGCACGACTGGAGGATCCTACCAGGCGAAGGGAGCTGCTATCCGCCGTCGATGAACTCGAACGGCTCCTGCCCGAGCAGATCAGCGCCGCCAGCGGTACTGTCAGCTCACTATCCTTGCCACACACGAGACACACAGCACACACGACACACACGGGCTCACCACCGTGTGTCCTTGGGCATGTCGCATGTTGCGATCAGAGGTGGCGGGCAACCCGAGGGACCAGGCCAAGGCCGACCAGCTGCTGGCGCTCACCGAGCTGGTGCTGGCCAAGGTCGCACAGGTCGAGGGGTCAGTCGAATCGGCCGCCCCCGTCGTCGCCGCGGCCAAGCGGGAGAAGAAGAAGCTCGCCGGCCTCAACGACGCCCTCAGCAAGGGTACGCGTGCGCTTATTTATTATTATTAAAATTATTATTATTTAGTTATTTAGTTATTGCTATTTCTTTTAATATTTATATAATTAATCATATTAATCATCCTTTTCTGTCAGGCGATCCCAAGGAGATCGAGAGCGCGCTGAAGGGGCTGCAAAACGCCAACGATGTGCTGTTGATGTGCGGCCGGGAGGAGCAGAACAACAAGGTCGATCCTCATAGGAGGAGGGACCTGTCGAACGCGCTCGACGAGCTCGAGCGCCTGCTGCCGCTCCAGGTCAAGGCCGCCAAGGAGGCCAAGGAGAAGCCGCGCGACGCCGCCGCCAAGAAGGCGGTGCTCGAGATCAACGGCCTGGTGGGCAACGCCGTGGACGATGTCGTGCGCAAGGCCGTCCCCGCGCCCAAGGATCGCGCCGCGTCCGCGCTGGCCAATGGTCTGGACGAGCTGGACCGGCTGCTCGAGGCCGTCAAGCGTGAGGACCCAGCCAGGGCCGCTTTGTCCATCAGAGGCATCGGTGCGTGTTTGTTTTTTATTATTATTATTATTATTCTCCTTGTTTTTATTTATTACTTTTTTTTGCAATATTACTGACACTTGCGTGCAGCTGCGACCGGCGTGAAGCTGGGCGACGAGGGTCGCAACCAGGCGCATGCCACAGATGATGGGATCAAGCGCAAGGGCATCCTCGACGCGGTGGACGAGCTCGAGCGACTGCTCCCGCTCCATATGGCATCGGCCCGCGAGGCCGTGGCCCAGCCCAAGGACAAGGCCAAGCAGGCCAAGCTCGAGGAGATGAACGAGCGCCTGAAGGACGTCGCCGGCGCCGTGCTGATGGCAATGGCCGACAACGCCGACGAGGCCGCCGCCAGCGCTGCCAACCAGCAGGCCAAGGAGGTCGAGCGCCTGTCGAGCGCCGCCCTGGCGGGTGACGCCCACGCCGTAGAGATGGCCGCCAAGGCGCTGGCCAAGAAGCAGCCCAAGCTCGCCCAGCAGGCCAGGGCCCGCGCGGCCAAGACCGACGACCCGGAGCGCAAGCGGGACATCCTGGACGCGCTGGAGATGCTGGAGGCTCTCATCCCCGGCCAGATCCGCGCGGCCAAGGACGCCACCAGCGACCCCGAGGACGCGCAGAAGCGCCAACTGCTCGAGGACGTACGGCAACGACCATTTATTTATTTATTTATTTATTTGTTAGTATTCTTTATTTCCGTTAATCCTGGATTTTCCTGCCACCTTCTTCTCACCTCAATTGTCGCCGCGCCACAGACCAACGCGGAGCTCGTGGCCGCGTTCCAGCAGCTCTCGGAGGCCATGCTGCCCACCGATGGCGCGCGCGCCCTCGTGGCGGCCGTCGACAAGGAGAACCAGGCCATGGAGCAGGTACGCCCACCTGCCTCGCCAGTCCTCCCGTATCGACATACAACTCACTTATTTAATTTTATTTTTCATTGTTTAGCTCCGTTCGGCGGTCCAGAAGGGCGACACCGCGCATGGCGAGGCCAGTCTCAACGAGCTGGAGGACGCCTTGAGGCAAATCACCCAGACCGCTAAGACCGAAGCGATTCACTCTGACGATGATCCCAAGGCCAAAAAGGTACGTACCTTTCACGTGACACGACACGACACGACACGACACGACACGACACGACACACGACACTCAACCATGTTCATGGTTGTGCACAGAATCTGAACGATGCCATTAGCGAGCTCGAGGCGCTCCTCATGAAGCTCCGCCCCCTGGCCAACGCGGCCTTGGCCAACCCCAAGGACAAGAAGGCCCCCAAGGCCCTCACCGACGATCTCGACAAGATCGCCGCCGCCACCGACAAGAGTGCGTCACTGTGCCGACGCAGTGTGGCGTTTGCTTTCCGCACACGCACACATCGCACACTGTCGTCTGACATTTATGTCGTGTCGTGCGTGCCGTGTGTGGTGATCAGTCATGGAGACGTCAAAGGCCGCGCCGTTGGCCGAGGCCCAGAAGCAGGAGAAGGCGGTCGAGAAGCTGGCCCTCGCCGCTAGGAACAACGACCCCCAGGCCATCGCCGCCACTGCCCGCTCCCTCGCCCGCCGCGCTCCCAAGCTCGCCGAACAGGCCCGAGCGCAGGCGCGCAAGACGGACGATGCAACCAGGAAGAAGGCCATCTTGGCCATCGTGGACGAGCTCGAGCGCATGCTGCCCGGGCAGATGGCCGCCTCGTTGGCTGTCGCCAACAACCCGGACGATGACCAGGCCAAGAAGGCGCTCGACAAGTAACCCACCCCTCATCTCTCGAGCGCTCCTTTTGCCGGCGATGCTAACAACGACACGACACGACACACACGACACACAGCGCGATGGCGGACTACACGGGAATGCTGGGCATGCTCGAGGCGAGCATCAGGCCCGACACCAAGGACAAGGTGCCCGAGGCGGCCGAGCGCGAGCTGGCCAACCTCGCGCGTCTCTTGGAGCAGACGAAGAAGAGCGACGCCCGCGGCGCCGAGGAGACCCTCAGGCAGCTCGAGCAGGATAACGACCTGCTCGCCCAGCACGGCCGCGGCAGAGCGGCGAGGGACCCCAGCGCCAAGTCCCTCAGGGTTCGTTGTCGCTCTCTCTTCCTTTCTTTTCTTTTCTTTTCTTTCCCATTTCGTCTTTTTTCCTTTCTTGGGTTTTGACGCGTGTGGTGTTCTCCTGCGCAGGAGGCGGTGAACGATCTCGAGAACCTGATGGCGCTCGTGCGCGACTGCGCCAGGGCCGGCCTCAAGACCCCCAATGACAAGAGGTCGCAGGGTACAGACCGCACAACGAACGCACAACGACATGACACACGACACGCGCCTAACGACCCTCGGCACCCACCCGCCCCGTGTTGCAGAGGATCTGGAGGAGTTTGTGAAGAGGCTGGGGGACCGCGTGAACGAGCTCGCCGAGCACATGGACCCGACGTACCGCAACAAGAAGGAGCGCGAGGTACGACTCGCTCACGCGAGCCAGATTGTTGGTTTGTCTGATTCCCCGCGAGTGCTCACCTCATCCCGCGCGCGGATGTGTGCAGGTGGCGCGAGCGGCGGCCGATCTCGAGTCGATCGTGCCGCGGCTCAACGACGCGTGCGAGCGTCTCACCAAGAACCCCGGTGATCGCAAGGCCGTCGAGGAGCTCGAGGAGATCATCACCGGCAGCCAGATCCCTCTCGAAGTGCTTGGTACGTGTCTACCCCCCCCCGCACTACACACACGACACGCACGACACACGACACACACGACACGCACTAACAACGTGCGGGGTCTCTGGTGGTGCAATATAGAACGGTCGAAGCAGGCATCGGTTGAGGAGGAGGTGATGCAGTCGCGCATGAGGGAGAAGGAGGCGCTGTCGAATCTCGAGGACGAGGCGCGCCGGGGCAACCTGGAGGGCATCGAGACCGAGGCCCGCAAGGCCGCCATGGCCCAGGAGACCTTCCTCGACCGCGCCCGCCGAAGGGCCGAGGAAGCCAAGGACCCGTCCAAGAAGAAGCGCATCCTCGACGCCATCACCGACCTCGAGCGTCTGCTCCCCGAGACCGTCAGGGCCGCGCGACGCCTCGCCCAGAACCCCTCGTACGTGACACGACACAGCACACCGCACACGATCGTGTCAAGGCTGATTAGAATGAATGGAATGTGCCTAGGGATGCGGCGTCGAAGAAGGACCTGGCGGAGCTGAGCCTGCTGATGCTGGCGGCGATGGAGCAGGGCGAGCGCGAGATGGTGCCCTCGGTGGAGGCCGTGGCGCTCGAAACGGCCAAGCGGCTGCCCAGCGAGACCGACAAGCTCCTCGCCTCCGTCCAGTCCGGCGACGAACGCCGTGCTACGGTACGACACGACACGCACCACCGCACACGCACACGCACAAAATCATATTTATTTGTTTATTTGAGATTCTTAACATTCCACGTTGTGAATGACAGGGCGCGCTGAAGGATATGGACGAGATGATGGACAGGCTCCTGGAGCAGGCCAGGTCCGCGGCGACCCTCGAGACGGACCCCAGGATCCGCAAGGAGCTCCAGGACGCGGTGTCGTCGCTCGAGGCCCTCCTCGCGACGATCCGGCCCAGCGTGATTCCCGCCACGCGCAGGCCCGGCGACCGCAAGTCCCAGGCCCTGCTGACTGAGGCGGCGCGCGGGCTGGTCACCTCGCTCAACAGCATCTCCGACGCGCTCAAGGCCGAGGCCGTCGTCGAAGCGCAGCTCCAGGAGGCCACCATCAGCCGCCTCAGCTCCGCCGCCAAGCGAAAGGACCCCCGCGAACTCGCCGAAGCCACCAAGAGTACACCACACACCACACCACACCACACGGCGCACATGGCACACACGACACGCGTATGATCGGCTTGTTAAACGGGGGGCAACTTTGTTTCGCAGCGATGGCGGGCAACCACAAGAAGCTCACCGAGACTGCCCGCGAGGAGGCATCACGCAGCGATCCCGCCCGCAAGCGTCAGCTTCTGGATATGGTGGCCGAGCTCGACAACCTCCTGCCTCGACAGGTCATCGCCGTCAAGGGTGCGCTCCAAGCCTCCACCCCCCTCCCTCCACCCGTGACCGCTTTCTCATCGCACGTCGTGTCGTGTGTGTGGTGGTGCGTGTCGAACACAGAGTCGCTGCAGAACCCCGGAAATGAGGAGAAGCTGGAGGCGCTGTGCCGAGCGGTGGACAGCTCGCGTGCGGCCGTGTGCAACCTGCAGGACGCCCTGCACCCCACCCCGGCCACGGCTGCCGACAAGCTCGCCGCCCGCGAACTAGCCGAGCTCTCCACCCTCCAGGTACCCCACACGACACACACAACACGCACGACACATGGCGCACCCAATTCTCACACGCGCGCGCCTGGCGTGTGTGTGTAGAGCTTTGCTAGGCGGGGCGACAGGGTGAACGTGGAGACCGCGATCACCCGGATTAATCAGAACCACGACGAGGCGAAGAGGCAGGCCAACGAGGTGCGTCCACCATGATCTCAACTCGTTTCGTCAACGGCGTGAGAGCGCGTTGCCACCAGCGCTAACAGTTCTTTTTATTCTTTTTCTTTGTTTCAGGCGAGCGCGAGGGCGCCCAACCCGCACGACAAGGCGGCCCTGGCCGCGGCCGTGGGCGATCTCGATGCCCTCTTTGCCACCCTGAGCCGCACTGCCCGCGATGCCGCCGCCAGCCCCAGCGACAAGCAGAAGCAGGTGCGTTTATTATTTCTTACTTTTCTTACTTTTATGAATTACTACCCAAAAAAATCACTATCATTATTATTATTATTTATTATTACGGATTATTATCGATTATTATCACCGCTGTGTGGATCTCACGGTTGATTGTTGTGCGTGATCGCCACCGTAGCTCGCCCTGGAGGACTCGATCCATCAGATGCGGAAGCCCGTCGACACCATCCAGACGTCGATCAAGGACAGCACGACCAAGTCCCACTTCGTACGTTTGCTCCCGCACGCGTGTACCACTTTGGTGGGCGTGTGCGTGCGTTCATCCGAAAGAGCACGCGCTGACTCGTTTCTACTACTTTTATTAAAGACGGCGGCAACGGCGATCATCGCTGGAGTGCGGCCGCGCAAGATGGACGCGCGCAGCCTGCTCGATGCTGCCAACGCGCTCGCCGGCCACCTTAACTCTCTCGCCTCGGATATCAGCATTCAGGTACGCTTTCACGTCACACGCACACGCACACGCACACGCACACGCACACGCACACAACAACACATGGTATGGCTTGCGTTTGGTCTGACGTCGCACACGACACCAAAGGCGCACAAGAATCGCGACACGTCGATGGTCAAAGCTACGGCTGCGCTCGACCTCGATTCTCTTCTCTCCCAACTCGACAAGTATGGCCCTTCCCCCCGCAGCACTTTATATTACGAGCTGACGGTCAGACCTGGCGCGTGGCGTGTTGTGTGCGTGTTGTGTGCGTGTCGTCGTGCAGGATCGCGGCGGACAGCAGCAAGCGCGCGGCGGTCATGTCTCCCGCCTCGTCGTCGGCGTCAATGAGCTCGCTCATCGGCGATCTCGAGATGCTGGCCCAGGCCTCCGCGCCCAAGGCCACCTCGCTCGAGGCCTCCATCAACCAAGTCGCCGAGAGCCTCCAGAGGGTTCGTTCCCTCACCGCGTGTCGTGTCGTGTCGTGTCGTGTCTTCCGCGCCTGTGTCGTCTCATGCCGCACTCGCACGTTTCGAATGGAAACTGCGCAGAGGTCGAGGGTGGCTGGTGGCGAGGCGACGACCGGGAGGCACACGGCCAACATCGGCAGCGAGCTGGCCAAGCTGGCCGACGCCTGCAAGGGCGGCCAGCGCCAGCAGTTCCTCATCTCTGCTCGCGCCATTTCCACGTTTGTCCGCTCCCTCTCCGTTGGTACCGCATTCCCGTCGTGTGTGTGTATGTATGTGTGTGTGTGTGTGTGTGTGCGGTCTCGTCGCGTGTGCGTGTGCGGTGTCGGGCACACGACGCTCACTACGCACAAAACGACCGACAACCGCCCCCCCCCCCCCAACAGACGTCAAGGTGATGGGCGACAAGTGCCCCGACCCGGAGCTGAAGGAGCGGTTGTTGAAGTGCATGCAGGCCCTGCAAAACTACTCGATCCAGCTCAAGATCCTGGCGTCGGTCAAGGCCGCCTCGAACACGCCCGACCCCGATGCCGACCAGCAGCTCGCCATCCTCACCCAGAACCTGGGCCAAATGCTGACGGGCACCATCTCGGCTGTCAACGTGGCCCACCTCAAGTACCACGTGGGCACCGTCTGAGGACACACAACCTGTTGTGTGGCCTGAGACTGATATACATACTCTCTCCATAACTTGTATTCTACAGCGATAATCACAAAATATATTCATATTTACGTTCGTTACCAAACGTTTAATTGGGAAGAGGCACGTGATCATGCAGAAAAAGGCGCGAAGCTTTTTGGCGCCATTTATAAACGACGGAAATAGACCATGAAGGTTCTGGTGCGAGGGAAGTCGCGGTGATGTGGGATGTAGATATAGATTACAGAGTTGATACAAAATTGCATTTGTGGCCCCTTCGTCTGGGCGTTATGTACATCGATCGTTGGTGGGTTCTTTCTCTTCCATTTACAGTTCGGGCGCGTAAGTCGGTCGCGCATTGGTTTCGTCGTGGAGAAGGCACCGCTCACTCCTCCTTCCTGGCCATCTTGTCGCGGTGCCTCGGGCTGTCGTTGTCGTAGCATCGAGCTTCGGCTTCGATCGTCGTTACCTCCCTGCAATCGGCGGCTACGACGCTCCTGGGTGATCGAGAAGAACCCTCAAGCACGACATCGGCCACCTTGGGCTCTTCCTCATCGTCGTCGTCGAATGTGAGCTTCCTGGCGCGATGCAGCCTCTTGGCACGTTGCGCTATGCCTCCTGGCCCGAGACGGTTGATGTCGATCGTCGGTTGGGGCGTTGCGCACCAAGCAGCCGGTTGTGCGCCATCGATACTTCGGCTGAGCTCGAACTCGTTGCGCGATCTCTTGGCCAGGTGGTACTGCTCCTTGATGTTGGGCGGAGAGTTCCTAACGCGCCACGCCTCGTACTCTTCATACGCATGTGGTGGTGTAGTAGGACGCCCATTCGTCGATCGAGCAGGCGTAGAAGGAACGAGATGCGTCGTACACACACGATGAGACGACTGCTCCACCACGTTAAGAGAAGTCTTCTTAGAGGGACATGTCTCTGCCGCAGAGGAGGGAGATGAAGGCGAATGGTTGTGCATGATCAGATCTATCTTGGACCTTGAGATCGCGGCGGGTGCAGAGGGCGGGAACGAGAGACGTTCGGTGGACGTTAGACCGGAATGAATGGAATGAAGTGTCGCGGGCCGTGGCAGTTTAGCGAAAGTGCGTTCTCGCTGCGGTGGCTCTGAAAAACCACCCGTGACCGGTCGCGCAAACGATTCGAAGTCATTGGTAGACGGCTGAGCCAATGGGGCCTCGCGCTTTTGGCGGGAAAGCACCACCCGCGGGAGCCCGAGGGAGCGGGGGGATTTATAAGTGGCGCTTCGCGGTGTAGCGAAGTGACGACCAGGAGCCAAGGGGTACGCCCGCCTCGAACTCAATGGCACGGGAGTGACGGTAAGCGCGACGCAAGTACACCCAGGTCACAACGAGCTGCAAGTAAGCACAGTGTGCTCCGTGACACTCAGCATCAGGGTGCCAGTGACAGTCACAACTTCAACTGGTTCTTACTGTACGCCGGCGGGAAACAAGGCCAACACGCCAGCGCCAGGCACAGCAGTGTGAGATTGATTGTAACAATTGTCGGAAAAGTTATATTACAAGCGGGCTCTTTGGCGTAGTGGTAGCGCGTCGCTCTCGTAAAGCGAAGGTCGAGGGTTCAATCCCCTCAAGAGCCTTGCCTTTTTTCATATTGACCTCCCACATTTCTACCGTTTTACTTTTTTAACAATTTTCTTTTTTTACAATGCTCTCTTCGCCTGGTCGTGAGGGCGGCATGGCCATGGCTCTCGAGTTCTGCACTGAGGGCTATGCCCAAGGGCACGGACCTCCACCTGTGGTCGAGATCACGAAGCCCGTATTCAAAATCGGACGTGCGGCCAAGAGGGTAGATTTGTACGTCCCTTCCCCCTAACCTCATCTTCACGTACAAAGCACCTTTCGTGAGCACGGTGCATGAGGTCGTAACTGCTGCTGCTCCGCTCCATTCTTGTTGTGGGCACCGTGGCTGCAGGTCCTTCGACTCGCCGACCAGGCCTCTCATGATGTCACGACTACACGCCACGATATCTGCGGAGGGCAATGGCCAGTGGAAGGTCACCGACTGCAAAAGGTGCTCCCTCCGCTCCTTCTACTTCGGCCGTAGGCGCCAGGCGGCACCCGTGCAGAAGAAGCGCCGCAACGGCTTCGCTCCTCCCGCGCTCTCGCCCCTATCCAGGCTCCACATTCATTGCCTGCTACGTTCCTGGTAATGATGTGCCGCTGTGCAGTCTAAATGGCATCTTTGTGAATGGGATCAAGGTAGAGGAAGCATACCTCAGGTGCGCTACTCAACATAACACACAACGCACGCACGCACGCACACCACACCACACCACACCACACCACACCACACCACACCACACCACACCACACCACACACACCACGCCTCGGCGCTTGCTTCGAAGCAGTTGCCGAGTCTTTGCGCATTCTGATTGTTCTTCTTCTTGGACGTGCCCAGGGACGGAGACGAGATCGTGTTCGGTGAGGGAGGCACGTGCTCGCTCGGTGCTGCGCTGATGGTCGCCAACCCTGAATTCAAATGCGTGTGTCGATTACCACAGTCGACGTCACAGGGTACGCCCAAACATCGTTCACACAGCACACGCACATGCGCCTGGGAACACACCACACACACAACACATTCGTATGCACCGCGGTGCCGAGACGTTCCGAGTAGCAAACAGCCCTCTCGCTGCAGGGGGCAGGCGCAAACGAGGGCGAGAGACCACACGCGAAGGCGACGCAGTGGAGGAGGAGGAAGCGAGCGGGGGCGACGAAGAAAATGAAGCGACGCATGAAGCAAAGCGACCAAAGAAAGCGAGGTAACCTGTCGCGCTTGTTCTTAACTGGCCTTGCGCACAGCGATCACATCACTGACGCGCGATGTGTCGTGTGTGTCATGTGTGCCGCACATCGTGCGTTGACCAGTCTTTCCTCGCAAGAGCGCGATGTAGGTGCACTGGAGAGCAGACTGGCTGTTGCCGAGGCCCAGTTGGCCGAACACAGACGACAGATGGCCGAAGCGGAACTCCTGCGACAAGAGCTGGACCACAAGGAGCGGTTGCTAGACGAAGAGAAACACATCGTACGCTCGCTAGCCCACTCGTTGTGTGTGTGTGTGTGTGTGTGTGCGCGCGCGCGTCTCCACTCATGAAAGCTCTCTTTCGCAGGTGGAAGAGGCGCGCCACCTTAAAGCCAGCCTCGAGGCCAGGGAGACAGAGCTCGAGCGCGAAAAGGACCAACTCCAGCGCGCGCTCGCGCAGAGGGAGAGCGAACTGGAGGCCCAGCTGAAGGCCGACCAAGAGCGACGCGCCGGCGACGAGGAGCGCCGCCGCGCCGCGCTCGAAGCCACGAAGCTGATGCTGGCCGACGAGCGCCAGCGCCTCGAGCGTGAGCACAGCGCGCGCGAGCTCGACCTGGCCCGCGAGCGCGAGGCGCTCGAGCGGCAGCGCGCCGAGCTCGAGTCGCAGATCGCGCAGAAGCGGCGCGAGATCGAGTCTGAGGCCATCCAGCGCAGCGAGCTCGAGGAGGAGTTCCTGTGCGTCATCTGCCACGGCCTCATGATCGCCGCCATGACCCTCGAGTGCGCCCACTCCTTCTGCTCGACCTGCCTCGACGGCTGGATGGCCCAGAAGCAGGTACCACAGAGGCGGCGATTAAGGTGGCTGTGTGGTTTAAGGTGGCTGGAGAGTTGTGAGTTAAAGTGGCGGTTGGGGCGGCCCACGGCACAGGCGTGTCCGGTGTGTCGGCAGCCGGTGACAAGGACGCCGGTGCGAGCGCTCAACTTGGACAACATCATCGGCAAGATCGTTCAGAAGATGCCACCAGCTGTACGCACCACCGCACACATGCACACGCACGACCGCACGCACGGCGCACGAACGCACACAGCACGCGCAGTTGGTAATGGTCGACCGACGTGGCAGGACAAGGCCGAGTGGGAGGAGCGGGCGCAGAAGCTGCGCAAGGTGGAGGAGGAGATCAAGCAGCTCCAGAATCTCATCGAATCGGCCAAGACGCGCGGATTGCGCTTCCTCGTCATCTGGGACAGCTGGACGGACGACGAAAAGAAGATCTTTGCCGACGGCGTCGTGTACGTGTCGTGTCGCGTCGCGTCGTGTGTCGTGTGCGGTATGGCGTGTGCCGCGCGTGTCGTGTGCTGATCGTGGGTGCGTCGCAGGCGCTACGTGGGCAAGCCGCGAGTGCTGTACTGCTCGACGGTCGGGCTGACGAGTCAGTTTGTGGAGTCGTGCAGCCGGCCGCACCTGATCGTCGCCGCGCGCAATCTCGACCTCCTCAACTCGCCCGACATCGACCGCCTGCGAGCAAACCTCCTCGACTTCATTCACCAGAACGACGAATAAGAGAGAGTGATAGAGAACATGCGCGCGTGTGTCGTTCATCGCACTCAACAAACCGCACACGCGGTACGACCGCACACACACACGCGAGACACGCCATACCGCACACGACACGACAGCACGCGCATTCAGCTGCCGAGTTCGGTGATGCCGCTATCGGCCATGGCCATCCTGCGCGCGAGTCGTCTTCGCCGCTTCTTGGCCCGCTTCTTCTGGCTCGCCGACGAGCTGCTGGTGGTGGTCGCATCACTGCCGCTGCCGCCGCTGTCGGTGGCGTTCCACGTCACATGCGCGCCCTCGCCGGCACCCTCCCCTCGCTTCTCCTTCGTGACGACGACCTTCTTCTTGTTGTTGTCGCCGCTGCCGTTGAGGGTGGTCGTCGCGCCACCAGTCTTGCCGGTGCCGTTGTTGTCTCGCTTGAGCTCGATCGACCTTCTCTTGACGTCCTCCTCGTGTTGCATCTTCGCGATCGACGGATGCAGCTCTTTCACCAAACAATAAAACGTGCAGGCAATGAGCGTGTGCGTGTGCGTGTCGTGCGTGTCGTGCCGTGTCATCGTTGACAGGTGTGCGTACCTTGGAGGAGGCGCTGCTTCCTGGCGCGCAGCTTGTGGCGTTCGAGTTTGTCCTTTTGCTTCTCCTCTTCCTTCTCCTCCTCCGCTATCTTCGCCTCAACTACAACCAAATAAAGAAAATGCAAAGATTATAATTATAATCAATGAATATATAAATGATAATATTTGAATAATAAATCTCTAATGCTAATGGAGCAGCAGGTTGAGGGTGAGGGTACTTTTTCTTTCTTTGGAGGCGATGGCCCAGATGTTGTTCTCCTCGGATCGCACTTCCGTTAATCGGTGGAAGATGTAGAAGCACACCAAGATGACGAGCGTGTAGACCCAGAAGGCGGTCGACTGGTACATGACCAGATCCAGCGTCGCCTGGGGCAGCTGCGCCAATCGCTCGCGCAGCAGCTGGAGCGTCGCATCGGCCGTCAGGCCCTCCAGCAGTATGATCTTGTGCTGGGGCTCGTCAGCCACTTGATGATGGTGCATGGCCTCGCCCACCACGCCCGTCGCAATGCTGCCCTCCATCTTGTAGCAAATCTTTTTAATTTAAAAACATAAAATAAATATTAATGCATCCAAACTGTCAGTTGCGCGTGCGCGTGTCGTGCGGCGTGCGTGCGTGTCGTGCGGCAAGTGCGGTGATCACTTCTGCAGCTTGCCGATGTAGAACTCCTCGATCATCTCGCGCACTCGCTCGATGGGGTGCTGATCGCCGAGGAAGCCCGTCGTGCTGTCACCACCGGCGTTGTTCAGGATGGCGTCGCCGCCGGGGTGTTCGTTCACGTACGACGTCACATCGTACACCTACTCATGAAACCATCAGCGCACACGCACCGTCGCACACGCGCGCATGCATCACCACACACGCGCACGCATCATCGCACACGCACACGCACACACTCACCTTGTCCTCGATGATGATCCAGCAGTCGTCGCCGGAGGAGTGCTGGGCGACTTCCTCCGCGGTGTAGAACTCCTTCTTGGGCTTGGTCGCTGCTGCGGCCTTCTCCGCCTTCACACCCGCCACGGGCGCCTTGACTGGCGCCGCTGCCAGAAAAAATATAATATAAATAATTTTTACAAAATAAATGAAAGCGTAAAAGACAAAATAATAATACCAATGGCTATTTATTTATTAACGGAAGATCGCGATTTCCGCTTTCGATCTTCCGAATGATGAGATCTGAGGGTCCGCCGTACCTTTTGTGGGACGAAGGAACCAAGAGGAAGCGAGCACCACCACGGCGGCGATGATGACGTACAACAACCACTCTTCCATCTGGACTGCGTCGCTGGAAAATGGGTCCCGGCTGACGGGAAAAACCCTAATATAAGTAGATAAAATGATCAAATAGAAAACTAATAATAATACAAATAGAAATATAACAAAATAATAGGCCAGAATTCGCGTTTATTTTAAAATAAAATAAATGAGGCTTAGAGGGAGAGAAGGAAGGCGAGGGGAAGGTGCTCGACGGCGGCTGAGTCGGCAGCGGCGGCGGTCAGCGAGGACGGAAGGGACTGCTGGATGCGCCCGGCAATGTGGGCCAGCATCGGGTTGAGTCCCTCCAACACCGCCAAGCTCGCCAAAGCCTCGTTCAAATCGCCTGCCGCCCACACATTCCGTTAGCGTGTGTCGTGTCGTGTGTGTCGTGCGGTAGTGCGCGTGCGCGCGTGTACCTTCGAGTTGTTGAGGCGCGGGAACGTGGGGCAGCAGGACGGCGACGACGGTGAGCAGCTTCGCGGTGAAGATGAACACGTGGCGCTGGTAGCTGGCCCACTTGCCCCACACGGTGGTCCCCTCCTGCTGGCGCTTGAGCCAGGCGGCCACCCGCCGGAGCAGGCCGGCGTGGTAGGCCGCCGTCTCCTGCAGGAACCGGCGCACGAGCTCCGCAGCCGCAGCTGTCGCGTCGCCCTCACCGGCCTCGGCCTCCGTGAACGATGTGATGGCGATGGGCAGGTGCTTGGCCGCCATCTGCACCCGCAGCAGCTCCTCCTCATACCTACGACACACATCGCACACGCCGCACACGCCGCACGCGCGCGAGTTGGTGTGATGCAGTTAAGGTGGCGAGTGCCGAGCTCGGGGTCGTACCAGTTGTCGGCCTCCTTCTCGAAGAGCACGTTGCCAAAGTTGCCCCAGGCCTGGCCCTTGGCCAGGTGGGCGAACTCGGCCTCGAACCGCGCCGGCTCGAACAGCCCCGGCGCCTCCGGCGCCGGCAGCCGCACCGCCGGCCCCAGCAGCCCCGCCGCCAGCCCCGCCAGCGACGGCGCCTTCACCGTCGTCGGCTCCTCGAGCTCCATCGCGTCGGCGTCGGCGTCGGCGGCGGCGGGTGGCGACTGGTCGATGCCGAGGAGCTGGAGGAGGAAGACGAGGTAGAAGGCCGAGGCGGAGAAGTGCTCGGAGAGGTAGGCGAGGGCGAGCTCGTAGGCGGCGGTGGGCGAGAGGAGGGCGGACGCGGGCGAGAACGAGGCAAAGGTGGCGAACACGGTCGACGACGTCAGCGACGCCAGCGTCACCGTCTTTGACACCAGGAACGCCGCCTGATGTGTGCATGTCGAGCGTTAGTTGCGCGCGCGCGCGCGTGTGTGTGCGGTGCGGTGCGTGCGTGTTGTGTACCTCGTCGCGCACGGTGTCGTCGTCGTCTTCGAGCAGGCGCACAACGATCGCCCACGCGGTCAGCGAAGTCTGCTCGAGTGCCTGCTCGACCTCCTTGCCTGCTCGTCCACTCACCCGGATAAGACGAACGCGTCGTGCGTGCGTGTGCGATGAAGCGCGCGGGAGGGGGCAAGTACCAAGCTTCCGCGTGCCGGGCTTGTAGTCGCAGATGCCCGAGGCGTGGATGGAGCGGGCCACCGCCAGGCGGAAGGTCCACTCCATCTCGGGTACCGAGCACTGCTGGATGATGCCGGACCACACCGACAGCATGTCCCTCAGCGCCCCCGCGCCGAGCTTCTCCCGCGCCTCCTCCGCCCTGCCCAGCAGCTGCGTCCGCCTGTCAGCGATCCAGTCTCGCTCACGCACGACACGCACCACCGCACACGCACACACATGACACGCAACCGCACACGTGTGTGCGCACACGCACCTGGGAAAGGTAGACGCCCATGAGGGAGACGATGTTCTCGCGGGTCGCGCCGTTGGGCCATCGGTCGAGCAGGCCGCGCAGGTGCGCGAAGAAGGTCTGCGTGTCGAGCGCGGAGCCGACGGCGGCGTCGC